TTAAATTCATGAATAATGCAATTATATTAAAATTTTTATTTACTTTTTTTAAGTTCAATTCCTTTAAATTATTGTAAATTTAATTACTTTATAATTTAATTATTTTTTACTACAATTTTTTGTACAAATGAAATTATTTTATGTAAAAATTAAAAAAAAAAAAAAAAAACAGTTTCCAACACTTTTTATATTTAAAAAAAAAATTTGAAATAAATTTTGCGGTTTTTACTGTTAAAATTTTATACTGGTTTTTTTTTTATTGAGCAATAAATATAAAAATAATTTTATACGAAAGTAATATTCAGTTTACGAAGTAATTTAATTTTAATATCTCTAAAATTTAAAAAAAAAAAATTAAATTTACAAAAATAATTTTGAATACAAATTTTAAAACTTTATAATTTATAAAAATAATGTTTTTAAATTGAAAAAATACTATGTTCAATAATTTTTAATTCTTTAATTTATTGTCAAAAAGAAAAGTTTTTCTTTTTATTATATTTTATTCAAAACAAAATTGAGAATTTTTTTATGAAACCAAAAAAAAAAAATGTTTCCTAAGCTAAAATTTAAAAAATAGTAATCAAGTTAATATTGGAAAAAAAATTTTTTTTTTTTAAATTTTGATAAACTTAACTGGTTGTCGGTCAATCGAGAGGACTTTTTAGGTATATATTATTTTTTATATGCATTCTACATACATATGCGTCATACACAAACGAGTGTGCACGGTACGAAAAACGCGTTCACAAATTACTAATTTTTTTTTTTAATTTTTTTTTTTAATAACGTACGAATATAAGCAATCTTTCGATGATTTTTCGACACGAGGTACAGTTATAGAATCGTTTCGGTATGAAATCTATCATTGTTATCAATTTGAATTCTAGGCGTTTAGTAGTTTTGTTTTCTGTTTATTTTATTTTATTTTTTTTGTTTTTGCATTTTGTGTTTAAATCTCAGTCACGAAACGCTACAGATTATGGTGAATTATCCAACTTCTTTCTATACATTTTTCTTTCATTGTATGTATAGAGAAAAGAAGTTATCTCTCTTTCACCCAACACCGAAGCGTAAAAGGAACATCGAGAGTACGTTAGATTTTTAACATCAAACATACCTAAATTTTTCGTTACAATTGAATTTTATTATATTTTTACATAACAGCAACAATATAATATATGAATACCGTTTAAAACACCATTCCATTTATTAATAATATATAGATCATTGTAACGCGTGTATTATGTGATATATGAAAAACATTAAACTGGAAATGTGAGAAAAAAAACTTTTTTTTTATATCAAAATAAAAATTGTTTTTTTTTTTTAATTTTAAAATAATTAATAGAAATAATTTTGACTTTTTAAATATATATTTTTTACATATAGAATTTTAACATTTAAAAATAACAAATGATAATTTACTTGGATATTTTACGAAATAAATAATTTTCTTTTAAATATATATTAAACACTTATATTAATGACTAATTTTATTTTCTAAAAAGTTGATTTTTTTTAAACAGGATTTTTGGTTTTTCATTTATTTCATTTTTTCTTTTAATTAATACGCGTTTCTAAAGCATTTTGATGAGTAGCACGGTTTCTTTCTTTCTTTCTTTTTTCTTTTCGTATTTTAGATTTATCAATAGGTAATATATGTATATGTATTTTTCTATATAAGAATTCGATATTCGCTTGGCGAATCACGAAAAGCTTTTTTTTTTAATATTGGTCATTTCGAAATTCATTTCACTTTGTTTTTTTAAATCGTGTTTCTTTTTAGCACTCGTTGGCTCGACTTAATAATTCATTATTAATATCTATCTCTCTCTCTCTCTCTCTCTCTCTTTCTCTATTTTTTTAAATTGGGAAACATTCGCACACAATCAAAAATTTGTGTCCTCGATATTAATATCAATCGCTTATATTTATACTTGACGTCGTTCTCAATACCTTTCACATCGGGCGCATATATTCGCATATGTACTCGTTAATATAGTATTAATATCACATGCAATTAAAATAGGATTGTCGAACACGTACCTACTTAGACAGAACTCTAAACGTCTAATAATTTTTTTTTTGTTTTTTATTTTTTTAATTCATCTTGGTTACCTCGATTAATTCCCCTGTGGTCTATCTGGTACGCGGTAACTATAATTTTCTCTCTAAAACTTCCTGTTGCCTCTATATTTTATTCACATAAATATTACACGAAATTTTGGTCAATCAGTTTTTGTTGTCTCTGATTTTTGCAAATTTTGTCAATACAATTTTAATTAATTTTTTTTTTTTTGAATTTTAATAATTCTGTTAAATAATTCTTTTTTAATAAATTAAAAATTGCAGTCAATTAAAATTAATTATCTGCAAGTAAAAAAATAAAATATTAAAATTAATTGTTATACATAGAAGTTATTCTTCTTTAAATGATAATTTTTTTTTTATTGGCTAAACGAAAAATTTGTTTTTGAATAAATTTTCATTTGATTAATTTAAAAAAAATTTCATAAATTTTAATAAATTAAAAAAAATCTTTTCTTCTAATTCAAATAATTTTGTGACATGATTTTGTATTTGAAATTGCAGAGACAATAAAATTCGAAGACTGAACCAATAATCGCGAGAAAAAAGAAACACATGTTTTGACTAACAACAAACAGCTAACAAATCTTTTTAACATCTACTTGTCTTGACTACCTCGTACCTACATTTAATATAACATCTCGCTAAATATTTAACGTATCTATAGGCCTTGAATTTACGATGTATTAATGTTGCTTTTTTTGTTGTTTTTTTGTTTTTGTTTTTTTTTTTTTTTTGTTTTTAATTTCCTCGAGTGCGGGCATGATCGCAGGATAAATTATTAAAAAAATTGTTTTTTTTTGCGCGCGCGTGCAGGGAGGAAATTTATAATGGAGTGTGCGTAACATTAAAAAATGTTTACAACATATTATTTTTCTTTCCAGTAAAATGGTATACTTATGTGCGCGTGTTATAAGAAAAAAAAAAATATATATATACCACATGAAACGAAAAAAACAACAATAATTTTTAGAAAAAGGTACGTCTCCTTAAATCAAAAATCCTGACCATGCCCAATTTTTAAGTACAATTTAAACATAAAGCACGAACAGCTTCCAGAAAAGCGGAGCGCGTACCGAAAAAAACAAAGATTCAACATTTATATATAGATTAAAAGTAGATTCTTCATTTTTGTTTACCCCACGTTTATTTCTTCTTTTTTTTCATCTCTTTTTGTTAAATAGACTTTTTAAATATATAGTTAAAAGTGTTGGCATGAAAGTTATCACAGTTACAATATACAGTATTATTCAGTATCTGCAAAATGCCGAAGGAAAGTTTTTTTTTCATTTAAAGCACTCAAAAGCACTGCACGCTCCGTTTATATAGCTGGTCAAAAAAAAAACCACAAAACAAAAAAGGCTTTCCCTCCCCAAAACGATTGAAAAGAAAATAACCCAGCGATACTCCCTTTTTTTTTATTTACTATATCTCACCGTGCGCGAAAATCCCCAACATCTTTTTATTTTTTCGTTTTTCTTCTAAAATCCTTTCCCATAGCGAATTTAATTTGCCTACAAACTAAACTTTCGATTCTGGACATGTTTGTTAAGTTTTTTTTTTTTTTTTTTATTTTTTTTTACTTTTCTTCTAGCCACCTAAAAGTTGCTTCAAAATACGATTATACTCTCTTCCTCTGGCTGGATCGCGATCCTTTCAACACTATATCATTAAATATTTATGTAAAAAAGTTAAAAACTCACATGTGCGCACAACTACCGCAAACGCTGGCTAAAAAATTTCTAAAAACGATATCAAAGATGTAAGTGAAATGCCCTTTTTATATATGTTTTCTATAATTAAAAAAATAAAATTAAAAAAAAAAAAAAATATTCAAATAAATAAAAAAAAAAAGTAGACACTTTTTGCTATTTAGGAGCATTTCATTATTACCTACAATTTTTATAAGAATCAAATTTTTGCATTTAAAATTTCATTTTAAAATTTTATTAATTTTATTAAATATTGTAATGTCATTAATAAAGAATGCAAGAAAAAACAAAAAATGATTCTCACTAGTTCTTGGTATATTACAGCCTGCGTAAAAATGTGTGTTTTTGTGTGCTTACAGTGCGTGAGCAATATGCAGCTGTATAGCTTCAAGCAAATCCGTCTACTTTTTTTTTTTTTTATTTTTTTATTTTTTTATTATCGCTGCAACGTGAAACGATTGTATCGTGTCTCGCGAAACGATCACACGGGGTCCCGACATGTCCGTCATTTTCAACGACGGAAGGCCTTTTTTTTTTTTATCGGAAATTCAGCAAAATTTACATTTTATTTTACATTCCATTTGAATCAATGATTTTTCTCATTTTTTTTCTCTCTTTTATAGAATGAAAAATTTTCTTTTAAAGAAAAATTTATTAGAAAAAAAAAAATTATTTTGTCAAATGATTATTAAATAATAAACAAATTGTCTTAATAGACAAAATAAAATTCGATTTTCAATATTAGTAAAAATATTTTATAAAACTACCTTTAAGTTTTTTAAGTTTACATTAAAAATTACAATTTTAAAATTATTATTATTAATCAGTGAAATCGAAAAAATTGGACAATATTTTTCTAGAATTTTTTTTTGTTTTATCTATACTTTCAAAAATAGATTTAAATTAATGAGAATTAAAAAAATATTTAATATAAAAAATTTTTAAATTTCATAATTAATATTTAATTCTAAATATAGGCCTTTAACATTTCTATTAATATTAAATTACCCACAAATAGTTAAAATCAAAATTAAATTCAATAAATATTTTATTTACTTTAAATCAAAATTAATTGAAATAAATTCAATTTAAATTTTTTAATTTTAATGAAAAAAAAAATAATAATAATTCTATAAAAATTTCAAAATTAATACAAAAATCGAATTTTCTACAGTCTCAAAAGTATTCACTGAAATCACAATTTCCATAGCTCATAACTATAGTACAATTAATAAACTATTTGACATTCAATTATTATTAATAAATTAATAATAATTATTAATGTAATGAAAAATTACAAATTTAAAATTTCATTGTAAATTTAGGCCTTTAGAATTTTCTTTACGTATATTAAATTAAACATAAATATTAAACATAATAGTAAATTAATTATTAAACTTACAGTAAAAAATGAAAATTAAAAAGAAAATAATTTAATCAATAATTTTCAAGTTTAAAATAGAATCTACTAGTTTCAGAACTATTTATTACAATTCCTTGTTAAATATAATTAAGAAATTATTCTTTGCTAAGAAAAAGCAATAAACTTTTGACAAATTTAATTAATAAATCATAATAAAAGACATTTGACAGTAAACATAAAAAAAAACTTAGCCAATTGAAAGAAATAAAAAATTTTTTTTTTGAAAATTTGCTGAATAACCGATACTGTTACTTTTTTTCTCTTTTTTTTTAGAACAAAGTGTATGCGCGTAGTGCGTGAGCAATGTGCAGCTTTAAAAGCGAATTCGTCCGACGTTCTATATGAATTTTTTTTTTTTTTAATCAGAAACGAGTTGACAAAGCAAAGTTATCGATTATATGTAATCGTAATTAGCGATAGAGAATCGCAAAAATGGGGTCCCAATCATGAAAACTCGTTGTAAGGAAAGCCGGCAGGTTTTTTCATTTTCTTTTTTTTTTTTTTTTCCTCGGAAGAGTTATTTAACGTTCACGGACGAAATGTATCAAAGAACTATAATATACGTTAAGAAGGTTCACTCGGCTCGGATCGAAAATCCTGGTACAAAAATTCTAAGCGAAAATCTCTTCATATCAAACACGCCGTGCTAGTGACGACTAGGAAAAAATGCTAAACAATTCAGCCATACGGAACTAGTTTTAATTGTTATTATTATTATTATTTTTGTAGTTATTAATATATAGCAGTACAATAATATTACTGCATTAAGTTTAGGACTTAAAACTTTTTTTTTTACCTTTGCAAGTTATACAGTCGAGATATATATTAATATAAGTATTATTGTAGTAAAACTTTCACGCTCCTATTAACCTGAAACTATTATTATTATTATTATTATTATTATTATTTTATTTATGCTGCGAGTGTATGCCTTTTGTTTTAAATAGCTTCTTGTAAGTTTTCAATTTTTGTGTATTTTGTCTGCAAAGTTTGTATATGTATGTAAAGAAGTATTGCGCGGATGAATATTGTTTTTTGTTATTGTGTGAACATATCTATTATAGTACACAGTACAATGGACAGTATTGCTTCGTAACATCGATATTGAATTTTTTTTTTTTTTTTTTTTTTTTTTTTTTTTTTTTGACGTTCACATCATGATTCTATTTTAGACGTTATTATTTTTGCAGGCAGAGAAGAATCAAACTTGTTTTTTCAAATCAAGTTTTTTCTCTTTCATTTTTGTTTTATTTTCAAACTTGATTCACACTTCGGACCTGCTTTTTTTTTAAAGTCCAATTTTCTTGAATTTCATCAAGAAATCTTTTTTGCATTTGGGCTACTTGACACACATTTGGGTCACACACTTAAGGAAGGCCACATTGAACTATTCTAAGAAAAATTGTTATCTAGCATTCTCAACTAACACACTCGTAAAATTTTTAGTCTAGATCTCTCGACCCGTAATCTCTATCTAAGCAAAAAAGTCGGAGTTGCTGAAGAACGGGATGCGACGGGATCGAGTGAGCGAGGACGATGGTCGTGTAGTTTTGTGATTATCATATTTTGATAAAAATTATTATTAATATTAATATTATTAATTTTTGCCCCTTCCACTCGGCTGGTCTTTAAAAGGCGATTAAAGATGTGGAAGAAAGTCTCTAAGTATTCAGTTCCATCCTGGAAGTCTCGGACATTGATAGAAAAATCATTAATTGATTTTCTATAAAATGCTGATTGCACAATTGATTTATTAAAAATCAATGCGCGTTTTACGAAAAAATGGAAAACGAATAAACCATTTCTTTTTTGTCATTTTCAACGCTCTCATCGATCAAGAGGGAAATACACTTTGTGCAACATTAGAATGTTATTATATATATATATATATAGTTGAAAAGCGAAAATTGTATATATATATATATAGGTGTCAAAAGTTGATTGCTGATCGAGAGTTAAAATTAATTAAAAATCTTCAAAAGGGATAAATTAAATGAAAGGAAACGTCATGATTCTTAATAAAAATGCGAGAAATCAAGAATCATAATGTCCTTGATTTGCAATAATTTCGCGAATTTGCTAAGTGCGATCTGTTGACTCTGTGATAGCATCAACGGACGACGACGATGACGACGATGATGATGGTGATGATGTTTGTTCACCACTTGGTTTAAGTGTGACAATCGCGTCTTTCGAAGTGTCAACAATTTTTTTTTCAATCTCCATATCACAAAGGAGTGTAGCTTGCATAGCGTTATACATACCAGTTCTCGCGTAGCGTGATGCCTTTGTCAGGTTGCGAATACTCTGCGCCAGGGCTAAAATCTCTGTAAATATTAATTAATTACTAAATTATATCTATTAAAATTTTTAATTAATATATTTCATAATAAAAATGGTATTATTTAAAAAAAATAACTCTAAATTTTACCCACCTCTATCATCGTGTAACGCCATACACGGCATATCCTTTTGGCGTTTTGCAGCATTGGTGATTTCTTGCCTTCGACATTCTTGTACTATTTTGATTGTCTCCAACCACTGTTCCATAGCTTTGTGAATTCTCTGATGCATTGAGGCTCCTCGTAAACGTTCCATCTTTCAAAAAGAATTATTATTATTACTTCTCATAATAAAATATCATTTTTCACACTGTATTTTTACACAATTTTTTACATTTTATTTTTGTTTTTAAAAAGGACGTGTGATATATAAAAAAAAATCATTTATAGCCAAAATTTAATTTTGTTTTTTAAATTACACAATTTAAAGAAAATTTTTTATATTCTTTTTAGATTTGTAAGTTTAAAAATTTTAATAATTTTTGTTAAATTAAAAATGAGACCATGATTTTTTTTTTTTTTTTTTAATTCAACTGATTGAATTATAATGTGTCACATGACCTTAAATTAATATTTAAAAAGTCCAAGTTGAAGGAAACTTATTCCAAGGAATTATTAATGTAATTAATACACGTACTATAAGTTGTGTCATTGTAAAATAGTTTTTTAAATATTGTAAATAAATTACCTTAAACAGATGACACGTACAGTAATGATTTTCTTAGCCAGTAATGGTTTTAAATATAAACTGGAATATTTGAAAATTAGGAAGACAGAAAAGGCTTCTATAAAATTCCTACATTTTCCATTATCTTTTACAAAAATAAAAAAAAAAATGTAAATTTTTACCATCAATATTATTTTAATTTGTATATAAATTTTAAAGTAATTTTTCCATTTATAAAATGATTATAATGAAAATAAGATTATTATACAATATATTATATGTATTATATTATACAATCTATTATAGAATACCATACAATTCATTGTATGGTGAAAATTCTTTGAGGAAATATCTTATGTAATAATATGAATTTCTTTAAATATTCTATACACTTCAAAGGAAACTGCTTGTTTATATTTTTAAAAAAAATTCTCTTTTTTTTTTATTTCTACATTACAAATTACCGAAATAAAAAATCCACTCAAAAGAAACATCAAATAACAAATTGGTTAAATAAAAATTGGATCAAAAGCAAATTCATAAGAAGGGGTAGTTAGGCCTGTTTTTGAGAGCTTATTCCAGAATTTTCTTTTTTTTTTATTATAAAATAAAATATAATCACACCAAATCTTTTTACATCGTTTTATTCTCATTATGAAGTGTTGAAATAAATTATAATCGATTATTTTTTTAACTAGATTTTGTTAATTATATTTAATATTAATTTTTATAACAAAAAAATCTATCCAACCAATTGCTCCAATTTTTTTACGCAGCTATTTTACCCAACCATGGCTATGGTCCGAAGTAAAATTATGCAATTTTATTTATAACCTTTTTTCTTTTTTAACTTTTTGTCAATAAAAAACAGATGATTTTTGAATTTTTTTATTCTCTATAAGTTCATCATTTTGTTATTTATTAACAAAAATGTTTTATTTTAATTCGGGCCATAGCCATAATTATGATTGTGTAGAATAAGCTGTAAAAAAAATTTTGGAGCAAATTTGTCGGATAGATTTTTGTAAATTATCCGCGCCAGCATTTTTTTAGTTATAAAAATTAATATTAAATATAAATAACAAAATCTAGTAAAAAAAATAATCGATTATAATTTTTTTCAACACTTCATAATGAGAATAAATCAATGTAAAAAGATTTGGTGTAATATTTTATTTTATAATAAAAAAAAAATTCTGAGATATGCTCCCAAAAACCCCCCTTAAAGGAAAATTCAATCAAATGCAAATTTTATATTAAAAAGAAAATTTAATTAAAAAACAAAATGAAAATGCAATGAAATGCAAATTATATTAAAAAAAATTCGTTCAAAAGTAAATTCTGTTATATAATTAATCAATAAATACTCGTTTAGTAGTATTTAAATAAAAAGAAGAAATTTAAATAAAAAAAAAAATTAAATAAAGAAAAATTTCTTATGATTTAAAAAAAAAATTTTCAATGAATCAAAATAAAAATATGAATTAAATTAATAATTATGAAAATAAAATAAACTTACTTTGGCAATAAGTGTAATGACACGCGCATGTTCTCGCATATGGTCAACAATTAAGCGATCGACCCTTGATGGACTTCCCTGTAGACGTGGTGTTGGTATATTATTAGCACTTGTTACTTTTTTCCCTGGAAAATGAGCAGCAAGACCAGCTTCACATTTTTTGCGTTCCTTCTCCAATTGTTTGAATTGCTCATAAGTTTGCTCCAATCTCAAATGCAATATTTTTGATGGTCCCGTACGTTTTATTGATGCATTTCCATTTCGCATTCCTAAATTATCAAACAAAACTGACATTGGATGATGTGGTGGAACGGGTATTGGAAGTGGCATTGGCATCACCGAAGGAAATAATGCCGTTCCAGTTGCACTTTGCATTAAACCTTTGAATAGAACATCGGCCGATGGTACCGTTGACATTCCCTTTGCACGTTGTTGACGTTGTTTGGCAATACGATTGAGTACATTATTATCAATAGCGGTGGTATTTTGTAATTGTTGTGTAAGATGATTTGCAGAAAATGGAATTCCATTAGTAAGATCAAATCCTTTCATTTTATACGGTACAGATGGTGTGCCAGCACGTTTTAAACCATTTGGATAACCCATTGAATTTGAACATTGTGAAACAGTTTTCAAAGTATTGTTGCTACTATTACTGCTGTTGTTGCCAATGAATCGTTGATAACCATTCGATGCTTGTTGATAATTGTATTTTGTTGATTGTTCCAATGTTGCATTACGAGCGGTGATAGTTCGTGGTAAATTAATTGGTGAGTAGACAACTTTTTCCCTGGATTTTGTTGTCTTTGGACTGAGCATCTTGAGAAGATTGTTATCGATCCTCTGATCCTGATTGATGGACATTGTATCGTAGCTATTAATATCATTTGTCGCTGACATCATTGTGTAATCATTAGTAGCAACTGGATAACGATTCAAGAAACGTTTATAATTTTGCTCGGGTAATCGCTCTTGTTTATTATAGGCGTGTGATTGATTAAAATAGAGTTGTTGCTGCTGCTGTTGTTGTTGTTCATTGCTGGATGTTACATTTCCGATATTAACATTTACATCGTGTAAATCTTTATAATCCTCATAATTATTGCGGGAAAAATTATTTGGAAAACAATTTTGTAATGATGAATCGGCAGGCGAAAAATGTTGTAATGGAGAATTTGACAGAAATCCAGAATCGGCGCTGAGATCAGTCATTGCTGAACTTGGTCTATAGGATTGGCCATTGGCAGTTGTCAAATTATATGTCTCGTGAACATTGTGCATGAGATTGCCTGTATGCATATTTTGTGATATATTTTGTCCCACATTACAATGTAATTGCATATCGTTTAATGTGACATTTTTCGGTGAATCAAGGGTTAAATTACGAGCGACATTAAAATTGTAATCTGTATTTGGACAGGACTGTACTTGATAACTTCCAAATAAATCCTTAGGGCATTCTGTATTTTGGAAAGATTCTGTCCAATTTGATGGTCTCGAACCATAATCCATTCCATTAGTCGTTGTCAACAGTCCATTGGACGGAGTGGGATAATTTCTACTAGATTGCTCGCTGGAAATCAAATTATGATGATGATGTTGTTGTTGTTGCTGTTGTTGTTGATGATGATGATGATGATGATGATGATGATGTTGCTGTTGTTGCTGCTGCTGCATATCAGAATGATGTGAATTATTTGTGAATCCATTGGCAAAAATATTTCCTTTATCAAGTCCCGTACATACATTCAGACTTAAATTATTCAGTCCACCGCAAATGTTGCCCATATCACGTTCACTCTCTATAATACCTGGAATATCGTTTGACATTCTTTTCGATTGATACTGATAGGTTTGTCTATTTAGGTCGTTACTACTTGAATGATTTACATCACCAGGCCTAATTTTATTTATTTGCGAAGTTTGTGAAAAATTTGACATTTGAGCGTCTGAATAATATCGCAACGATGGATTAACGTAACGACCCATAAAGACGTCGTCGCCCACTGTCGAATCATCGTCCAAAATTTTCGCAACTAAATCGTTCACCATTGAATTATTTAAGTCTTGACTTTCTTCGTCATCAACGTTTCCCTGTAAAATGAAAAAAAAAACGTAATTCCAATTCTAATTTAACGTTAAAAATCATAGAAAAAAAAAAAATTAATTATCAATTAATAAAAATAAAGTAAAAAATCATTTTTTTTCTCTTAACAATAACTTAATAAATTATCTAAATTAGAATAATTGATATTTTTGGAAAATTGACTGAAAATTTTCAAATCACGAATTGGAATTGAGCATAAAATTTAACTTAGGTCAACGACGAGATGGCTCATCTATCACGTCATTTACATAAACATGCAAATTTTAACCTTTTATATATATTTTTCAAATTTATAATAATTTTCTCCTTTACATTATGTACTATAATTTATTATCCACAGACGATTATACACGGAAAAAAAAAAAATTTTTTGCCACCTAATTCTTCAAATAAGAAAAAATTACCAAATTTTCTTGCAAATAAAAAAAAAAAATTAATTTTGAAAAAATAGGAACTTACTTTAATACTGGAATTGCCAACGAATAGATCGCAGCTCCAGGGATTGTATTCTGAGCGGCGATTACCCGTTGTGCAGTTGCTGCCTGGTGCTCCGTACATGCTGATGCCGTGTTCAATCTGTTAAAAAAAAAAAAAAAAGAATTTTTTAAAAAACACTCGAATGTCAAAAAAAAATTTATACACAAAAAACACAGACACTATTATCGATAATCGTGGGAGGAATAACGATGAGAGATTTGGAGGACGTAAAAAAAAAAAAAATTAAAAACAGGGTCAAAGCAATTATCAAGTTGGCAAAAGAAAGTCATGAACCATTGACTTCAATCCCACGAATTCAAAGACCTATGACTATTTTACATTTGACAGCTGATTAGAAATCTCGGTCGTATGTCGCAGTTGCAAGCTGGACAACATTGGATCATAATATATATATATATATACATATACATATATGTATATAACAAAACCGTGAGCTACGTGGAATCGAAGTCAAAATTGGACGGCGATAGATCTCACACTTTAAAAAAAAAAAACCCGGCGCGGAGTGACGTGTTTTTTTTTCTATACCTTGCCAACGGTGAGAGCATTGTTTCCGATGATCGCGGCCAAATTTTGCACCTCGGAAAGAGCCATTTATTATATTGGAAATCACTTCCACCTGCTTCCACCGCCTGCCATTTAACGTTCCGTTTTACTCTTTCGCGACTCGTGCGCCCTGCGCCTGTCGTCCTCCCACTTCTTCTTTCATACTTGTCACGCACACCCGCACATACTGCGCATTCTACCCAGTAGGGTCATTGCGTTTTATACAACACATGACACTTTGGAGGAGCCGCATCACCCGCATCACAATCAAAACATAATCTCGCGCTCTCTTCGCGATTGATTCTCAGCTCATATTAAACAGAGAGATATGTATGTACAATATTAATACTGACTCATCATCAGGACAACTACTGGGATTATATTGTCTTTGACAAGAAAGAAAAAAAGAGAAGAGATATATCCTCGTTCTAAAAAAGTCAATTGCTGGGAGGGGGTTTTTTTTTAGATGAGGTAGAAATGACCTATTGACAGCATCGTGCGAAAGCACAACTGACGGGCTGAGCACGGCCGCGGCCTCATTTCCAACGTTATATACACACAAGAGTCTGGCAACTTTACTGATTAAGCCCCTATGACTATGCAATTTATGTACATTACTGTACTAAGTTTCACTTGAGATATCTAGGCGAAGTTGAAAAACTACATCAAATTGTCAACGAACGAGAGTTCACTTTAATATCTACTTTTTGATCATCATTCTTTTAATCCAAACTTTTTGATAGTTCTTTTTTTTTTTTTTTTTTCATAGAGCCTTGATATCGTTCCCTTACAAAAAATATGAAAATTAATAATTAAATTAAAAAAAAATTTTTTTTTTTTTTTTTACAAAAATACATCAGAGAATTGATTTTTTGATTAAAGTTAAATTCGTTAAAGTAACATTTTTTTTTTTCTAAATGCAATTTATTTTCTTTTACTATATACCTCGATTCAAATTGAATTCGCAGTTAGTCCATCGCTGATCAGTTTTAATTTTCAGCTGTCAATTAAATTCGTATGTAGTTTTATATCCTTTCCAATACACGAGATTTTTATATTATGGTTTTACTTCTAATGAAATCTGTGAAAAAAATTCATAATTAATATATTGTTCCACAAAAAAATTTTGAACTATTCTTATTATTGTTCTTCAAACAAAGAACAAGGAAAAAAATACTTTTTATTAACTGGAAATTATATAAATTAAAACTACATAAACTTTACAATAAATAGGAAAATAATTCATATTCACTAAAGTTAAATTATACATATAAATTTATCAAACAAGATAAATATACTTAAATGTATATAAATTTTCTGTTAGCTATTATACCTTCTTTAAAGTAATAAAAAAACGAGAAAAATATTAAATATTAAAAATAATATATTAATATAAAAAAGAAAAATTCAAATAATTATCTTAAATTTAATAAATAACAAATTTGAAAATTCTATTACAATTATTTTTATTACTAATATATTTTCAAATTGTTCATAATTATTTAATTATTTATTTAAATATTTTAATCCTATTTAGAAAAAAATTTCAGTAAAAAATTAGAATACTTAGTACTATTTTATAAAGAAAAGAAAGCTGCCTGCGAATTCCGAGAATTTAAGGTTGTCTTTTGTTTCTCAGAATCAGACAGAATTCATAATATTAGAAAAGAATAAAATCATTTATTTCATAGAAAAATAATTACTATAACTTTTTTTTTATAAATTTAAATTAAAAATGTAAAAAAAAAACATACAAAAAAACGTTAACTTTCCACTAGAAATAAATAAAACAGATAAAAATAGTCCATTTCTAATAGCACATTCGGTTATGTGCTCTAAACTGCTCCAAGAGTGCTCCAACTCAGAACCATGTGTTCGGGTTGGCAACTCTGCCCCGGAGCATATCGTGTAGCGTATTCGACTTGACAACACCGCTCCGAGAGCAGGCAGAACACGTGTTCGTGTAACACGCTCCGCTACGTCACAGAGCATTTTGCGTATTCGAGATACAAATCCTGCTCCACGACAGGGCAAAAAACGTATTCGGTTTGTAACATAAATCCACCCCGGAGTCAATCTAGAGCAAGAAATCTTGCTCCATCTTTTTCGACGGAGCGACAGCAATAATTTTTTAAATATCTTACTGCGCATGTCATATTTTGAATTTTAAAATGGAAATTGAAGCAGAAACTTTGACTTTAGCTTTTGAACTTTTAGAAAGTTCTAGTGATGATAGTGATAATGAATTTTTTGAAGTTATGAATGAATTTCTTATAGAAAAAAGGATAGAACAGGCCTCCCAATAAAACCTTTTCCTGTTTACCGATTTAAAAGACTCAAAGCTCCATAAAACAATAAATTTTTTTCTCAAATCAGACTTATTTCTACTCTCTACAACCTTTGGTTACATATGTTCTGAAAATTTATTTTTCACTTTTATTACTCAAGCTGTTCAATTTTACTATTATCAGAAAAAGAGAAAAAAAATTTTTTTTAAATGTATATACACTGAGAGGACAATCTATTTAATTTTAAACGAATCCTTTCATCGTAAACGAATTTTCCTTTTAATATTTATATTTAAGAGGATTTTCTTTTATGATAAAAGGAAAGTTCTTCAAATTATATCTTTTTAATATTATAAGAAATTATTTTACTGTCAAAAAGGAAACATTTTGGAATAAGCTAAAAGTAAATAGGTTATTAATTTTTTATTAATTACTAACATTAGTAACTAATTAATTAATTATTATTGTGTATTAATTTTAAATAAATTAAATTAAATCAATAAAATTAATATAAAAATTTAATTATTATTATTAGTCAATAATTTTTTTAATAAAACTCGAAATTCTCGAAAAATTAAAATTATTACGTCTTTCATAATAATAATAATAATTATTATTTTTCATTGACAATTTTTTATATGCGCTTTTTTATTTAGTTCCTAATAATTTTTTCAAAAAATAAAATTTTTAAAAAAATTTTACTTCGCGCTAAATTGAAAAATCTGCTTTGGAGTACTCCAGTCGCTCGCAAGCAGAGTGCTCTGAAAAAGAATTTATTTTATTACGTCATTTGCCTTTCTGCCATGGAGCAGATCGTTGGCAGATCACTGCTAATGACGTCACACATTGCTTCGTTCTGAAGCAAAGCACTCTGTGGCAAAGTTGCCAATTGCTCTTGCTCCGAGTAAGGGCGCTCTCAGAGCAACATAACCGAATGTGCTATAAAGCAATCGAAATTGAATTCCGAGAATTTGACAGGAAATGGCGGGATTCTCGGTATTCTAATGTTTTTGATAGAAACTGTTGACAAAGTTCATTGAACTTGATAAAAATGCAAATAAATTTTATTCTATTGTTTTTCATTGTTTATTGTATAAAAAAAGAAAATCACTTACCCCTTTTTTGAATGTATTCAAAAATTTTCAGCTCAATTTTGAAAAATATCGACACCACACATCCAATGAGTCCTGAGATGAAAGTCGATTGGGAAAAATCCGGCACAATTTGATTTCTCTTGATTTAATTTATAAACAATGGTTAATTATCTTTGGTTAATTATTGCACAATTTGTAGCTACTGTCAGTTATTAAAAACTTGTTTAATTAAAATTTTTAAATTAAAAATCCAGCAGTTCTCTTCGTCGTTGTCGTCGGTGAAACTAAATCTAAAACAATGAAGCATCTGTCTCTTTCTAACGAGACTATTAAAATTAGCGCACTCTACTGGCTATTAGTGATAGCTGCTGCTTGCAAATGTTGCCAACACTAAATAGGTAAATTTTTAAATTTCTTCAAAGTGATGAAAAATTTTTCTATTTACTACACTGTATGGCGCGAAAATGATTCAAATTTAAATTTAATAATATATAATCCTATTAAAATAGGAAATTGGAATAAATTAAAAAATTTGGAATACAATTGTAATCAATTTATACAAATATTTATATATAAAATAAATAAATTGCAATAATTTCATTTTTAAACGATTCAAATTTACCTTGAGTTACCAATGGAATGTTTGATCGATAAGTAAATAAAAGGCTGTCAACGAAACAATCGAAGTCTAAATATTGAAAATATATTGTAAAAATTTAGTCACTTAATTTACATTTAATTTAAAAAGTGATATTTAAAAAAATGTCTGATCTAACACAAAATTTGCTATCAACTTATTATGGATTCGGTAGACAAACCGAAATTGGAAAAACATTATCAACTCACGAGAGTGTCAAAATAATGAATGATGAAATAAATATTTCCTTTATTGACGAATCATTGGAAAATGAAGAAGAATCTTTAACAATAGAAGAATCTAAGGTGCTTTAAGATACTTTCTTTTTATTTAAATACGAAAAAAATTTGTCCATAAAAAATATTTTATTAAAAAAAAAAAAAAAATTAATAAAAATTATATTCTGCAGGAAGATACTATTGAACAATGTGAAGAAGGATTTTCAACTCTAGATGACAAATCATCAATTTGCGACGAAGAAGTAATTGACGATGAAGATTTTTCCCTAGAATATGTCGATATTGTTGATAAACTTTGTGAGGAAAAAAGTTCTGCAACTTTAGAAAACGATACTGTTTCTTTGGAAAATAATTTTAAAAAATTAAAACAAAAAGATATTGAGAATGAAAATTTAGAAAATGAAAAATTTTCATATAATGAAATAAATGAAAATGATAAATTTGACAAAACTGTAAGTTCCTGTAGAAAATTTTCTTCAATAGAACAATCTTCTGATGGAACATTTTTAAATTTAAATCGCTCTGGAATATCTTACTTTCCAAAATATATATTTGATAAATTTCTAAATATCAAGGTTAGATTTTGTTATTCCACTGATATAATAATTTGAAATAATAATTTGCTTAAAATTAATAATTCAAATAAATCAATTATTTTAATTTAATCTATTAAATTTGTATAGAATAAAAAAAATCTAAAATATTGTTATACTGAAATAATATATTTTATTTTTCAGTTTCTTTATTTGGAAGGAAATAAATTAGATGAAATTCCAGAAGAACTTTTTACAAATCTAAAATCTCTTCAATGGTTTGATGTGCGTAATAATCAAATACAATTTTTACCATTGAATGTGAAAGGACATTTAAATCTTGAAACTATTTTAATTCAGAGAAATAAAGTGGAAAAATTACCAATCGAACTTGGTAATTAATATTTTGTTTTATATTACAAAAAATTTGAAATTCTAAATTTTTTTTTGTACATTTTTTCAGGTACACTGTTAAAATTGAAAAATCTCCAAACAGCAAATAATCCTCTGCTTTATCCACCTGCAGAGATTTTAAATCTCGGTTCAAATGAAGTTTTAAAATTTTTACGTAAGGAGTGGAATACAATAAATCCTAAAGAAACTATTGAAATTAAAGAAGGTAAAATTAAATTTTGAAAAAGAAATTATAAAAACTAAAAATTAACTAATTAATTAGGATTAATTTATCTAATTAGATGAAATTTCGTTAAATCCTTCAACGGTATTAAATTATCAATCAAAGAAAAATAGTAAACATTTTTTGAAAATACCAATGAAAAAAGAGGAAAAATCATCAACAAGAATGCGTAGATGGAACTATAAACCAAGTAACAGGTATAATAATATTTCCTTTCAATCGACATCAAAAAATAACGAAGAGCTTATTTTATGTAAAAATTGTGCTAATTTAAATTTGAATGAACAAATGAAAAATTCAAATTCTTGTAAAAAAAGAAATTCAATGAAACATGTCAATGTTAATCATAAAAAGTCCCAAATTACTGCAATTTCCAATTATTATTATAATTTTACAAAATTAGGACCAATACAACGATCTCATTATGTAAAAAATAATGTTTACAATCTCATTAGTCACAAAGAGAATACATTAAAGCTTTGTCAATTAAATACACTGAAAATAGATCTCATGAGTCGAGATTATCAAAAAAATCAAATTAAATACTTATATGGAAATAATGTGGAAAAACGAGAATTCGACATTATCACAAAGAATGCAATTATTACAAAATTAAATCCCCTTCAATTAAAGAATCCTAAATTAATGTTAAATTTTTTGAAAAATTATTTAAACATAAAAAAATAAATAAAATTTTTTTTTTTTTGCAAGCCTATGAGGAAATAACTACTGTTTAAATATTAGAATTTTCATTTTACGTTTAAGAAATTAAAATATAATACCTTCTCGATGAGAATGTTAGAAGAAAATTTCAAAAATGTTAAAAAATATTTTTTTAACAACTAGATGTGAGAATTACAAGCCAAATGAATATTTAGAAATTCGACTTTTAAAAATGAAAAAAGCAAAGGAATTTTTGGACAGAAGAGCTTTAGAACTTCAAAGATTAATGTAAGCTTCTATAAAATTTTATCAAATTTTATTTAATAAAATTAAATTTATCAATTTCGTGGCGTTTTCATTATTCAGAGATAGAGCTACTTTAAAAAAATGGAGATATGATCGTAGTAGCTACGATAAAAGTATGAGAAAAGCTGCAAATAGAAGAGAAGGTAAATAATTCGTGAAATTATTACTAAATTTTAAATAATTCGAAATTAATTTTCATTCCGAATTTCAATTTTTTAGAAGATATTCCCTTTGCTGTAGATTCAAATCTTATTCCAATTTCAATACAACCAATTGTGAAAAAGGTACGAGATTCATTATTAAAACTAATGTGTAATTAAATAATTACAACTTATATTAAAAATTAAAAAATTGCAATAATGAAAATTTTAATTTCATCTTTTTACATTCAGAAAATGTCTACAGCAAAAAATATAATTTTTGAAGAACCAATCACGTGAGTATAATAATAGTTATTTGCCAGATGACAATTTAAAAAATGTGAATTTTTATTAAGATAAAAAAAGTAATTTAAAAAATTACTTGTTTCAGAGATATAAATAAAAATATCGATCAAATTTTTGAGTCACTAAATAAACTTAAATTAACTCAATTACCCGAAAATTCAAATACGAAACACAATAAAAATCTATTGGAAGCTGAAATGCAAAAGGTATTTTAACAATTTTTAACCTGAGAAATAAATAATATATAATTATTAAAAATAAAAAAAGTAATAAACATACCAACAATAATAAAACTAATACATTTTTAATGTTAAAAATTTAATACAAATTGTTATAATTGTTTTTGTATAAAATTCCTAACAATAAATATATTAATTCATGTACAGTGGAACCTCAATAAATTGAAATTCGAGGGAAATACTTTAAAATTAATAAAGTTTTTAAAGAAATTCACAAAAAAAGTCAAATAAAACGGAAGAAAACAAGAATTTTCGATTCGATTTAACAAAATTCTATTGTACATTGTAAAATATTAATTTATAATTTTGCAGATCCTAGATTTGCAAAACTCAATCAAGCATCTTAAAATGTACAACGATATCGTCATGGATCCATTTTTCATCAAAGAAGAAATGGATTGTAAATCATATAAAGCTCCACCACCCCCGATAATAATTTAACAGAAATCAAAGGTAAAAAAAAATCTAATTGTTTCTACAGAGATCTACTCAAAATTTTCATAATTGTTAATATTGACTGCAGCAAATAATATTTAACTATTTAAAAAAAAATGATAATAGTGTAAATGGATCATGGATAATCACACAATTACATAAAAAAGTGAAAGTATATTTTTTCAAAATCACATAATTTTTTTTTAAATAAAATTCATTTATGGCTTTAAAAAAAAAAGTTAAAATTAACTATTCCGACAATATTAATAACATTGTAAATTAATCTGTTGATCATTATAGAATGTTACATGGAAAGAATTTTATGAAATTTATAAATATTAATACAAAGTAAACGTAGATTATTTGTGAGAAAGTTCTACATTTATAAAAAACATTTCTTTTTTTCTTTTACATCGAAGAAATTTTTGTTTTTAAATATTTTATTTCACAGTTGCAATGTACTCGGGTAGTAAGAAAGCTACGTTCATTACAATGGAGATAAATATAATCTTTTTTTTTTTTTTTAACTTTCCTTTTTCAATTTTCAGCAAGCTACCCAATAAAATGATTTACTTTACATTATTTGTTTTTCATACAGAGAAAATTTTTCATGCATTTTTTTTTTGTACACTTAAAACATTATTGATAATATACTACTTATTTTCTGGAAAACATAGAAATCTATATGAAATGAATAATTACACAGCAAAAACTTCAAAAAATTAAAAAAAAAAAAAACAAAATTAATAATATAAATTTTGTTAAGGTTGCATAACCGTTTACACTATTAAATCTATAAAAATTAAATGCATAATATCAAAATTAACTTTACTACAAAAAAAGAACAATTAAAAACTTCCTACATTTCCGTTATTCATATAATTAAAAAAACAAAATAATTAATTTTTCACGATACTAAATTTTTAGAAAATATTTTCTTCTAATATTTTATAAAATCAACATTTTTAATAATTATGTATACCTAAGCAAAAGACAAATATTTAATCTCTACATTATTAATTGGAGAAACGATTCTATATACCCTATATAAAAAAAATAAGTCTCAATATTTTTGACTAATAAATCAACTTAAAAATTTAAATTGTCATTTCAACAAATTTTTAAGTATATTTATTCTATAATTTTAATATAGATAATGTGCGTTTTTCTATATAAATAATTAAAAAAAAAAAAAAAAAAAAAAAAATTATAAAACACTGAAAAATCTATTTTTAAATTGCGATCGATTAATTCATATAGTTGAGAAAAAGGCATTAATTAGTAATGATGTGTACAACGAGAATTAATTGAAACGATTAAAATTTTTCTCTCTAACTTTTGCATTTATAACATTAAAAATGTTTTCTTTAATTAATTAATATTGCTCTAAATTTGTGTATATCCTAATAAGAAATGTGACATTATATGTCGCACATAATCACGAAATGTTTTTTTTAACTACACTTAAAATTTCCATCTAAAAAAGATAAATATGAATTCAAAGGCTGAGTTGTTTTATTTAGATATATTTAAAAAGTGAGAAATTAAACTCATTTGTAGAAATTTATTAATAGCGCTTATTAAAGTACTATATAATCTGTACTTTATTTCTATCGATTTTCTCGCACTACTGCATTTATTTTTATTCTTTAATTTTAAGTATACTAAATTGCAAATCCATCGTACTGAATTTGTCCAATTGTATTTACAATCTCGATCTTTTTTTCTTATTTTTTTTCTTGTTTCTTTGTTTATCTACGATAAAATGCACAGTAATGCGTGAATCGATATCAAAGAGCCATTTTCACAATTTTGTGATATAGAAAAAGATTGACGTGTATATATATATATATATATTTTTTTTTTCAAAAAGTATTTTACCTTTTCTAATAGGCAAAAATGTTTTGTGTATTATTTTTAATAACATATACACATCGTTGTGGAAAATTTGTCTAAAAATCTTATTTCTACAACCATTTTGTTTCACTTGCAAAAAGAATAAGAGTGGGTTTTTTTTTAAAGTCAGTCTCCTCTTTCTTTTTGTCAGGAAAAAAAAGTTTTTTGAAATTCTAGAAATCATCTCTACTTCTGTATTATCGAAGTTGATTGAAGTAGATTATTAGAAAATATTGATTCAGTTATTACCTTTCGTTAGAAACTTCTATACATGATAATTGGAGAATTATCACTCTTCATTGGCGAATAATCCACAAATCCAAGTTTGGCGTAGAATTCATGCATTTCCTTATCACTATTTGATATTGTTGTATGAACACCAAAAGATCCTGAAAATTTATTTCAAAATATTAATTAATTTTTATTCTCATAAATGTTTAATTGACTGAAATTCAATTTTAAATTCATAAAATTGAAATATGAACAAAATTGCATTGATATGGTAATAAATGAATATTTGCGTTAGTGTTATAAAAAATAAATCTCACCATTAGCTCTCAATGCGGCGAGAATACATGTAATTAGTCTTTTTGCAACTGATTGATCAGTAACAGTAGATAATACTGAACATATAATACGTGATGGATGTTGTCTCTCCAATTGTTCTGGCACATCAGGAACAAATGAGTGGAAATACTGAATCGCCTCCTAATAAAACATTATTTTTTTAAAAAATAAAACAGTAAAATCAAAAGTAAAATGTTCAAACTTGCTGTGAAATAGTATAAAAACAAAGAAAACAGAAAAAAAATACAAATATATAAATTTATTAAAAAAAAAACTGAAAAAATATAATAAAATACCTGAATATTTTGCGGCAACTCGTTGACACTCTCATTTAATGGATATTTCGCACACATTTCCGGAATCCACGAAATTGACAATTTTTTATTATGATTTATAATATTTAATACCGACAATGCATATCCAACAATACCGTCTTCGTTTTCTACGACCATACAAAGCTCAGGACTCAATGTTAAAAATTCTCCGACAAGTCTAATAAGTCAATTAAAATTCGATTATTAATATATAATTAAAAGAATTTGCTAAAAAATTATTTTACCTATCGGCAACAGCAGATGACATTGTACAGCCAGTGATTCGATTGCAAACAGCGTAAACCGCATCTTCGTCACTCGATAAATATGGTCTAATTGTGTAAATTTCACTTGTAGGCACTTCCGGAGCTTTGTAGACAAATAAATCATTTCCGTTGTCCACTGGTATTAATCTCTATTGAAAAAAAGAGAAATATATTTATATTCTTTTTTAAAATATATATATATGTAAATCTTTTTAAATTAATTATCAAATGGAACATATTTTTTTCTTTTTAAATAATCATTTTAAACATAATTTATACCTGTAGATCAGCTGTGAGACCACCGCGAAACACCCAAGGCTCCTGATCTCCACTCATGAAAGTTTCCTTCCACCCATTTGAAAACCCTATCCCAAAAATAATAATTTTATTTAAACTAATAAATACATTTTTCAATATATATATCTAACGAATAATCTCCGCTGCTTTAAGGCCATTTTATTTAAACATGCATTTTTTTCAGCAAATTTCATTAATATACCTTAAATTTAGCACTTCTATTATTTTTATTTTAAGTGATCAAAATAATAAACATTTTTTAATAATGTAATAATTTAAATTTTCTTTGACTATAATTTTTATGTTATTAAAATTTCTTTATAAATAAATTAAATCATCTTTTACTGAAAGTATAATAATTAATTTCTAAATTTTTCTGATAGTTCATTAATAATTTGATTTGTTAAAAAAAAAAATTCAACAAATATTTTCCTTTTTTTCAATATTGTAATTTTAATAAGCATTGTAAATATCATAATAAATTTATTTTAAATTCAAAAAGAAGTATTAAATTTACAGTCGCGCATCATAATCTCTTGATAAATAATTAAAAAGGAATGTTGATAAGGTGATAATTATAATAGTGAATTGTTTATAATGCCAAAATGCACCTGAAATGAAACTTGTATTATTCCTGCAAAAAATATCAGTCTGAAATTAAAGGAAAACAAATTAGTGCTGGCAAATTGGCAGAATGAGCAATTTATTAATTGATCAAGAATTTTGAAAAATTACTATTTAGAAAAAAAATATGAATTAAATGAGCAAATTTTTAATAATTATCTTTGTTATTTACTTCTTCAATCATAAAATATAATAAATTTTTTAATATAAATATCTATAATCAATTTTGTTTTTAGTTTTTATACGATACCATTATTATTTTTTTTTTAAATGTGCCAAAACAATCAAGAAAAATAAATAAAAAAAAAACCGTTTCCTTGATCGATTAAAATTATTCATATATTTACATACATTCTGTAGGAATATCAAGAGATTATGAATTTTTTGTAAAATTTTCTTAAATTACCAGCAGTTGTGTTTCGAACAAAACATTTCTTTGACATAAATTGAGAAAATTAATTTATTAATTATTGTTATATTTCTATTTATGATTAATTTCATTTAACTGAGAAATTAAAATTTTAATTAATTAGTTAATCAATTTTCATAATTTGCAATTTTTAAAAAATTTGTAATTAATTTAATTTTACTTTCAAAAAAATGTATTTGACAAAAATCTCACCCCTACGCGCTTATGATTCTTGCTTTAAACAGAATCTTAAAATATTATTTACTGCCGAGCCTGTAACTTTTTTTTCTATAAATAATATAATCAAATTATAATATTACTATTATTATTGATAATAATTAATTTTGTGATAGAAGAAAAAATAAATTTGTAAAAAGTTAAAAACTTGGCAAATCGCGCGTCATGCGTTGTTACTCAAAAAAATCCAAAGAATCTCGTACATGTATAGCTTCCTTGTGTAAACGTTGTCATCGATGATGGAAATCTGCCAAATGCTATAAACAAGACAAAAAAACCACAAAAAGCATAATTAGTAAATGCTGTTGAGAATAATCGTTCCACATCGAAATTGATTTTGGAGGAAAGTATTCGTATTCCTCTTTATTTTTCTTTCTACCAGCAGCTTGATTGGATCCGCTAATCACCGCACATTATCAAACGAATACGTTCCTCCCAATATATATATATTTATTTTTATAACTGTAAAAGAAAGTCAATTGATATTTACAGTTGCTGCAGTCAAATTCAGTAAACAATGCTATTGATTCATTTTTTTCAATTATAATATTAAAAAGAAAATTGTTTCATCAATAAATTATAGTTCGTCTAATAATAAAATAATCTTCTTAAAATTTTCTCTCAAAAATATTAAGGTTTTTAATTTGAATAATTAAAAAAACAACAATTTTTAAATAAAAGAATAATAATTAATAGTAATAGAAACTAAACAAACAAATAAAAATTACATAATTAAAATATTTCCTTTACAAATGAATATAAATAATGTAATAAAATAAAATTTACTAAAAAAATAATTAAAAAATAAAAATTCTAGAATTCAATACATAATCTGTTAAGAATATTGTCCAATAGTGGTTTTTAAATTGTTTACTAATTAAAGAATATATTCTAAATTTAAATTATTATTATTATTTATTTTTATTTATTTATTCATAGTCCACACCTTTCGGTTTCGGACGAACTTCCGGTTTACATCTTTCTATTCTTATATTACATCAAAATAATTGCACAAAACGTAAATTTAAATTATTATTATTATTATCTAAGCATCATAACCTCTTAAGTGTGTCAAACTAAACTTAAAACTGTTGGAAATAATTCATAACATTATTATTAATTTTGAATTTCATCTAGTAGAATAGTAATTTTAAAATTTTTTATATAAATTGGACACCGCGCGCATTACATTTACCTCTAAAGCGCAGAAGTACATGTAAACAATAAAGTGTAAAAAATTCAATGTTTTTCTTTGTTCGATTTTTTCTTTCATTTTTTTCTATAGATAAGTAGAAAAAAAAAAATTTTAAGCCAAAAATTCTACCAAAATGCACTCTTTAATAAAATACAATTAATTTTTTTTTTTTCCTATTTTATTAAATCATTTTAATGGAACAATGACTAGCAAGCACGTGAAAAAATCCATTCGTTTTGCAAAGCAATTTTTTAGTCGTCAAAAAGATAGTTTCAATATTGAAAAATTTATTAAATGAATTAAAATTTGTAACTCTGTAATAATAATTATAGTTAAATTTAAAAAGAATTTCAATAATTAAGTTTGTCTCATATTTTTGTGACAAAAAAAAAAGTTTTCCTTGCCAAACGATTTTGTATTTATGTGTGAAAAATCGAAAAAAAAATATATGAGTGTTAAACTTACCTGCAGTAAAATAATTTCTGAAAATAGACTTGAAAAAAAATATTCGTAAAAGTGTACAAAAATATTGTTGGCACGCAATTTAATTGTGAAATAATAAATCAATAGCAATATATTTAAATAAAAAAAGAAAATATAGCAACTACTAAATTGATTGATAAATTAAAATTTCTATGAATAAAATTTTCTATTTACTGAGATACAAATGAAAATTATGACATTATCAGCAAACTAGTACAATGAAATGACTTTCTTTAGTGTATATTTCTTTTGTATATTAAAAAAATGTATTCACAGTTGAATCATAAGATTTTCAATTAAAAATGTTAATATTAATTTAATAATTTTTAGTTTTAATTTCGAGATAATATCTTTATTTAAAAACAATCATCATATTTTTAGAACCAATAACGTGCTTTAATGTTTAAATGAGAAAAAAAAAAATGTTAATAACTTACCGAGCCACTTGATGTAACTGTTCAATAACGAAACAACTCCCCTCATATCCCATACGTACGAATATAAATCGTACAATAATTCACGATTGTTACAGTACGTTAATCGTTGAAAAAGTCTATTAACTGAATTACACATTTCATTTAGTTTAGCTGTTCGAGAGTGCCACTCATCAATCTAGAGAAATTTAAATATTATTTTGTAATTAAAATTAATTTAACGTTATTAATAATAAACATAATTTCCATTATTGACATAAAAAATAAATTCTTTTTTAAATTACTCACATCGGCATTCGAACTGGGTTCTTCATCTTTCAATTTTTTAATAACAATTTGTGCGTTGCTTTTTAACCAATTAAATTCCTGAAGTAATTGAATTCCCTGACCACCATGTTCAAATGGCAAATAAAAAAGATCGCACAGCAGGGACAAATCTTCATGTGTTAATTTATTAGCCTCTTTAATATTCAAACTTTCTTGACTTGGACTCGCGTTATCATTGCTCACAATATTTTCATGATTTTCATTATCATTTTCAACTACCATTTGATTGCCATTAATACTTGGTGAAGTGTTGTCTACCTCTACTTGCATACTTCCTGAAGCTCCGCTGCATGTCTGAAAAAAAAAATATTCCAATCTTTATAATAATAATAATTTCAATCAATTGTAATTAAAAGAAACTAAAATAAAAATAAACTCAATTTAAAATTTTTAAGTCGAATTTTAAAAGAATTGATTATAATTGGCACTATAAAAATCGAATTAAAAAAAAAATGTATTACTGAAGAATTTTCCACCATGACATCATCTTCAATGGGAGTTTTAGCAACATGTGCCGGTGAGTTACCAGGAGTTGTATTACAATCCATTGGCTCAGTGGAAGGTAAAATTGTTGTTGTTATTGATGCTGCGGCAATTGTACCTGATGGAGGTAAGGAAAGTTCACTGACGACTTTTGTCTCCGATATTAAAGAATTCATAACAGGACCCACTGGTGGTATAAAACTATCATTCACCGATACATTGGTACAAACTTCAGCTAATGCTTGAAGATGATTCGAATTACTTATCACCACTGGAGCAGCTGCCACCGTTGTATTCGTCGTCGATGTTAAACTCATACACGTATTCACTGAGGGAATAATTGGTATTGGTATTGTTGGCGCGACGCATGGTTGTGGTTTCGCTATAATACCCCATGCAGCTCGTTTTTTATCAAATTCTGGCAACCATTCGTTAATTGCATTTTTTAACGCATGCCGCGGATGATACATATTTGCCGATAATGTCGAAGGCACATCTTCACCCACCACACCATCTTCTGTTTCTGTTTCTAATTTTATGTCCGCCGAAACAGTGTCATCTGAAATAATTAAATTTAATTAAAAACGTCCATAATTTTTCATTTTCTTATTACGATATTATTAAATTCCATTTACTTAAACTTAAATCTCGCTTTCCATCGACATTACATCTACTCCATTGTGCTAATGTGTGAATTGCAATAAAATTTGCACCATACTCGCAATTGGGATTTGTGAGAACACCACGTAATTTTGGAATGAGATCGGGTGATCTTCCAGAATATGGTCCAAGAAATACACGTTTTTGATCGTAATCATTTGCGTGTAAATTATCCCAAATAACAGGTGGTCGTCTAAGGACTTCTGTTATTTCTTCTATTGATTCAACGGACAATAATCGTGATATAACTTTTGGACCAGTCCACATTATATCAATTTCTTGTGCTAATTTACTACCAAGGGTATTAAGATATTCAGATGTGGATACATTTGGAACTGCACGTGTCGCACAATATTGCGTTGGACATAAAAGAAAACGTGGTTGTCCAAGATGTTGAAAAATATCATTTGTCACAGATACCTGCAAAATATTATTATTTTACGAGAATTTCAATTCAATAAATTATTTAGTTACAAGATATTATTGAAATTCTGAAGAAAAAAAAAAACAATCTCATAACATACTTGTGCGTGTGCAAATGATTGAAATACTTCCTTATCCGCTTCACTCATCTCCGGCTCGATATCATCGAATAACAGAGCAAAAGCAGTACATCCAAATTGACTAACTTGTTCTAATTTTCTCTTCAAAGCTGTCACTTCTTTTGCACTAGAGTAAGTTATATCTAAACCAGGTGATAGGGCATAATAAAATGTAATTCCCGATTCTCGGGCGGCAGTGATTAAACCAGTTAAATGCTCAGCTTCCTCGACAGTGTACAAATCTCGCCAGTAAGCACGATGCTTGTAATCGTCTTTTGGAGCATAAAGATACGAATCCATTCCCCATTTTTTTAATCTAAAAAATTACATATTTATTACATTTTACTCATTTTACTTGCAAAAAAAAAAAAAAAAAATTAATTTTACATACTTTCGAAAAAGGTCCTTCCTCTGTTCTGTGGTCCATGGACGACCATAAAATCCTGTATAAAAAAAAAATCATTAGATTCTAATAAATTATCAAAGAAATTAATAGTACATATTATATAGAAAATAATACTTTCTTAAGTGATAAAATTATAAAAATTCACAATTTATCGCAACATTTCAAAATTAAACAAATTTTTTTAACATTTTGTAAATAACAAATGTTTGCCTTTCTTTTTAATTTCCGTTTTTAAATAACACATAGAAATAAATGAGAAATATTCACAAATAAAGAAATAAAAATATGAATTTAAAAGACAGATGTTTTATATACATAAGATTCTGTCAAAGGTATAGAAAAGTATTGCAGATTTTACTCACCTTCTACGACACCGCAAATAAAATTACCATTTTTAGTATTTGAATTAGCACAACCATTTGTTTCCGTCATTTTTTTTTTTTTTTTTTTTTTTTTTTGTGAATTTTTCAATAAATTTTTATATTAAAACAATAATTAAGAAAAAGTATACTATACGAAATACACGTTTTCAATATAGAACGTTATTTTTATAAGCGCAAAGCGCAAAAAATCCTTCGAAAATAAATCTCTACTAATTTTTAAAAAATGTCACATTTTATATAATTTCTAATTAGTTCTACAATTGACGATATTATTATTTTATTATAAATACACGTAAATATTCGTTGATTATGCTTACAATCATAAATAAATTAAATATTTAAAAATTACTGGTAAAATTCCGAAAATTTTTGGCTCACGATTTTTCGGCCTCTGAAATAAATTTAAGTTATATAGAAAGGAAACTCGTGTTTGAAACGTGTTTTCAAATTTTTGCCGCTTGGCGGCGTTGTAATTGATAATTTAAAAAGTTAAATGCCAAAAAAAAAATAAGTTTTTATTTTCTTATAATTTAAATTAATAAAATATTTCAAAATTACAAGGTTTACTATTAAATATTAACTTTTTTTTAAATCTTAAATTTCTTTTTAATCTTTTTTTATTTGGAAAAATACATTTTTTTTTTAAGTATATTGTGTGCGTAAACAATAAAATAAAAACTGTGTAAAAATACTTATATAATAAACAAAAAAAAATTGTGTCTTTAAAAAACCATCTTAAAATTTTTTAATTAACAAAATAAAATAATCAAGTTGCTTGATTTTTTTTAAAAACTACTGTATCACAAATTACTTTTCGCCACAAAGAAAGAAATTATTTATTTATATAAACAAATTATATTTTAATATCTTTTCCTTAAAATTCTAAATCGCCATTTTCATTATTTTCCATTTCGCTGTATGATTTGAAATTACTTAAAAATGCATTCTCTTCTGTAGTATTTTTTTTAAAAAATACATATACTTTCTCGTGTTGAGATTGAAATTTTTTTTGCCCGAATGTTAAGTGACAAAAAGTGCACTTAAATTTAATTTCAATTTTATTTTTCAGTTTAAAATGAATTTTCTTGTGTTTATTTAAGTAACATTGCCGAGTAAATTTCTTAACGCAAATTGAGCAACAATAAATATATTCAGTTAATTTCATCACATTAATATGACGAATTATATATCTCTTTACGCGTTCGTGAGTCGTGAATTTTTTCTTACACATATCACATTCAAAATTTGAATTGGTATTTATTTTTGAATTTGGCGTCTCTTGATAAATAATATTTGAATCAATATTATTTGTTTCCATCACTGGTTGATTTTGAGAATAAAAATTCGTTTTAAGTTGCAAAATCATTCATTATATTCGAATCGATATTTGTTTTTCAATTTATCACATCTTGATAAATAATAATGTTCAAATCATTATTTGTTTTAATCACTGGTTCATTTTGAGAATGAAAATACAATTTTCTTTTATGTTGAGAATAAAAATTCGATGGTTTTTGCAAATTCTTCATCATATTTGAATCGACAATACTTGATAAATCACCGGTTCATTTTGAGCAAAAAAAAATAATTAAATTTTCGTTGTAAATCCATCTGTGTCTTTCAATTATTACTATTTTAAGTAAACATCATTAGAATTAGATTCATCGCTATTTTCTTGATTAGATGAAATTTCATAATTGTGGATCATCATGTGTTTGGAGAGAAATTTTTTCCTCGAATAACCTTGATCACAATATTGACATTGATAAAGTTTAATTCCCGTATGTAGAGACATATGAGTTCTAAGATCGTGACTACGACTGTACATTTTGTTACATATCAAACATTGATAGGGTCTTTGTTCCATATGTATTCGTTTATGATACTTGACATAATCCAATTTACGAAATGATTTCGAACAAATATCACAGGAGAATGGTTTTTCATTTTTATGAATATGCACATGCGATGTTAGCGAAGATTTTGTTGATAATCTCTGATGGCAAATGTGACACTCATATGGTTTAACACCCAAATGTCCGAGCATATGAGATTTTAAAAGGGTAATTGTACGTAAATTTTTTTGACAAATTTTACATTTATAAGGTGTGTTGAGTTTGGTCAGGGGATTTCCTTCTGAATATGCGTCACTACGATAATATGTTTTACTTTTGTTTACACCACAATCAAAAGGCCTATCACCAGTGTGAAAAGCCATGTGAATTTTTAAAATTGATGGTTCAATAAATCTTTTTCCACATTTGTTACATGTGTAAAGTTTCTCGTCCAAATGCTTTATTATATGTGTTTCTAGTGATTGTTTTATTTTAAATTGTTTTGAGCACATGTCACACTTGTAGAATGAATTATTGTTTATCAAAGAGTATAAATTCTTTTTATCTTTAATGTGAATGGAATCATTTTTAATCATTGATGATGTATTAATTATATTTTCATTTTCATTTTGATATAGTAATAGGTCTTTTAAAAAACTTTTTTGATATTGTGGAGATTTTGAAAAAATGTTCTCTTGTGGACTGCAATTTACAACGTCTATTTCTTCTTCAACATCATTATTTTTATTTTGAAAATGTAAAGGATCTTTCAAAAGACACCTTGGCTTTTGTGACGACTTTGAAAATTTTTTTATTCGTGAACTTTTTCTAATTTTTTTTTCCTCAACATCTTCATTTTCACTTAAAAAATGTAGCAGATCTTCTGGAAGACTTGTTAAAATATTTTTCTGATTTTGTGTTGAACTAAAAGATTTTTTCACTCGTGGACTCCTTCTAATTTTTTTTTCCTCAATATCTTCATTTTCACTTAAATAGTGTAGCGGATCTTTTAAACGACTTCTTAAAATACTTTTTTGACTTCGTGACGACTTTGAAAATTTCTTCACTCGTGGACTCTTTTTTTCTTCTTTTTCCTCAATATCTTCATCTTCACTTAAAAAGTGAAGCGGATCTTTTAGACGACTTTTTAAAATATTTTGCTGATTCTGTGACTTTAAAAATTTTTTTTCTCCTGGACTCATCCTAATGTCTATTTCGTCAATATCTTCATTTTCACTTAGAAAGTGTAGCGGATCTTTTAGACGATTTGTTAAAATTTTTTGATTTTGTGACGACCTTGAAAATTTCTTCACTCGTGGACTCTTTTTTATTTCTTTTTCCTCAATATCTTCATCTTCACTTAAAAAATGTAGCGGATCTTTTAAACGACTTCTTAAAATACTTTTTTGACTTTGGGGCGAAAACTTTTTAACTCGTGAACTCTTCCCAATGTTAATTTCCTCAACATCTTCATTTTCACTTAAAAAATGTAGTGGATCTTTAAAAAAATTTCTTCGAATTCGTTGCGATATTGAAAAATTATTTTCCTTTGGACTTTTTGTAATTTCTATTTCGGTAATATTTTTATTTTCATTCTGAAAATGTAAATGATCTTTGAAAATACATTTCCAATTATGCGGTGATTTTGAAAAAAAATTTTCTTCTGAACTTTTTATAATTTCCATTTCTTCAATATCTCCATTTTCATAAAGTAAAGAATCTTTCCAAATATTTCTTCGATTATTGGGAGATTTTTGATTATTTTCTTCTTGACTAGTTAGAATATCATTCGGTTCAACTATTAAATCTTCAGTTTCACTGGGTGAATGTAAAAAATTGTTTAATTCAAATCTTTGGTTTTGAATTTGTAGCAATCCTAAATCTAAATCTTCATCTTGGTCTGAATTCCCCACGACATCTATTTCTATATTTTCATCATCATCTTCTTCTTCTTCATTATGAGAGGTGAATAAATTTCGTTGACATTGTGTGGATTCCAAAAAATCTTCTTCACAAACTGGATTAGTTATCTCTGTCACTTTTATTTCAACATCTTTTTCGCCTTCTTCGATGTACGAATTTAAATTTAATGAAATTGGAGTAGATTTGAAATTTTTTCGATTTTCCGACGAAACGGAGAAATCATTTTCTTCCCTGACTGGTCTAGTAGCAATAAATTCTCTCGATTCATTAAAATCGTGTTTCTCATTTTTTGAGTTTATATGATCTCGTAAAGTTTGATTAGATTGAAAATTTCTTTGACATGGCGTGCACCAATAAAGTTTTTTAATTTCTATTATTGGAATTTTGAAAGATTTCGTTTTCTCAGCTATTGGAATTTTTAGTTCATGTTTTTCATGTAATTTTTCAATACATACTCCTTTAATTCCATTTGTCGGCACTTTCTCAATATTCATTAAAAGAATTTTTTCAGTATATTTTTTGATTTCATTATCACATAGTTTTTCAATGCTCACTATGGGAATTTTTAAAGTGCCTGCTTTTTCGCTCAATTTTTCAACCATTACCATAGGAACTTTTGTGGGTTTTGCTATTATTCTTGTATGCTCATTGCTATTTACAGTCAAATTATTTATAAAACTATTTTGTACTCCATTTTCATTTAATTCTAAATGTTCCTTAGAAGTAGAGGCATTTTCTTCTTTATTATTTTGCAGCTAAAAAAAAAATAATCATTAGATATTGTAAAAAATCAATATAATAGAAATGTTAATAAATAAATTAAATATAAACATTTTTTAAATCATTAAATAATTAATTAAAAATAAAATAAATATATATAAACAAAAAATAGTTTTAAGTATTAAAATTTAAGAGAACAAAATTCGCTTGTTGTTTTTTAAAATTAAATCTATTTTTAAATAACAATATCAAAATTTTTTAAAATAGAATTTTTTTTTATTTATAAAAAAAATTTCCATTTTTAATAAAAATAATAAGCGCATATTCTTTATTATTTATCTATTGCGTAACAATTAAGATAAATTTGAATAAACCTAAGAAACAGATTAGTTTAGTAAAATATTTATTGCAATTAAAATAGCTTGAAAATAATTAAGAATAAAAATTCAATTTCAATGAACAAAGAAATTTGAAATAAAACAACAATATTGAATAACTAACCTCTAACTTTTGCACATTGTTGATGTCCGTTAAAATCACTTGACAGCTTTTAAACATTTTTCATTACTTCACAATGTTTACGAGTTAATTTTCATAAATTCATAATTAGTTATATTATTGTATTTGTCTTGAATAATAAAATTGTTAAAACAACTTTTTAAGTGCCACGTGCTGCCAGTAATTGCGTTTTGTACACAAAGTGAAAAGTAAATGTAGATAACTTTATAATCAAACAGACGATAAAGTAGAAAAACATTTTTTAAAAGGAAAATTTTAAATTCAAAATTTTCTATTTTAAAAATTTAATGCCTATAGTTAAACATTTTTTTATTAGCACTAATTAGTTTAAATTGTTTATAAATCTGCTAAATTTTATTATGACTCCGAATGAGATTTTAAAATTCTTTATAAATTTTTTTCACTAAACAAATTCTAACACAATTTTTTAGCATTTTTTTTTAAATTTTAATGAAGAAAATTCGTTTATTTTTTTCTTGCTTTTTTACAGATATTATAGAAATAAATAAAATTTTTTTTTTATAATTTAATGATGTAAATTAAAATGGTTCCAAAACGAGAAAAGACAATTTAATTTATGCGATTAGGATTTCATAATAAATTACGAGAAACCAGAATTATGTATACATATTCTTTTAAGTTTGGCAGTCAAACTTTCGATTTTGTGATCATAGGATCAAGGTTCATAGATAAATTTCTAAAAAGTTATGTTTAAATTTTAAAATTTTTCACGTAAGTAAATTTTTTTCAAATATAAATATTATGTTTTTTTATTTTTAAGAAATTCTTATTGAATTATTATTTTAATTATTTTGATTTATTTAAATAATAATATTTTAAACCTATCAATTAATTAAATTTTAAACGTTAATGATTTTTTATGGCATTCATATTATAATTTCAGAAAATCACAATGATTTTTCGTCACTTTTCTCTACAGATCATTCAAATTTTCATAAACATTTGTTTTGCCTTGAATGCCGACTTTGTATTTCCAGATCAACTTTTTGGTAATTCTATTATAATTATTATAAAATAAATTATATATTATTGAAAAATTTTCTATTAAAAACTTGAACGGTTTTTAATTTGTTAATACAAAGTTTTTAAACTCAATCTAGTTAATAATCATTTTTAAAAATAGAGTTTTTAAAATATTCATCACGTAAAATTTGCTAATTATAATTAAAATTTTTGAGATGGTAGCGAATGTTTACTAAACGGAAATAATGAAAATGGAACTTGCAAAGAATTTCTGAAATGTCCGCAAATATTAAGTGAAATAGAAAATGGTTTAAGAAATTTTAATGCTGAAGATCATTGTAGCATTTATGGGTTTAACTACCTTGTTTGTTGTCCATTAGAACAACAGGTTGTCTCTACCTCTGACGATTTTGGCCTTCGACCTAATAGTGACGTAGGCAAGTATATAGAAAAGTATTTAAAAAAATAAAAAGCCATTAGATCTACGCGAATGCGAAGACCTCGTGTATTATATAAGTAAAGTTATCAAAAATAAATATAACTTTATTCCAATCTACAATTTAATTTTAATAATACAACTATATTTTAATCCAGATAATTATACTAGAATTAAAAAATAATAATGATTTTCAAATAAAGATTCGTGAAAAGATTTTGATGATAATTATGATAATTAAATTGTTAGATTGTTTATTAGATAATGATAATGAATGTTTTTTTGTTAAATCGACTCTTCAAATATTCTTGTACATCTTATTCAAATTTATAAATAAATTAAAATTTCTTAATTAAACAATTAATTTTTAAAATCAATTAATTTAATTTAAATTGATTAATATTCAATTAAATCAATTATTAAAATAAAGAATTATTGTTTGATATTTAGAAAAAAATAGTCAACAAATCGGAGATGAATTTAAAATTGCAAAATTACTTGAGGCTGCATTTGAAAGTGAGGAGGCATTTGAGGGTAAATTACCTTTCATGGCTTCATTGGGATATAATAATTCCAATAGTAATTTGAGTAATATAAATTATAAATGCGGTGGTTCATTAATTACTACACTTTATGTTTTAACTGCTGCGCATTGTATAATAAATGAAAATAACCACATTCCAATAGAGGTAAGAATATAAATATATAGATTTTTTTTTTAAGAAGAATTTTTATCCAATGTCAAATTTAATTTAAATTGAATAATTTTTCTTAGGTGCGATTGGGTTTTGTAAATCAAAAAATTTCTACCAATGGTGTTCAACGCATTTTAATAGCAAATCTCTATCCTCATCCAAATTATAGACTAAATGCTCATTATTTTGATATTGCTTTGATAAAATTAGAAAAACCTGCAGAAATAACTTCAATTGTTAGACCAATTAATTTGTATAGAAAGCCAATTGCAAGTGAATTTGCAACAAATGACAATTTATTTACAGCCGGATTTAATTTAAAAAAAGCTGGTATTGGAAATTCTGCAAAAGTCTTGAAATTCTTCGATATAAAGTAAGTGATTTTTAAATTATGTATTGAGTATTTTTAAGTTCGCGGTATATACGATATTCAAAGAAAACAAATAATGAACGTCATATTCCAATAATATAGTTAATAATAATAAAAATTTGAAAACACGTATTTAAAAAAACAAGTTTTTATTTTTATTAAAAATTTCAATTTTTTTCTTAGTTTTGTTCGATTTATAAAGACTTTTTTTTTTTTTTTTTTTTATTTAAGCGATATAAATGATAATTTAAAAGAATTAAAAAAAGCTGCAATTTTCAACGAAAATAAAAATTTTATTAAAATTTCTACTTTAATGAAATTTCCATTTGGATAAATAAAATCCCGGGCAAATTTGCGGATTTTCCGATTAGTATAGAAACTCTGACTATTTATTGATAATTATCTAATCAAAAGAAAAGTTTATTTTTCAAGAGAAAGATTCCAACTTCTTAGTAACTTTATCAAAAAAAAAAAAAAAAAAAAAATCAACTTCGAATTTTTTCCATATTTACCTGAATTTCAGAAATGTTTTTGAAATATTTTCCAGACACTTTTAACTAGACTAAAATTAAGTGAAAAAATATCGAAATATAAAAATATGAAATAAATCTTTTACAATCGGTTTTCGATATTTTTTCAAAATTTCACCAATTTTTCGAATGATTTTTGGTATACAAAAAATTTTTAATTCTAAACTATAATTATACATATTATAATGAAAGAATTTTTTTTTTTTACCTTTATAGAGAGAAGTGACTAAAAAAGGTCAATTTTTTTCAGACTCGTGGATAAATCTCTTTGTGCAAAAGAATTTAATGGAATTTTGAGACTTCCATTTGGACTCGATGAAAGTATGAAGTGTGGTAAAGATATGAATGATATGAGAGGATACGACGTATGTAAAGGTGACAGTGGTGGTCCATTATTTTTACGCAATGAAAATACCTTCTCTCTCGTTGGTGTCATTTCATTTGGTATCGGATGCATTGGTAATATTCCAACAGTGTATATTTCAATTTATCACTTTTTAGATTGGATAGAGACTCAGGTTCGGAGTTAATAGACGAGAAAAATCACATCAATTATTATATCTGTAACAAAAAAAATTATTAATTCGACAACAGAAAATAAAAGAGAATCTTAAAATAATTCTAAAAAGAAAAACAAGTGTCAAATAAATTTTTCCTTGTAATTATATTTTTTAATAAAAGCGTTTTTTTTTAAAAAAAATCTGGCAGCCCCCTGCGGGGGCGGCCACATTCTCATCACGCGCTTCGCGCGTAGGGGCTCGCTTCGCTCGCTAGTTTGAGCGCGCCCCGGGGCGCGCGAAGAATAATCGTCCCGCTTCGCGGTCCGATATTATTACGCGCTTCGCGCGTTTTGTTTGTTTATTACAATTCAAAACCTATTAGCATTAATTACTTTTTAACTACACTCTGTAATACAAAAATTTTCCTATTAAATTTAAAAATTGTATTAATTGTACTACCAGAAAGTAGTTGAATGACCCAAGAATCTATTTGGTAGAATGAGATTTTGTAGTTGTTTCAGACTTTGTAGTTGATTTAATTAATTTTGAAGTAAAATGTCAAGAAGAAAGAAATTATTTTTATTAATTTTATTAAAAAGAATAAAATTAATTACATACAGAGTTAAAATAAGTAAAAAAGTAGTTATTTTAAAAGTGGATGTTCATATAATCAACTTGTTTTGAAAAATTTATTAGAAACAACTCATAGTCTTTATTAAAATGCGTTAAATTAAATTATAGAAATAGGTAAGGTTTAAAGGTATTAGAATAAATTTTTTATCGGGCACTGAGGGCGCACTCTCACCTCTGGCTGCCTGCACAGGCAGCCAGTGAGAGCCAATCAGAGAGTCAGTAGATTTAAATTTGAATTTTCTGTCTCTCTTACTCTTGTACGTTTTCTGCGTGGTGGGAGGCTGCCTGTGCAGGCAGCCAGAGGTGTGAGTGCGCCCTGAAGAATGACGGCACTGTAGCTGTTCAAACTTAGTTCCTTAATATTGCGCCGTGGATTGGCCAGGTCTTTGTAATTAACGAAAATCGACAAACCAAATTATTTACTAAAATAAGATATTCCGCTTTGAGCTAATTTCAATTGAGTAAAAGAAAAAATTAATTGAAGTGCGATTCCAGGTGAGATTTTGACTTTTTCGAAGTAGGTTAACCGATTGCAATGAAACTTTGTTATATATAGTAAGACTAATCTTTAACGTAAATTTCAGCTTAAAATATTTGTTAGTTTACGAGATTTGCAATAATAACAAAAAATGCGAGTTTAACTTATTTAATTTTAATAATTTACGTGTATAAACAATTGCGATTTCTGCTAGTTGACGTGCAGACGACATTGCGCACGCAGCATTTTCCTATAACTAGCTGACGTGATTCGTGGACTAAATTGGCTACGTGAGAATGCTGCGTGCGCAATGTCGTTAATGTTCCTTTGGAACATTAAAGAAAACACAGGTAAGATCATTTTAGCGTTTGAGTGATTGAATTTTAGATTGTCGCGTGAAATTTATTCAATTATTATTTAATAATTTTTTTAGTTGTAAAATTATAAAAAATTGTTCTGAAAGAGATTTATTCCTCTCATTTTCCTTGACATTTTAAAAAAAGTAGACCTCAATCCGATTATTAGAACGGAAGATATAGCACTTTAAAATTTTTTGTTATTATTGCAAATCTCGTAAACTAACAAATATTTTAGGCTGAAATTTACGTTAAAGATTAGTCTTACTATATATAACAAAATTCCAAAGTTTCATTGCAATCTGTTAACCTACTCCGAAAAAGTCAAAATCTCACTTGGAATCGCACTGAAAATTTAAAAACACTAAAAAAAGAACTTTAAAGTAAATGCATTTTTTAAAGCAACAAATTTATTATATGAGGTTTCGCTCTCATGTTTTTATTCATAAAAATTTTTTTGTACAATTTATATAAGTGAAATTTTTGGGTTTTATAAATTAAATTTCATTTTCTTAAAGTACTTTGACTTTAAGGATAACATTCTCATCACGGCACTCGCGTTTCACGCTCGAAAATTAGAAACATACAATAGGAAAAGGAGGCATGCATTAACCCATTAACGAAATTTTTACAGGTAATTTGAGGCTCTATCAAATAGTGTACTAAAAGAACCGAAAATTTTTAAATAACCAATTTACAAGCATTAAAAAAAAGATTTTTTTAGAATTTTTGTTCAGTTTTTATAATTTTTCAAATCTTATCCCTTCAGAATACCTTTAAATGCTAAAAATATGGTGTCAAAAATGTTCCAATACGCCATTTTGAATTTTTAAAAACTGACTTCAGAATCGTAATGAGCGACCTAAAAACCAAGGAGTAGAAAGATTTATTTAAATTTGTTAAAAAGATTGTTGAAAAATGAATTTTCTCTTAAAAAATAGCAATGTTTATACTTAGTTAATTCATAATTCTTTATAATTTCGCCTGCTACACTTATTATTTTTGTTTCACTTCACAATGCTTTCGTTATAGTGGAAAAAATGTTTTAGGAATACTGCTTCAAAAACTTTAAATCTAGAGATGAAAGTTGCTAAAAGAAAAGATGGCAAAATAGGTTAAAACTGGGACGCAAAAAATTAATGAGTAAAATAACACATCGAAAATAATTTAAAATTTTTGTTACCTTAATCGTTATAGAATATAACTTTTTTAACTTTTTTGTTTAAATCTCTATAGAAAAGTGTTAAAGAAAAAAAAGTTTACAAATCTACAAATAAATAAATTTTAACTAATTCAAAAGTAAATAATCGAAAAAATACGAAATTGTGGTATAAACAGCGCAATATAAAGTATTTCAAAATAGAGGATTTTTTGAAAACAATTGAAATGTTTGGAAATAGAAAACAATAGTTGGACTTATAACAAAAAAAAAAATCGGAAATTTATGAGTAAGTCACTGTTATTGGTGTTAATTTAAGGTGGTTTAAACAGAAATAATACATAGATGAACATAGTTTTTCAAAATAAAGTAATTTTTAAAACCTATTTTTTCGGCATCAGAAAGGCTTGAAAAGTGGAGATATACATGAATTAGATGTTGGTCAAAATCGGGCAAATGTAATACTTTCTCATTATGATGAGAATGTAAAAATAAATTTTTAATTAAAAATTTAAAAAAAAATAGAAAATGGCGGACTCAATATGGCTACCCAATATGACGGAAAAATTTGAAATTGATATGCTTCGTTCAAAATTCGGTGCTAGTGAATTTGTAGGGTCGGTAAATCAAAATTTGAGGATCGATTTAACAAATTCAAAATTGGGATTCATAGACACCAAAAATCTCCGTGTACCGAATTTTAAACTAATCGAATCAATGTTAAATTATTCCGTTATGATGGGCCAGCCATTTTAGATTTTTTAAATCTAACCTCAAATTCGAATTCAGGGACCTCGAAAACAACAGTGTACTCATTGATACTTAAATAGAAAAAGATTTACTATTTTCTTCAAATGTGTACAAATACGTCCAAAATCACAAAAACGGAACGTCTTTTTATTGGGATATATATGAGCCATGGACTATCAAGGGGTTAGATAAAAAAAAAGGGCTAAAAATAAAAGAAGTTCACTAAATTCAAAATTTAGCAATCAAAACCTTACGATATTCTAGTAAAAACAGTGCAACATGAACTAATCAGAAACATTATGAAAAAAATTGCAATTTTTGGAAATGGATAGCAATGGTTCACTTATAAAAAAAAAAAAAAAAAAAAAAAAAAAAAAAAAAAAACAAAAAATTCGGTATTTTATGTGTAAGTTACTTTAATTTATGTTAATTGAAGGTGGTTTAAAGAGAAATAATACATATTTGAACACATTTTTTCAAAATAAAGTGATTTTGCTCTGCATTTTACCCATTTTTCATCCGTTTTTGTCATTTTTTGTCTTTTTTCAAAAAAGTGCTATAACTTTTTTGTTTTAATCGCTATTAAAAATTGTCAAAGGAAAAAAGTGTTTATTTTTAGTCGTAATTTTCGAAAAAAAATTGAAAAAAATTTTTTTTTAAAAAATGCGAATTTTTGAAATTTTTAAAAACTCAAAATTTGAATAATTTTGTTGATTTTTGACGAAATCATCTGGCCAACGAACTCAGGCGAGATTTTGGTACACTTAAAGTGTATACCAAATTTGAAGTCGATTCATTAAAATTTGTTCGAGTTATCGTCGGACAAAATTTGTCTACAGACATACATACATACATACATACATACAGACATACATACAGACAAACATTTTTTTAAGACCCATTTTTTCGGCATCAGAAAGTCTCAAAACGTCGAGATTCACTGGAATTAGAGAAGGCTCAAAATCGCCCAAATGTAATACCTTCTCATTATGATGAGAATGTAAAAAAAAAAAAAGAGTAACTAATTATTATACTCATTTATTTTTATGTAAATAAAAAAAGCATGATTTTTAGTATTTTTTATTTTATCCTCAATATAATTCGAATATTCTTTTTTTGTAAATGAACGCCTCCTTTTTTTAAAATAAAAAAAAAAACTGTTTCCTGTTACACTAAAAACTATATATGCAATTTACGTATATTATAATACTTGGGATATGCATATATACATAATGAAATACGTTAACTATATAGTTTTCATATAAATACTTGCACGATGGCTGGTTTTAAACTATGTGTGTGAGTTTTAAACACACGTGCACTTGATAAAACGCGATGAAAGGAATATTCTTTTCAGTTTTAGTTATACTGATGATTTCGCGATCGAAGGATAGAATTTACCATTCTCTTATATACTGATTAAAATTTGAAATAGTGATATACAACTTCTGTGTCTAAGTGAAATATTAAATTAATAATTGAGAATATAAAAATGACAATAAATACAATTTAAAAAAGTAATAAAAATATTAAATTAAATTAAATTAAATTAAAAAAAAAAAGAATACGAGGCAATAATACAAAATAATATCTCGTGAAAATGTAAAAAAAAAAAACTTAAATATAATTAATTTTTTATAAAATATAGCTTTTCTGTTTCTCATTGTAAAAACAAATTATACATAAGTAAACAAGAGAAGAAACGTGTGAAAACGAATTATTAAAAGCCTTGTAAAAATTTATTTATATTTTCAGAAGATTACGTGAGCATATAAATTTTTATGAATTAAAGAAATGAGTTGTCGTTTTCTGTTCTATTATCAATGCATACAATTGATGATAATTGTTTGTATCGCTGAATTTACGTTCCAAGAAGAAGTTTATGGTAATTACTATTAATTTTTATTTAAAAACTTCATAGTTCGAATATGTTATCAATAATTATATATAGTATATGTACATATTTCTTTGATTTCTCTCTTACATTTTTTTTTATTATTGATAAAATTATCTAACAATAAAAATGAGAGCATATCTTGTGTATAGCAGAATTTTGATAACCCACTTTACATTTAGTGATTGAATAATTACGAGTTTAATTGATGTTAATATTTATATATATACTATTATTAAGTCACATTATCACTAATTATATTGCAATTAAAATTTTTATTTTTGAAAATTTCAAATGTCAAAAATATATTTATAAAGTCGACATGAATTTTTGTAATTTTTTTTTTTAAAGTTATTCAAATAAAAAAAAAATTATATAAACGAGTTTTATAAAAGAATTTTCACATGTGATTTCCCTCGCAAATAATACGAAGGGGAATCACTGTCGGCGTGTTTACTGGGTTGCGTTTCAAAAGTTTCCTCATAATATTAATGCTATTATTGAAACTATTTTTTTAATTTTTTTTTGCAACGATAAAATTGAAATTCGTAAAAACATTAAAATAACATTTTGTTATTATGATAAAAAAATTACTAATCTTGAATTTAATATTTTTAAGCATAAACAATAATAATACTCACAGTTATTAACAAAAAAAACATTGTAGAAGGCAGTCCTTGTTTACTTGAGAAGAATGAAAAAGGCATTTGCAAAAGTATAACACAATGTCCAAAAAAATTAAAGGAAACTCGTCTAGGCTTAAGAAATATAAATTCAAGTGATCGTTGTGGCTTTGTAGGTGTTATGGAAATTGTTTGTTGTCCCTTACAACATTTCCATGATAAAATTGGTCTTCGACCTGCTGACATAGGTAAGCGTGTGACTTTTTTTTTTTATCTAAAAAACAAATTTTAATTTTAATGTATTTTAAAAGAAAATATAAAATTAATTTTTATTCTTTAACGTTAAATGCTCTATAATCTATTCGGGTTAAAATATTTACTTCAAAATTTGAAAATATAAAATTTTTGTTGTTAAAATGCAAATTTTCCTCAATCATATTAACAAAGAAAAAATAATTTCGAATCTTGTTATACAGCTTTTATTACGTCGGTTTTTTTCAATATCATTTACGTTCATAAAGATAATGGACAGTCTATTTTTTTGCTTTCGATAAGGCTGGAAATTTAAATCTATCGCGTTTATTTTCTCATCAAAATGAATAAATTTTTAACGCCTTCCAGAATGACATTTTTTGCATTAATATTTCCTTTATTGTTTTATTATCTCCTTTTTAAAGAATAATATAAAATTAATTTTTCATTTATAATACCTATAACCTTTGTACAATTTTATTGCAATAAATTTAGGTTGAAAGGAAAATTTTAATTAAATTTTAATTTATTGTTAGCTTGTCAACAATTTGAAAATGAAATTCCTATAAATGAGGGATTACGTTTTCATATTTTTAATGGAGAAGAAGCGATTCAAGATGAATTTCCTTCGATGGCAGCTTTAGGATATCGCGATAAGGAAAACAAAAATGTCATTATTTATAATTGTGGCGGCTCATTGATCTCAACACTTTATGTTTTAACTGCTGCACATTGTATGATAAATATAAATAATCAAGTTCCAGTAGAGGTGAGAATTTCAAATTTAAAACTCGTTTATGAGCCAAAAGTTTTGAACGTTCAAATGAACGAAATATTTTTTTCAATCCATAAATTATTAAAAATTATGATGGTCAATGTAAAATAAAACAGTAAATTAAACAATTATTAAATTAAATAACTTCTTTTTAGATATTTAAAACAACATTTTGTAGTAAAATTCGTACTTAAAGAAGTTGCAAAAAAGAATTTCGTTCATATGAACGTTCAAAACTTTTGGCTCATACTCGTTTTGAATTCGCAATTTTTAGGTTAGAATTTTGTCCGTACAAATTTCATGACAAAACTTTATAACTATATATTTATTAATAATATTTGATTGAGAAATAAGATATAAAGAAGTTTAAAATTGTTTGATACTTACCATTTACTTTACAATTATCGGCAAATAAATTATTAAATTAAGAAATAACACATTTTTCGGTTACAATTCAATTGAACGGCCAACGACTGAAGTTATCTGCAAGTATAAAAAATCAGTGCAGGCATGCACTACCAACATCCAAAAATTGTACGCAGAATTGTTAAACAAATATCCTGTTTTTCAAGTACATATTGTAAACAAAATAATAATGCTTTTTTTCAACAAAAAATGCAATTCATGGGTTAAATTTACATTTTGTATAGGTATAAAAAAATATGATAAAACTAATTTAAAATAAATTCCTATTCTAACAAAAACTAGTTAAATTTTATATATATTTAATATTTGGCAGAACTGTTGTTTACATTAGATAAGTAAACAAAAACAAATCCTGTACAAAACTTATGGAAAATTTAAAAAAAAATTGAACATAATAATATAATTAATAACTTCAATTTTGTGAAATAATACCATTGTTTTAGGTGCAAGTAGGTTCTATCAATCTTGATACCACCACAGAATTTACGCAACGTATTTTGATCGACGAAACATTCCCTCATCCAAAATATAAATTTAATGCTCATTATTATGATATTGCACTTATAAAATTACGAAATCCTGTTCGATTGACAACTTCTGTCAGGCCTATTTGTCTTCAAACAAAACTTGTGTCCAATGAGGATAGTCAAAACAGTTCATTAATTGTAATTGGATTCGGAGCAACAAGTTTTGATACTGAGAGATCTTCAAAGTTGATGAAAACTCCTGGCTTAGAGTAAGTTCTATTTCCTGTTCTCGAGGAAAATTTACAATAAATTTACAATATAAATAATAATAATAATAAATATTATAAAATTAAATCCTAAATGTTTTACAGCTTTGTTAATAGAACTGAATGTGATAAAATGTACAAAGGAGTTAGAAAACTTCCAAATGGAATAGATCAAAAAATGATTTGCAGTAGAGATTCAAATGTAACAAGACGAGCAGACGCTTGTCAAGGTGACAGTGGAGGGCCACTTATAGTACGAAAGAAAAATGCTCAATCTCTAATTGGTATTACTTCATTTGGTTCAGCATGTGGAAGTGTTGTACCAGGCGTTTACACCGCTGTTTTTCCATATTTAGACTGGATAGAAATGCAAGTTTGGGGAGAAGAAGTCCTCGTTTATCCCGAGGCAAATATTTCATCGGATTCAGAATCAGAATCAGACTGATATGATATCAATAAAATTATAATTAATAATTCGAGACGAATGATTCAAATTTTTTTTTTTTTTTTTTTTTTATCAATGCTCAAAATTATTCTGTTCTCAAATGCAGGATTCTATTTTAATTTAAATATTATTTCGTCAATTTTAATTTTAATTAAAATTAATTTCTATAATAAATTAAATTTGGGTGTATTAAATAAATAACCCAAAAAATAACTCAATTACTTTTGTAATTAAAAAAATATTGCTCAACTCTTTTACAGGACAACTTTTTTAAACTGATCAAGTACTCAGTACTAGATTTTACGTCACATATAAATTGTCAATATAATAGGTTTTTTTTTTTTTTTTTCAAAACGAAACCAGTTTTTCGTTGTTTTATAAATAAATAAATATCAATTTTTATCTCTCTCTGATACAATCGAACGTAAAAAAAATTAAACAAAACGTAGTCATACTTTTTTGCAAAAAGAATAATTAATCACATATTTATCACTCTTTCTTTTTAGTTCAAGAGAAAACCAATCATTACAAGAAAAAAAAGAAAATTAGTTAAAATCGCTGAAACAATCAATACGAAAATGAAAGAAACAAAAAAAAAAAGTTTGTTAATTCGCAAACTGAACATATTTTTGTAAATTTGTACCATCCTCTTTGTAAATGATTACTAACGGTCGTACAAGTTTTGTTTACTGTTATCAATGTTAGAACTACATTTCACATTTAAACATTATTATCTTTGTCAAAAAAAAAAAAAAAATACGAAAAAACAAAAATAAAACTGAATTATTTCTAGAAATTCCTTTCTAGTGGATTGATGTTATCTTATTGGGGGGTGTGTTTTACTCAATATGATTCCTTGGCGTTTTTATATAATTTTTTATGCCGTGGCATTTTGAGATCCAATCAAAGGAAATATTTGAGTAATTTTTCCAATTGCTTTAGCTCTTCCCTCCCTCAGCAAAAGTCTCATTCCGACATGAAGATATTCTGGATGACATACAAATCTGAGGAGTACGGACGCTGTTTCATTAGTTTGGAGGCCTTCGTCCTTCTTTTCCATAATACCTTCAAATATGCAAGTTTGTCGAACGTTTCCCGTATGTACGGTCGTTTGAAATCCGGGAAATATTGCCGTTGGATGATAAACAACCAATATAGTTGCCTGGAATATTTATTTATATTTATCTATTCAGATTGAGTAATAATAAAATATTTTAAAGAATATTCAAGCAATCAAAAAATATCACAGTCTCACCTGAAAAAATAGTGTAGCATGAGGATGTTCACGAGAAGACACTAGAACCATTCCGGGTCGTAGATGAGGTAAAGGTGGATCACGTTTTGATAAAGGCTCTATAGTTAAACTTGCACTTTGCGATGCTCGCACCACACAGCAGGGTGTTTTATTTCGATGAAGAGTTACGACTTTAACCGGACTAAATTCTCCATCTGGTAATGGACCAATCAATAATCGAGTACCAGGTGTGATAAGTCCCTTCACAAGTAATCCTCCCAACACTGGTTCATTTAATCCCACTACCCTGAAAATTAAAAAAAAATAAATTATACTCTTAATATACTTTTAAATTAAACATTTTAGAAAATTTACACTTACGTAGAAATACATTTAAAATTTTTAATATCCTTATATTAAAGATCAACAAAATTTTTAAAAAAATACCTGAAAGTTTCGTCAATTTGGAAAAGGCAAGATTCCGGATCATTTTCGGCAGGAGTCGGATCTGTGGGTAATAGATCTTTAATGAAATTTGTAACATTTCCAAGACCTTCCCCCGTCACACAACTAACGAGAAATAATGGTATTGCGTCAATGTTACAAACATTATGTTCATCATTATTATTTGTGTGTAGCACCAATTTCTTTGAACAGCCCTGTGCTTTCAATGCAGTTTCAAGTTGCAGAATAATTTCATGAGGATTTCTATATCCTATATCTATTTTAGTGACGACAATCACAAACGGTATTCGCAATGCCAAGCAAAGGGTCAAGTGCTCTTGAAAAGCTTCATTTAACGGAAGAGAAACGACCAACATCACGTAGTGGGGCGAATAACCTGTGAATACAAATTTTATAGAAATTAATATAAATTAATAAAAATAAATGATTAATTAAAATACGACTTTTTTTATATTTGTGAAAAAAAAATGATGCAATACCTGTGAGTCCTAAGAGTGTTGTCCTCAAATATTTTCGATGTCCTGCCAAATCGATGAAAGTAACAACCTTTGATGCATGCTCGCAAATTTCTTCGGCTGTTTTCATTTCAGAATAATTTAAAACATGACCGTCATTATCGAATCCAAGAATTTCGTGCGAAATGGAAGATGTGCGACCTGTTTTTATCTCGTGAAGATGACGAAATATATTTAGTCTGGCTCTCCCCCGGCCATTATCCAATTCACCTTGCGTAAGTACACCTTAAATATTACGCGAAATAAAAAAACTAGAAATTACTTAATAATAATAATTTTTTAAATTAATAATATAATCCTAGTAATATTTTGAACTTTACATCCTGCTGAGTAAAAAATTATTTGATCAATTTTTTTTTAAGAATTTAATTAATTGAAAAAAGAAAGAATAAATAAAACATTTTGAAGTATTAAATTTGTTATTTAAATTTTTATTTTCTTTTTACCTAAGAGAGTAGATTTTCCAGCATCCTGACCTCCTAATACAGCCAGTCTCAAGTCAATCACAACATCTTGATCGTCAGCATCACCTTTTCGTATTTTTCTAACTAATACTTCAGCCACTCTTTTTTCTTCCAATTTGCTTGTTCGTAATTTGCATTTTGCAACTCTTTCACGAAGAACTGTAGTTTCTGCTCCCAATCTGCTTGCCATGTCTCTCAATGTTTTTAATGACAACATCATATCTTCTCGCGATAAACCGGCCAAAATTCCATTGTCCTCAACCCCTTGAGAAAAAATATTTATTTTTTTAATTTAACTATAAATTTTATATCGTATTAAATAACAAAGAATTATTCAAATTAATTAATTACATAATCAAATTTTATAATTTTAAACTAATGAAATTTCGAGATTTATTTGTAAAATGAATTGTTCTCGAGAATAAAAAAGAAAAGTTCAAGGTCAGTGGGAATAAAGTTAAAAATAAACATTTCTATATTAATAATTAAAAAAAATAAAGAATATACAAACATTGGGAAGATATTTTGAGAAATTTAATTTCAATATAAAAAAAAGTACATACCGATTTGATAAATAGCTTCTCCATGTCCTTCGCGAAGACGCCATTTCATTTGTGTGACAAGATGTTCAAATCTTTGACTGGAAGGATTCACCAATTTTAATTTGTATTCTATATTTCCTTGTTCAGGTTCAGGTGGTAACCGATCTTCTTGATCGGTTTCTGAAGAATTTTCATTGTCCGAATTTTCATTTACACCTCCTGGCTCCCAATTTTTCTTTCTCCTTGGCTTGGATTCTTCCGGTTCAAATAATTCTAAAAAGGACTCCATATCTGCAAACTATTAATTAACATTATATTAAATTGTGTTTTACAATATAAATTAATATTAGAGACAAATTTCTTGTTTAATTTCTCTTTCTTTTTATATAGTTTTTGAGTTTATTGTTCTATAAATAATCTAATAAAATATAGATAAAAAAAAACTAGATATAAAATAAATAATAACAATAAAACGTTAATTGATTAAAGTTTATAAAAAAAAATGGAAAAAATATAAAACTGGGAGATAAAAATATGAGATAGTTTTAAATATATTTTTTTAATAAAAGTATATCTATTGAAATTTAAAAAGGACAGATTAAATGTCACAGGAAATAAGTTTATAAATATATAAAAACAATATAGGTATAAAACTAAATTTTTGTAACATCGCCAAGTATCTACAGGAATAGTAAAACTATACTAATGAAATATTGTATTATACACCACTATTTCTTTTTCTTGTTAAATTATATAATGTTTATTATTTAATAATTTTGAAAAAAATGTATTTACATAAAAATTATTTAAACATTTGATTTATGTAAAAAAAACAACTTATAATCAAAGAGTAAATAAAAGTTCGGAAATTCCCAATAGTGATATAAAAAGATCACTGGAAATTCCTTTAAAACAAAAAAGTAAAAGTTAATTTTATTCTTAATATAAAAAACAAAAAAACCACACTATACATCAAAATTCATTGCTTGGGCAAAAGATTATCCAATTTCATCATACTATGAAGTAATCTCAAAATATTATACTTTTGTCATAAATTATTAAAACTATTAGTTATTGTTTTTACTTTCAAAAGAATGAACAATGAAAAATTATCATTTTTAATGATTTGGCTTATCATTATGATTGAAAAGAAAATGCTGTCACAACAAATTTTGAAAACATATAGTCACGTGATAGTTTGACAGTTTAAAACAATTGTGTTGACAAATAATAGAATTTGTCATTTGTTTTCTAAATAATCACAATCGAAATAAAAAATGTGATGGTATTTTTGTACTAAAAAAAAGAAAAAAAACAATGACCTTGACGAATTATCAAATTTTGACATTTCATCATAAAATCTTGTTTGCTAACAAAAGGGAAAGTGATACATATATAAGAAAGAACATACGGAAATAATTTGAAAAACATGATTAAAATGTCATTTTCTTTATTCAACACTTGTTATTGTATTATAGAAAAAAACATACAAGTAAAAAGAAAAAACTTACGTCCAATATTGAAAGCCTCTTCTTTTTCTTTAGAACAAATTACTAATTTTTCGTCTTTCGATTACGACCCTCAAAACATACTTTCGCCATATTGGTTCACTTTGACAGGAACAAACTTGCAGAAAATCTAGAGATTGCGCAAAACAGTCTTTAAAAATAATTTTTGAGGTTATGTTTGTAGTAAAAAATTGTAAAATTTACAATTTAAATGATTTAAATTAAAAGAAAGTAAAAAAAATTATTTTAAAATTAAAACATTATTCCCATATCTTTAATTGAACATATTTCACCAAGTGCTTTGTGGGAAATTTACAAATATTTTTAAAACAAATTTAAAAATGAGAATTTTTTTTTCAATTTTTTCATACATTAATAAAATATTATATATAAATATATTACGTTGAAATTTACTTAATTTACTTTATTTCAGTGTATAAACATATGTTAATAATTAAATTAATTAAAAAACATAAAATATTTTATTTATCCGCCAATTGGAAGTAGATGGAGCCACTAAAATTTTGAAAATACGCCTGCAGCTTTTAACTATTTAAATGAAGGGCGCCATTTTTACATGATTATTTATAAAAATTTATAATAAATGTTTAGTAAACAAAAAGTTAAATATTGTACTGCATTTAAATGTTTTTTATTTAGAGATTCATAAAAGTACTTACAATTATAAATTTTCAAATATGTATTGTTGATCGTTTTCCATTAATTAAACTTTATTACTAACAGTGATTTAACAAAAAATTATAATTAATTTTATTGAAAGAAGTTTTAGTGTTTAGAATTAAATTAACAATTTATCATCCGACAATTGTAAATATTTATCATTATGACATGTTTAAATATTATGTTTTCATCGCAACTGATATCGTTTTATATTTATAAAAAAGAACACGTGTACAATTAGTTAAAAAAAAAAAAAATTAAAAATTATACATTTATTATATATGTACATAAAAAAAATATTAAAACCATCACTAAAATATTGAACAAGAGAATTTAGTTGACAAAGAGTTTTCTCCTGAGATAATTTGAAATAAGTGCATTATTAAAATAATTTTAAAAACATTAATTTCCATTTAAATTTCGTCGTTTATAATATATATTAACTATATATTGTGAAAATTAATCTTAAACTATTTTGTGTATTTTAAAAAGTTACAAACTTTTAATTTTCTTTATAATTCAGTTTAAAATATTTAAACTGGCAACTTTTATGAATAAACTTAAAATATAGTACAACTAAACAGAAATTAAATAATTTCATTTGTAAAACCTATTTTTAAAATCCAACAAAAAAAATTATTTTGTATATTTTCAGTTTTAAATTATAATTGACTTATATATAAACGGGAAGTCATAAAATTACTAAAAATAATGTCACAATAATAATAATAATTCGTTAATTATTATCAATGACATTGTTTATAATATTATAAATTTAAAAAATTCAACGCCAAGATGAGGCATAATAGTGAAAATATCGAATTTCAGTGACATTTACTGTAAAATATGATCTATTTGAAGAGTTTACAAAAACAATAATAATAACAATAAAGAATTGTGTAAAGTTTTTTTTAAAAAAAACTACGAGTTAAAACAATTTGAGTTCAATAATAAACTTTACGAACTTATCGAATATCACCCATTTTTTTCATAATGTTATTAACATATTTACAAGTATTCTATGTACAGTTTTCTTTTTGTCTATAATGATAAAAAAAGCTACTTTTTTTAAGAATTACCCGCATACTACTTGTCATTGAGAAAGAAGTGGTTCACTTCCGGCTCTAACGACATTTTTTGGTGGTGACAATGTGTCTTCAATGTTATTTTGAAATTTTTCAAATTTCACATTCTCCTCATTTTCCAATAAAGCATCATTCAAACAAACATTATTTAAACTAACAGCACTGTTCGAGAACATAGGCATTGTTAAATTTGTATTGTTGATATCAGCATGACTAGATTCGGAATTTTTTGACGTTGAAGGCTTTTTGAATGTTTCATTGTCATTATTGGCACCATCATGATGATTTGATACAGGTATTGTTGTTGCCTTTCCCAATATGACGAGACTAATTATTACACGAAATACAACAAGCACAAAATAGGAGAGAACAAATAGTGCAATATTAATAGGTTTTGCTGATGGTGTAATTGTTGTGCACAATACACGTCCCATTGCAACACCAAGAGGTAATGGTATAAATCCTATTCGTCGTGCCACTAAATCTGAAGGATCAGAAAATGCTTCTCTCGTTCGTGACATATCGTGCTCTAAACTCACACGATAATCCGTATAGACTGTCGATTGTAAATCATTAAAACGCGTGATGAATGCATGCTTTACCTTTAATTAAAAATTCACAAAAAAATTAAATTTTTTTAAATAAACATAAGAATTAATATTACTATTTTTCAAAATTAATTATTTTTTTTTAGGAAATATTGAAATTTTTTAAATTTAATTCTTACCCAATCGACTGCCACTTCTGCTATGAGTAACATTATACAATCTGGTAAAAGAACAGCAAGACGATCAACACGCCATGCATATTCCTTCATTGTTTGTAAAGTAACAGCAAAAAGTAACACTGTCAAATGAAAACGTTCTCGTACATCGTTACATGACAATTGAAATAAATTGTTTTTATCAAATTTCTTAAAAACCGATCCCTTCAATTCGACGAACTGTGAATAAAATAATTTCTATTTAATATTTCTCATCATTAAAATTAAACAAATTATTAATTAGTAAAATAACAAAAAAAAACATATATCCTTTTTTTTAAAAATAATACTCACATTGTTTGACATCATAATTGTGAGAAGAGCTTTGTTGCTACTATTTATTGCAACATTTAATGTTGTTGCTTGAAATAAAACCAATACTGTATGCAAGACTATTATAAATTTGTTAAGGTACAACATTTTTTTAAAATTATATTTCTATTTATAATTTATTTCAAAATATTTTTAATTAATAAATAAACTAGAAAGTTTATTAAAAATGTTTTTTAAAAATGAAAAGATTATGAAAAAGTATTCATTTAATTTATATGCTATAGAACTGCAAAAAATATAAAAAAATTTTAAAAGCAGTAAAAGGATACAGACATAGGCAAGTGCGAAAAATAAATGTGGTATAGTGCCGAGATGATTTGAATGAGAAGAATTCGATCGTGATCTAGGCTCAGTTGCTGTCCAAAGCAAAGCATCTATTGTATCCTGACCAAAGGAATTAAAAAGCCGATCTCCAACTTCCAACATATTATAAAATATGTATAATTTAATGACAGATTGACTTTTCACTAAATGATACATCATTGATGTATCAACTTTCCAAGTTGCTATCCAACATCCCAATACCACAACTCCTTTCAATAAATCACATACTTCTGCTGATCTTAAAAATTTTTCTCCCCTTTTACCAAATTTTTTACCCCTACAATAAATATTTTATTAGATTTATTTACTATTTTATAATTTATATAATTATATATTTTTATAAAACATATTTTTTTAAAAACATTTTTACACTAATTTCTTTTATTATTAATAATGTAATGATTGAATATTATGATTTTTTCATAGTAGAAAAAAATAAATAAACTTACCACAGACAATATTTAACAGGCCTCGTAATAACAGACCACAATGCAATCATAAATCGTAAAGGTAAAAAAGTGTAAACAAATAAAAATGAATCAGCACACTGAAAAAGGAGAAATGAATTTTTACAAATTTATCTATATAAAAATGAAGAAACAAATTTTTTTATTTTTCTTCAAAAAGTTTTCTACTGCAAACATTTTTTTCAACGATGAAACAATAAATTTCAGTTACCTGAAAAAAACCATAAAACATAAATTTCTCCACTTCTCTTGGTATTTTCATAAAAGAATAAATTTTCTCTCTCTGAGCAGAAAATCTTTCTTCATCTTGTTCAAGATGATAGCCTCGTGTAAGTTCGGTCCTTAAAAATTGTATCAGTGAAACACCTGGAAAATATACAACATAATTATTAACAAATAAAATGAAAATTATATTTTATCATATCTAGGCATTAATTTCCATAAAAGAAAAATGATATAAAAAAATTTTAATTATTGTTTTTTTTTTTTTTTTGTTAATGATAAATTTACATATATTTTGCATTACAAAATTATTGTCGGAATGTTGTCAAGTATGTGTATTTTCTTAAAAATCTATTTATATAAACAAGAATAATCTTGAATAACTATTGAAGGTTTTTGCAAAAAAAAAAACAAAAAGACCTTGAAAGTTAGATATAAGCATTTTTTTTCAATTCATTGAAAACGTCATAAAAGTTATTAGTCATAATAGGCAGATGATGATGATGTAAATATAAATAAAAAAAAATATGAAGACGATATAGACTAAATCTCGTCACAATTTACAAGTATAAATACCTGTGACGTTATTTATGAGGTTCTTGATTCATTATGCGTATGAATGGAAAAGATTCATTATAACATTACATAATTCAATAAACAGTTTTGAAAAAAAAGTTTAAAAATCTTTTGCATTCTTTTTTTTTTTGTTTTTAATCAAAACTCAAGAAAATTAACTGTCATTTTAATTAAACAATTTATCAACGTGACAATTTAAAATTTTAAATATAAGGAAATAATTTAACAAACATTGAAATAAAAATTTTTTAAATTAATTTAAATTTTACAATTATTTAAATTAATAATTAAGTAATTAATAGCAATTCAAATAGAACAATTTAAAATTACAATTTTAAAATTTAATGATTAATTTATAATTCACTAACTTTTGTTTTAGCCCGCGACTAATAAAAAAAAAAACACCATGAAGTATCATTTACATAGCGACATTTGTTGAGAGCATTTCCATTCTATTAAAAATAATTGAAAGAAAGTTTCACAGTTCAATATATAGTTACTTTAGATTCAAGGTGAAAGTCTATTAGATATTTAAATCCCAAAGTTGAAAGTTTCATGCGTGTGTTGCATTTGTTTTCAAATTATAAGTCATGAAAATTAGAAATTTTAAATAATTTTTTTTTTATCTCCTTCACATGTTAAATATTCAAATTACAAATGTATACATCTGTATTCAATGACAGTAAAAAAAAATTTTCAAGTGTCATTTAATCACTAGCTTATTCAATTCTTGTTTGTACTACTGTATAATTTCTTTGTATAACTAATACACTATTTTTATTACCACATCATCAGAAACTTTCAATTCACTTACAGCAGGAAATGGCAAAAAAATAAAAATTTCCATAGAGATTATCACTCCCTTAATCACAAATATCACTTTAGAAAATCTTTTTTTTTTTCAATGTTTACAGATGACACAAAGGAAGATATTTATTTTATATACAATATATATGTATACATATATGTATAACAATAAAACACTAATGAAAAATCACCGTCACTATATTGTTGAGATTTACCATTAAAAGTGTATTTTTAAAAATTAAGTAATAATGCAAAATAGATTTTATATTTACAAAGCAGTATTTAAAAATATAGTATGTATATATATATATATATATATATATATATATATATATCTATAACAAAAGAATTGTGTGTATAAAAACAAACCACATTTTTTAGTAGACCCATGTTTTTTCATATGTTGTGGATTATTCTCATGGATATTTATATTCTCGACTCGATTACCAGGAGATTTAATATTCTTATTTGTTCCACGAAAACGAATATTTTTTTTCTCTGTATTATTCGATATTAAATTGACTTTTTCACTTGTGTTGTCCATCATGTTGTTGTCTTTTGACATGAACGTGTGTCTGTCCCGTCATAAGGGAGTCACAAAATATTATTATTGTAATTTGTTGTTAGTCACATAACCTCGTTGTTTTATCAAAACAGACAACTGTCAAAGATTTATAAATGTTTATAATAATAAATTTCAATAAAATTCCATATGCCATGACATGCCATGCGACTTCTTTCGTCTCGCGAAACTTGCTACTCGGTAAAAATCGGTTCTAAACGTTTGTTTTCGTTGTTTAATTTCGGAACAAGTCGATTATTTTCGGATTATATCGTGTATTTCCGTTTGAATTATTCCATTATCGTCGTCTGCAATTTTGACAGCCTGAAATTATAAACATGGCGGCATCCACAGAGGATTCAGTGGATGACCGAAAAATATGCAAAGTTTTAATTATTGGAGCTGGAATGGCTGGTTTATCAGCCGCTAATCATTTGTTAAAAAATTCCGAACCAAATTTTTTAATTCTTGAAGCGCGAGAACGTATAGGGGGACGTATTGTTTCCACACAAATTGGTAAGACGATGTAACCTCAATCCTATATTATTTACAATTTTTACTTTGTAATATAGATTTTTTTTTACTAATTTATCATTTAAATATAGAGATGATTTTTCATTTATTTATTTTTTTTGTCTTGGATTATTAATATAATAATAATTTGATAAATTAAAACTTGTATTTTATAATTTAATAAATAAACAAGTTTTAATGATTAATTAATTATGTTTTATGTTTATTACATAGGAATTATTTCATATTTAATTGAAAAAATAATTCAAATACCACGAAATTAAACTTCGGTAAATTTTTTAGCGAAAAAAAAAATTCAAATTTTATTCTATTATATTTAAAAGAAAGAAAATTGAAAATATTAAAATAACGAATATTTTAGGTGAAGAAAAAGTGGAATTGGGTGCCAATTGGATTCATGGAGTTTTAGGTAATCCGATATTTGAGCTAGCAATGGCAAATGGACTTATTGATATAATAAGTGTTCCAAAACCACATAAAGTAGTTGCAACAATGGAAGATGGAAAACAATTGCCATTTCCAATTTTAGAGGAAATTTATGAGGCTTACGTGTGTTTTTTGAGGCGTTGCGAAGAATATTTTTTAAGTTCATACAGTCCACCGGAAGGGATTAATAGCGTTGGTGCACATGTTTCATTAGAGGCCGATCTTTATTTATCGTCATTGCCATCAGAAAATCGAAGAATTCGACAATTATTATTTGATTGTTTGCTCAAACGAGAGACATGCATTACTGGCTGTGATAGAATGGAGGAAGTTGATCTTTTAGAAATGGGATCTTACGCTGAATTACAAGGTGGTAATATCAGTCTTCCCTGTGGTTACAGTTCAATTTTGGCGCCTGTCGCAAAACATATTCCACGTGATCGTGTTTTATCGCGACATAACGTCACAAAAATTAGGTAATTTTTTTTTTTTTTTGGTTCTCATCTCACAATATTATAATTATTCAATGAAAATAAAATTGCTTTTCTTTTTCAGATGGCGAAAATCAACGACGAACGATTCTTCTAGTGAAAAAGAAAAAATTGATTTAATTGAAGTTGAATGTGAGAATGGAAAAAAAATAGCAGCCGAACAATTAATATGCACATTACCTTTAGGTGTTCTTAAGGAAAAAGCTCAAGAAATATTCGATCCACCATTACCATTGTATAAAATTCAAGCCATAGATCGTCTTATGTTTGGTACTGTTGATAAAATATTTCTCGAATACGAAAGACCTTTTCTTAATCCTGGAATTTCGGAGGTAATGCTTCTTTGGGATGATAGAAAATTGTCGGACGATGAGAAAAAAGATCTCAGTAAAACGTGGTTCAGAAAAATTTATTCATTTACAAAAATTTCGGATACTCTTCTTCTTGGTTGGATATCGGGTAAAGCCGCTGAATATATGGAGAAATTGAGCACAACAGAAGTGTCCGAGGCATGTACGACGATATTAAGACGATTTTTAAATGATCCTTATATTCCCGATCCAAAAGGTTGTTTAAGAACAAGTTGGCATTCACAACCATTTACTCGTGGATCGTATACATCAATGGCCATTGGAGCGAGTCAAGTTGATATTGAGAGTATCGCTCGACCACTCATTGAACCAAATGAAACTAAAGTGAAAATAGCATTTGCCGGTGAACATACGCATTCATCGTTTTATAGCACTGTTCATGGTGCTTATCTCACGGGAAGAACTGCTGCCCAATTATGCCTTGAAACTAGAAAAAAAAATGAAAAACAGCCTCTCAGCATTAATTGCGAAGATACCAGTGATCTTAGTTCCTGGATACAAGGAATTTCTTTGCATTAATACTTATATATATATATATATATATACATATATTTCAAAGAGCTTCTTAATAATTTCAAAAAAAAATTTAATACAACGTAAAACGAATTTCATAAATAAGAATCGCACGAACATTTACAAAAAAAAATAGTTTAAATTTTCATTTGATCTAATTTATATTTAATTTAATTCGCGAAAGTAAAATTTTCATACTCTTTTATTCTTATTTTTATTAAATTGAAATTCTATTAAATAATAATTTTTATAAAATAAAAATTACAGAATATGAAAATTCGGTTCAATGAAAATCGTAACTAAAAATCAATTTTAACTTAATTCGAAATTTGGTTTTATAAAATTCAATAAAATCGAAAATCTTATTTATTTTGAGAAATAATTATGCTCTGTGAATAAAATTAAGGGGCTGAATTTTTTAATAACTAATTAAATTGACAAGAAAGTTTGAAACTTTTACTTCCTTCATTTTAAATACTTTTTATCATTATTTAAAGCACAGGATAGAAATATTAATATTTTAATCTAATACGAATCTACAATTAGATTAATTTATTTTAATGTAAAATTTTTGCATTAGATTTGAAATACGTTTTACGTTAAAAATTAAAGATTTGCGTTAGTATCTACCAAAAGTTAAGTTTTCATAAAATTACTTAAAGATTTTTGAACTTCTTAAGTTGAAATTTTTTTTAAATTTTATTAACTAATATCCAAAAATGGTAAAAAATAAATTCTAATTCAGTTTTCTTTTTTTTAAATTGAATAATACCCGGCAAAATAAAAAATTAACTTTTGGTGGAGATTCGCGATAGGATCATTCTATTTAGGCGTTATTTAATTTTCTTTTTTTTCTACAAAAAGATAAAAATTTTTGTACACATTTTTCACCAACTTGCTGGTGTTCTCTAAATAACACGCAACGAGTTGATAAATTGTAAATATATAGTTAATAATTTTTCGTGCATTTGTACATAAAAAAGATTAGCCTATTTATAAGTTTAATGTGCGCATTTTTTATATAGACTAGATATAATATATTTATTATTATTCTTAATGAAATAATACTGAAATACTAAATATAACATTGCCAGTTATAAAAGGAAAAAAAAGATGTGATACAACAGTCAGACAAAAATTAATGCATTTTTTCTGGCAATATTTTGAATAATTTGGAAAATTATTTGTTAAATTATTATGCAAAGCTTTTCTAGTCGATTATATATCGTTTATCATTAAGTTAAGTCTCTATGTGTTCTTTTTGAAGAACTTTTTTTTTATTATCGCTTTACTTTTTATACTCATGACTTGAAGAATTAAAAAAAGCTTATGCAAATTTTGAAATAATCTGAAAAATTTATATTAAAATAATTATTATGTCTTCAATTTCTAATTTGTAAAAATATTCAAAATTGATGTTATTAAGTGCAGTGAATTTGATATTGATTTTAAAAATCATATTTAATTTTTTGTTATTTGAAACTTTTTGTTTCTTACTGTTTTTCTCAAAAATGTTCTTATATTTGATTGTAATATTATTTTTTAAATAACTGTATTTTTTATTATTTAGTTATGGAAAAAAATTCTAAAATACTGTCGTTGTCGATAAAATATTAATTTAGCGTTTAAAACACTATTTTATTAAAAGTTATTTGAGTTTTTTCTTCTTGACACGTTTTTATAACAAAAAAAAATGATTATTTTTAAGAAAATAATTAACTTTTTATTTTATTTTAATTATAAGTCAAATGTTCATAGTATTTATTTATTTTGGTCTTTTACATTTTCCAAGCATGAGAAATTGCATTTTATATTTTTTGATGTGAAGAACAAATCATTGAAATTAAGTTTTTTAAAAAAAATTATAAACTACAGACGACATAAAAATTGGCATCTATAAATAAATGAAATAAAAAAAAATGTTTAATTGAAATTTTCAATTTTTAAAATTCAATACAACTGTGTGGAAAATGAAATGAAAAATTAAGAGTTTAAAAATTATTTTATTTTAACAATCTGGAAAATGTAACGATATACAAATGTGAGATTCAAACTTAATCTACTCATATGATTTTTTATAGTTATTAAATATTGAATTATTATAAAAAAAGAAACTATAAACGTTACAGAGTTAAATATATAACAAAAAAATTTTTTTTTATCCAATAGCCCTATAATAAGAGAATTACAAATTACTGCAAAACAAGTTTTAAACAAATTGTACAACAAATTACTGTCTATATCACTTTTTTCCCAGTAAATAATATCAATTAAAAAAAGCTTTGGATTCTTGTTATAATTGGACTTTTTGACTAAACAAAAAATAATTCAAGGCAATTTATCTATTAAAAATTTTTATTAAAAATTAATGTCGAAAATTTTGAAGTTCAACTTTTGATTTTCAGAACTAATTTTTATTTATTGATTTACTTTATTGAAAACAATTTCGATAACAAAAACCAATTTTTTTTCAATTGAATTTATTTATCAACACCAATTTTGTCGGCTAAAATAGATAAACTGCCTCAAATTTTGAGAACTTGGGAGACGCATTTAAACATGTTCTTTATCATAATTCTCAAAAAATTTTAATTTACTCCAATGGAGAAAAAAAGAGTAAAAATACTTTGCAAGATATTCAGGATAAAACACAAACATATATTTCACATTGTAAATAATTTTCATAATACATAGTGTATGGATCACTTGTATTTTGCACAATACCAAAGCAACATTCGTATTTTTTTAAATATATTGACTGACAAATCTTAATCGAATTAGTAGTACCGTTCTTTTCTCTTTCGTTTATTTATTTTTTGAATTTATAAAATCCAAGGAAAAAAAAAAGCTATTCATATAGACATCGGCGTTGTGAAAAAAATAGCGTTTGCCTATGTGATTTAAATGCCAATTTCATTTATAATTAATACTCCATAAAGAGATGATGTATAATTTATTTATACACATGTATATTATAGAACAGATATTACAAATACAATGTGAATAAAATAATATGAGATACTGTAAAAAAGAAACTATCAAATAGGATTTTATTTTCTTTCACCTTTCAACAAAACAGCTTTGGCAATTACATCCTGCCTTCATTCTCATTCTATATCATAATATTCACTTTCAGTGTAAAATAACATTTTAAAAAAAATAAAACTTTCAAACAAACTAGTCGTCTATCATGTGAAAATATTGTTCTTACAAAAAAAAAATATATATATATATATAAAGAAAACAATAAATCACTTTTAACTTCATTGTTATTTGTTTTTCTTTTACTTTCAAGCGCGATATATTATCCTACAATTGATAAGCGTTATATATATGAATATATGTAATAAAAATTGAAAAATGATTGGATAATATTAAACCTGTTATTAAATAATACAATATTTTTTCAACATAATGTCGTGTTCCATCAGCAAAAAATTTTTAATGCATCAATTCTCGACAATTATATATTTATTATATTTTACAAAACAAATTTTTATTTCTTTTTTTTTCTAATTTCGTTAAAGAATTTTGATAAAACTAGAAAAATTACTAACACGCAGTTAATAGATATACTAAAAAACACAATTTTGGGACATATTCTCATGACAATAACACTTGTTGCTAATTTAAATAATTATGCTTGGTAATAAAATTTACATACTTAACATTTAAAAAAAATATTCTAAATATATTAACATTGACAAATATTTTTCAATTTTTTTGAATTACAAGTGAGAAACTTAAATATTGCTTATGGAACTTTACATTCGTGTCAAGTCTTTAGTAATATATATTTCTATAAAAGACACTATTCAAAAAATATTTATTACTAATTATTATTATTATTATTATTATTAATAAAATAATAATAATAATTATAATAAAATAATAAAGATTTATTATTCCAAAATTATTTCTTCCTAATAAGAAAATTTCGATACAAAAATTAAAAGTGTCTTTTTATAGTTATTAATTTGAAATTTTCATTGAGTGAAAACAAAATTTTCCTAAAGAAATAATCAACTACATCATTACTATACAGTCAACGAGACAATAATAAATAATCACGATATTCACAAATTTATCAAATTACAAAACTGTTTTTATCAAATTAAAAAAAAACTGTGTAACTGAATTTAAAAAAATAGTTTTTTGTTTTAAATAGAGTTGACGCGTTTTGAATTCTCGAATAAATAAATTTTTCATTTTTTTTTAACAAAGTCAAAAAATGAAACATGTCTGTACAGTAAACTTTTACGCTAAAAAAAAAATGAATTTCTATTCGAAACATAGTATCTTACATTCTATTATGATGCAAATATACTTCATAGGCAATTTCAATTGACGCGAGCTGCACTATTGTGAGCATGAAAAATATTTTTATCGCAGTTAAATGTACTTAATATATTAATAAAATATATATTTAAAAATCAAACGCGACATTATGTAAACTTTAAATGAGAATCGCTACCAGAGCTACATTCTCCAATATTTTACATTAAAATATATATATATATTCTTATTTATATACGTATGCATATGCATTTCTTATAATATATTTATAATTATACGCGTATCATAACTCTTAATAATAATTTTTATAAATTTATATTAAATTTGTCGCTTAATTTTTTTTTACACAGGTATAGCGTTTCATCTGAGGTAGACCAAGTCAGCCACTACTTCATGCTTGAAAGACAAATGTCGACTTTTCGTCAATATAATTTTTTTTTTTTTTAAAAAAAAACCATATAAAAAAATAAAAATAAAAAATTATTTGTAAATTTTATCGAAAACTCGATTTATAAAATAAAAAAAAAAATTATTCCATGTTTTATAAAAAAATTAAAAATGTATTAATCACCATCTGATTATATTTTATAAAACATTTGATTTCATTTCAATTTTTCGAATGTAATTTTCATCGTTCAACTTCAATGTTTTACAAAAAGAAACACAAAAATTTAATAATAAAGACAAAATTTGAAAAGAAAAAACATAAAAATTATATTAAAAAAAAAAATTAAAATTAAATACAAGAATTCTACAATAAAATAAAAAAAAAGTTTAAAAAAAATAAAAAACTTTAAGAATTCCAAGAACGTAGATAACAATTCACGAAAAAACTAAAAAATGAGTCATAACTAATTGTACAGTAAATAAAAACTGTCTTGTAAAAATATATAACAAGTAGAAAATTAATATTTAAAAAAGTGAAATATTATGAAAACAAAAAATCGGAAACGACGAATTTGCAATTTTCAAGCACGGACGCATTTATAGGTAATTATTAATTATAAACTACGAATATGAATTACATTTAATTAATAAATTAATACGCAGTGAGCCTTAACCACCTTCAAAAAAAAGAGAAATAGAGAATTTATATAACATGAAATTATTTGACATTAAAAAATTACATTATTCCTCTATTTTTAACTCTATCGTTCATTCACATATTTTGTTTTCTTTATTAAATCTCTAATTTTACTTTTGATTGGTTGTAGATATAAATATATATATAAAGATAAAAAATAATTTTATAAACTGATAATTAATATTACTTAATTACATACGGTTTGTAAATTTTCATAAACAAAGAAAATATTAATATTTCTTAAAGAAATTACAAATTTTCATAAATTACCTAAAGAAATATTTATTTTTCTCTTTATTCAAGAAAATAATGTTTCTTTATTTGACTGAAATTGGCAATTTTTGATAAACCAAGAAAAATATTTTCCAATTTTAAAATAAATGTTTAACTTTTTTTAAGTAACAATTATAAATTAAAGTTTACAGACATTTAAAAAAATAAAAATTTTAATATTTGTTTCTTATTATAAATTTAAATATCATTATTATTCATTTCGCTATAAATTGTGTAAATTATAAAGTTAAAAAAAACATTTTTTTAAACTTTTAAAGTGTTTGAAAGTAATTTAAAGATACATTAAACTTATACATAAATATATTTCTTTGAAGTATTTAAAAATTAGCAAATAAATGTATGATTAAATACTCTTTAAATTATTATCTTTAAAGTTTTAACAATATTATAAAAATAATTTATTTCAACAAAATAACTTATTTACGTTATATTTTTTATGTCTAACGTAATTATTATGATTTCTTTTTTAATTTTTTTTTTCTTTTTTTTGTTGTTGATATTCATTATTTACGTTAGATTTTATTAAGAGGATTAAAAACTGAAAATGGTTAAAGCTTACCAATAAAATCTAATATTTTGCGACATTTCGGATCATCTTAAAAATATATAGAAGACTGCACTAGCAGTGTTATCGCATGGCCAGCTCTTCATCACTACATACACATAATCACTACGTCGATAAAGATATACTAAAATTCATCGATGCCTCCATCAGGTACTCCAGATCTAACTTTATCCAACACTTTGTTTACAAAATCTGTCGAATGACTCGCTATTCGTACTTCTGAAATTAAAAAGAAGAAAATTAAATAAAATATTCAATTAATTACATTTTCTGAATTTTGATTTATTATAAATTTTTAAGTTACTCACTTGTTGCCAATTTACAGTACTTATCCATTTGCCGTGTCAATTCCTCTTGAACTTCTGGATTTGGCTCCGTTAATTTAGCAGCCAACGTTTGTTTTATTTGAGATATGCCATGAATTAGCCGCTCTATAACAATATGTTTTAATAAAATAATCTTTATATCGAAATTTTTTTACAGTTAACTAAAAAAAATTTACTTATTAATAAATTTTCAAATTAGATTTTTTAAAAACTTATTATTTTTGGAAGACTAAAAAATTCTGTTAAATGAAAATGTAATTTTTTTTCTTCTAAAATTGATTATTTAATTTTGAAAAAATTATTATCAAAACAAATAAACTCAACTGTGTTCTTGTTCAAGGCCATGAAGTTTAATTTTATTTGCTTCATGTTGTGCCTTTTTCTTTAATCGACAAGCGCGAGAAGCCAATTTATTTTTCTCTTTTCTCGTTTTAGGCCGTGCTGTGAATGGCAGTTCCGAAACGGGTGTCATGTCGTTGATAACGCGTGATAATTTATCCAATTCACGGCCAATACTAAATAATTTTCGTGGATTTGGCGTAAGATCATTGCCATCACCTTTTCTTGCTTTTCCACTATGTTTTATACCTCGCAATGCACAATGTGGACTAAACACAGGATCTGTCACCTCATTTAAAACATGAGGATCCTCTAAACGTGCACGAGCAACTAAACGTTGACCCTTTGGACCCTTGGCTTGGACATTATATTGCCAAAAGAATCTTTCTTTTTTGTGTCTTGATTCTTTTGTTGATTCGTTGCTACCGCCACCACCTTTTCCAACACTTCCTTGATCTTCACCGTCACTCCCACCTGTTCCTATACGAAAATTTTGTTTTTTAGCATATTTTCCACGACTTGTAATAATAGTTTTATAAAATTTCATATTTTATTTTCTCTTTGTGTAGTTTGCAATATAATATAAAAAAAAATGAAAATAAATATATATATATATATATATATATATATATATATATATATTGAAAATTCATGTATTTTTATAAAAATAACAATTAACTTGGTTAAAACTGATGTCAATGATAAGAATAGAAACAAGAAAAAAATAATCTTAATCATAATAGATAAGAATGATCTGATATGAATATTTTCTTACATATATTTTTATACGGTTGTAAAAAAGAAAATTTCTTAAAATATTTTCAATATTTTCCTCTTGATTCACGGAACGAATATTTAAAAATTATTTTGAAAGTATTTTCTTTTAATAAGAAATTTTAATAAAAAATAGATATGCGTTTCGAAAGAAATTAACTTTTTTATAATTTATAACAATTGAATCAACTAAATATGTTAATTTTAAATAATAATAAATATTTGCTATAATTATTAATTATAAAAACAAACAACACTAATTATAACAAGACAACAAAGTCGTAAATAAAAAAAATTATTGCAAAAATTGATAGTTAGAAGTGTTTGCAGTTTTTAAAGATTTTAACAATTTTTAGACTTAATCCATTTTAGAATTTACCTAATAATAATAATAACCTTGAAGATCAACATATTTTGTGCACATTGAATGCTATATAAGTTATTCTTTTTTTAGATTTCAATGTTTACTCATAAAAATGTTATAATAAAACACTTTTAGAATAAAAAAGAAAATCTTCTTGAAAGCATGTTTTTGAAATTGTTCTACAGATTTTTAATTAAAAATAAAATAAAGAAAAATTTAAAATATTTCAATCTAAATATAAATATTTCAAAATTCTACACTACATTAAATGTGAAATCTATAATAAATTTTAAAAAATTACATAAAACATTTGTCACATAGATATTGTATTTAAAAGAAAGTGAAAATAAAAAATAGATCAATTAAAAATTGAAAAAAAAAAACAAAAATTGAAAACTACTATATTTTAAATTTAATACTTATGAGCAATTTTAAATTTTAGAGCTTTTATGATTTTATTTTAATTATGTAATTAAATTTGCATAAGCATGTATACTTTTAAAAATGTCAGTTTACCAAATTAGCATATCTAGTTTTATTGAAATATCTTATCTGTATGAAGAAAAAAAATATATTTCTATTTAAAAATTAATCGTGAAAATGAATTATATTTTAATGGAACTTTACGAATATTTGATAATAAGATTTTTTTTGTATTTCATATAATTGATAATAATAAAATTCCTTGTGTTACTTCATGTGAACATAAAACATGTTTTCCCCTTTTTTTCTTCAATATCTTTCTTTTCTATTCTAATACTGTTTGTCTATGAGAAATATTAATAAGGTAACAATATTGAGCACCTTGATGCAACAAACAGACATAGTCCATTAAAATTAAATGCGTTATGTCTGGTTCTTTCATCAAGGTGCTCAATTATAGAGACAATTGTAATTCACAGTAAAAATTTAAAAAAAAAGAGGGAAAAAATTGGTAATCATTTGAAAAAAGGAGAAAAAACTTGTCAAATTAAAGGGGGGAAAAAATTCGAAAAATTATTTTAAAATTAAAGAAAAAAAAAGTGGAATAACTACCATTGTCACTGCTGTAATCATCATAATGATCGCTGTCATCATCGCTATCCTCATATCCCTCATCATGGCTGAGTGGATCAAGATGTCCTAGAGGATCAGGACTTAAAGCACCACCTGTACTCAAACTACTCGTTGAGCCTGCCTCAGTTAATCCTAAACCCGCTGTACTTCCGGTACTTAGTAAATGTGGCCTAGGTTCCCTTCTTGCCCAGATTTGTTCTAATCCCATTGATTGCGTCGGTGCGGACATTGATAGCCTTGAAACTTTACTTTTACTAGACGTGCCAACTGATTCCATTTGACTGTACATTGGACTGGTTGGAGGATTTTCGCCCTTTTTCATCAATAATTCATGTAGAGTCGATTGTCCCGTTGGTCTGCTAATTGGATGAGGAGATGTCGACGAACTAGCCGTGGAACTGCCTGAATTTAAATGTTTATTTGTAATTAAGTTTTTATAATAAAATAAATCAAGTTTTACAGATTTTTAAATAAAAATTATTTTTAAATAAATAATAATTTTTAAATAGTTAAAGTTGAAATTTTTAGTAATAATTGAATTTCAAAAGATTTTGTTAATTTTCACACAATAATTAAATTTTACAGAACTAAAATTAATTTATCAAATAATTTTAGATAACATTTTTTTTTAAAGTAATTGAATTTTCAAAGATTTACAATTTTGATTTTTGAAATTAATTGAACTTCAAGTGATTTTTAATTAAAATTTTTTGATGATTTCTGTTATAAAAAAATTTATTAGAAATTGCAGACAAAAATAAAATAATTTGAAAACATTTTCATTAAAAATAATTGAAATTTTTGCAAATAATTAAATTTCAAGTGATTTTGCATTAAAAAATTTTGGTAATTTTATTTGCTAATTTTTTTAAAATTATAAACAATGATTAAATTTGATAAAAATTTTAATTGAAAAATAGTTTAAGATAATTGAATTTGTAAAGAATTTCATTAAAATTAATTAATTTAGTAAAGAATTTTAGTTAAAAATTTGTTAAATAATTGAAATAAAGAAGATCTGAAGAAGATCTGCATTGTTTACTAAAAAACGTATTTTGTTTACAATTTTTTTTTTAAATGTAAAAAAAAGTCGAAAAAGTGGCATTTCATTAAAATAAGTCGAAAAAAGTCATATTTTTGAAAAAAAAGTCGTATAATCTGAGGCCTGTAAATATACAGAATATTTAAAATAGATGGCAAATTTAAAACTAGACAAAGAAAAAACGAATAAATATATCTGTTATTTGCTTTTTGACATTCAATTTTTATCATTGAATATATATATCCCTTTTATCAAGGCTAATAAATTATAAAAAGATCATCGAAACATTTTTTTTCTACAAAAGTCTTAGAGTGCTCTATTATTATTAATATATACTTCTAAGACTTTTAGTTATTTTCTAATTTTGTAAAATTAAAAAAATAAATAAATTTTTGAAAAATTTAACTTACCTGCAATATTACTTGTGCCAGGACTGGCAAATGCAGAAGGACTAACCGCCTCTAAACTGTCCATGAGACTAATGCCACCATTAAGATTAAAACCCGTGGTATTAACAAATGTTGGACAACTGCGAAATGATTGAGCTGATTGAGGAAAGCTACTTGGTGCAAAACAAGGACCACTGCTACTATATAATGAACTGACTGATGGCACATTATCGGTTCCTACTCTAAATTGAATTTTCTCCTCAGGCAAAAGTAAATCATCAAAATTCAAATCACCAAGGAGAGTATCATCATTGGCATTAAGTTCAGCGAGCGTTGGACCCTGAATGAGATCGGCTTTATCAACTTGAAAAATATCGTCGTCGTCCATTTTAAAAGAAGAATCCAATTGAAGTGGATCAATTTTAAATGGTGAATCCATTTGATCGGGTCGTGTACCCCAAACGGAATTTATTGCCAATGGTGACGGTGAAAATTGATCGTAAACACCACGTATACCACGATGTCCACATGGTATTGGAACCGATGCCGATGTCCCCATTTCCGTTGGAGGTTCCTGTTTTATTGATTCATGTTTAATTGAAAATTCATCCATTGCATTACTTCCTACTTCGAGGAAAAATTCCTGATATACCGATGAGTCCCCCATTTGTAACAGGAATTTGTCGAAATTATTTTTGTAAAACCTTGAAAAGAAAAGAATTTTTTTAATCGCTATGCGCTAATTCAATTTAATTTATAGTTTTAATTTCCTTTTATTGTATAAAAAAAAAGATTTTAAAATCGTGCAATTTAAATATAAAAAAAAAGTTTCACTTTTGAAATAAAAATGTTCAATTTTAATATTATAACGTGATTCTTTTTAAATTGTTCTCTCTTCACAATCTCAAGGTTATGATAAATTAACATTGTTTTAAGAAAACTTAAATTTTTTATTTTATGTCTTGCATCAACCACACGAAAGAGATACGAAACGAATAATGATAAATCAATGTGTTTATGAATAATGTATTTTTCACCAATCTCAAAAAAAAAGGTAACAATTGTTAATATTATATAAATATATATATGTATACAGATCTTGCCACGTGTTGACAAAAAGTTACGTGATTTCAATTCAGAATTACATTATATTCAATTTAAGGAAAAATAGATTTTAATATTATAATGAGAAAATGAAAAGAATTAGATTTAGATAATTTAAAAACTATTTTTACAAACCACTTTCAATGGATGAGCATCTGAGTTTATTCCTCGAGTCTCTTTGTTTACCTCGAATAATCCAACTAGAATTGCCCCACTACTCTCACTATAACTTGTTTTTTTTCTTTTTCCATGAGTAGATATAGAAACACACTTTTGGGGGAAAATCGATTTTCACAATATTGTACGAATAGATGTATAAATTATTATTATTCAGGAAAAAAAACAATTCACTATATATATATAGTGAACATTAATGAAGCATTGATATGATTATAAGGCCGCGTCTACACTAGGTAAAATTTTAGTGGAAATTGTGTAGTAGAGTGTAGTGGAGTATCGTGTAGCTAGTGTTGCCAACTGCCGCGAGAGAAACTTCAACACACACTCAGCGGCGTAGAAATAGCCTCAAATCAGCAGATATAAATAATAATTATTAATTTAAATAATTTAAAATAAAAATAGGGTAAGTATACCAATTACGGCGCGTTCATAAAAAATAACTATTATTACTATTATGTTTAATATAACTGTTGCAAAATAATTAAAAAGAATTATTTTAATCTTTTTTGATAAAATTTCTAATAAAGATGTACATTTAAACAATTATTAATTTAATTACGTGAGATCAAATTTTTTCCCTCGCCGTAATTAAAACAGTCTTAAGATTTTCATTGGCCTTAATTACCCGAGATTTTTATTTATTTATTAACATTGAAACTTGTGTATATTTTAGTTGACGACATTCGCAAAAATTCAAATTATCCAGAAATTAAATTATTAAATTTTTATGTTCTTCAAATAAGCGTGTAATATTACAGTAATATTACGTGCTACTTTGGAATCTATTTATTTTGTATACTATAATCAATCATTAAAAGTAATCATAATTTTACATATTAAATTTTTTAATTTCATTTCATTACAATAAATAGCAATATATATCTAAATAGCAACTAAACTTGCGGCAATACGAATTAAAATATTTTCGAAAATAAATCAATTATACAACTTAATGGTTTCAAAGTTAATAATATTAACTTTTTTATTATTTTTTTATTTAATTTTTATTAGGTATGCGACGAACGATAAAATGATGACCCACAATTTGAGGCTATTTTCTACGCCGCTCAGTGTGTGTTGAAGTTTCTCTCGCGGCAGTTGGCAACACTAGCTACACGATACTCCACTACACTCTACTACACAATTTCCACTAAAATTTTACCTAGTGTAGACGCGGCCTAAAACGTGTAAACGATGATAAATATTGGAGTAAACTTGTGCGCGCTGCAGTAGTTCGAGTCTTCTGCACACTCTAAACATAAACAAAGCAACTAGACGTTGGTAGGGAGGGTCCATCTGTGACCCGATGGCACTTGATGGCGCGTGCTTACTGGCGCTCACGTTCTTAAAAATATTGATAAGCGCTTATGAAAATTGAAAAAGCAGGAAATTCACGCATTGCATTACTGATACGCGTGTATATGCCAAGTTCGCGTGGGAGTACAACGAACCACTTTGAATGACAATGCAAACTATTTGAAAATTAATTATATACAAATATATTGTTCACATCACACCGATTATACATTCCAAAAAAAAGAATAATAATAACACATGAACAACGCTTGTCAACTTCACTTTTCTTACTGATGAAAAAAATATATACACGTCTTGACTTGTCTTGATTATGTTCTGTCTCAGTCTGATGTTCGAAGAATCAAGTTACATAGCCCTCGCTCGCTTGTTCACGACCTGCGCGCCTGATGACCATGACTTTCGTCAGCAGCAAAACATCACGAAATATTAATCTATATAGCTATCATTTTTCTAGCATTCTTTATTTTTTATTATTGATGTTTGCTTAATATTCAATAATGACAATTTTTTTTTTCATTTGAATATTTAAAATCATGTTTTTAAATTCTTTCCTATTAGAAAAATAACAAGTTATAGGTATATGTTTTACATACACGAGAAGAGAGGTCACATGAACAACGTGAGCGATCAATCGTCAAGATTTGCTTGCCACCTCACGTCAAGGGAATTTCAAATTTTGTCATATACACGGGAAAACAAAAAGTTTTTACGCCTTTGCACGTGACAATAAATTTTTTTTTTTTTTATTAAATTCTGAAACGATTGTAATTAATTGTATTTTTGCAACGGGAACACTGGAGAGTAAAATAATTTCAAGCAATTCACACTACTGGTTTGACTGCATATCAACACTTGACTCTCGAGGAGGAAACTTGAAAATAAACATTAGACCGTAGATCACTTTCTTGAAGCTGCGTCATGCCTACGTCACAAGTGGGCTTTCAAATCGCATACCAATCGCTCTCGTGTGGTATAGTAGTGTATCAAGAGTTCTCGCACGATGTACTGTTTTGATTATTTTCATATGCAGAATTTTATAAAAATGAATATTGTTTTAAATTCAATAAATTAAAGTTAATTAAAAATTAATATTATTACTATAAAGCAAATGAAATTAATATTTTAAGAGACAATGTAAGAAAAAAATGTACCGAATTGTAAATATATAGAAATCCTTTCATTTTCAATATAATTGTATCCCTTTGTTCGATCGTTGCGCGACTTGATGCAATGTTACTTTCGTGTGGTTGTGTGTTTTGATATATTTAGGTGATATCATTTTTAAGTTCCATGAGCTATAATTACGTAAACAAATTGATTTCACACATATACACACTCTCATTCATTTATTGGAAACTTTATCAAAATGTACATCGCTGATATATATATATTGACAATTTATCAAAATGATATACATATTTAAATAAAATGTTTATCTGCAAAAAGAAATGACACGTGTGTGTTTTGATCAATTTGTATATGTAATAAAATTAAGTTTCACTTAAAATAATTATTTTAAAATAGCTTTAAAATTCAATTCTTTTTGGCTATATTTCTATTTCATTTATAATTGCGAAATGTGTCAAAAAATGAATAACAAAATGATTTATTATTAAATAATTTAACAAACCTGTTTGACATTTTTTTTTAAATTTAGTTGAATTTGCATATTCAAATTCCTATGTTGAATTTCAATAAATGGTTGTAAATATTTTTTATGGCACACTTTATCTCCATTTAGATGTAAATATTAAAAAACTTTTGTTTTGAAGTTTAAAAATATAACCTTAAAATTTTAATGTTTTGCTACTCGCATTGTAAAGGAAATTTTCACTCTACCACTTAAATGATTTAATTATATTCACTGTATTTTAATAGTTCACTAACTTAAAAAAAAACAAACAATTTATGTTTTCTAAACAACCATAATTTATAAATTAATATATTTAATTTTTATTTAAAAAATAGAAAAATTACAAAACTGCTGTAAATATTCAGTAACCTTTTTAATCTTTTTGATTAGGTTCATATTAAGTCATTTTCATACCTCCTTTCCTTTGTTCTTCTAATTGACGTCAACGGCAGAGTTACCAAAGACCGTCACCAAACGCAACTGCGCTTGCGCTACTATACTATCTCATGGGTAGAAAAAGGCGCTCTTATTTAAAATACCTCTTTTTCTGTGGTTTCCATAGAAAGAAAAAGGAAAAAAAACTCATACACCAAAAAAGTGTCTACTACTATTAAAATGTCGATTATTTGTAATTTCGATCAAATAAAAGTTCGACCATTTGGAATTTCAATCACTTGGAGTTTCTACCTTATCGAATGTCGATTATTTAAAGTGTTCAAAAAAAATGGGTAAGGATTTTATTCCACGTATAATACAGTCGGATTGTCCAGATAGTTGTTTGCCAATCTATTTATTTAATATCCGAGTCAAAAATTTGAATTTGAATTCAAATCGCTCAATTTTATTATAGCGACGGTGCTGTTCCATGCGGTCAATATACGAAATTTCTACGCTCGTTAAGTCGTTATACAAGAAAATTATCGCCATCTTTTAATTTCAACTACATTCAGCTTTGTCATCTCTTAGAAGCTGTTTTGTAAAATTTTTCTAAGTCAGTTTATAAGTAATTATTTTCTTTTATTTAAACGTGTATAAAAAATGTCGAGTGGAGCTCTTTTTGGTAATAATGTTACTCGAGGCGCAAGTAAAAACCTCGTTGAATTTAAAGCCGGAAAAATGACAATGAAAGGCAGCAAGGTTTATCCAGATAATAGGAAAGGACAACTTTATGTATATCAATCGGATGATTGTTTAATGCATTTTTGTTGGAAAGACAGAACTTCTGGAGTTGTTGAAGATGTAAGAAAATTATAATAATTCAAATTTTTATTAAACCAATGCATTTACGAAAATGTAACTTATGAAGTTGAATTTTGTTTTCTAACCTTAAAATAAAGAAACTTAGATTAATAGTATAATTTAATGCTTTTTTTATTTTATTTTTATACTTTTTACAATAATATTGGTTTGATAATATTGCATATTTAATTTAATGTTATTAAACATACAAATTAAATTTAGTTTAATATTTTCTCTCATGTAAGGTTATGTTGGATGATTAAGCATTTTTAATTATCATTTTTATTGTTTTTGTTTTTATTGGAATTGGAATTTTATTTAAATTGCAAATTTTTTGTTTTTTAGGATTTGATTATATTTCCCGATGACTGTGAATTTAAACATGTTCCTCAATGCACTACTGGTAGAGTGTACCTTTTAAAATTTAAATCATCTAGTAGAAGATTCTTCTTTTGGCTTCAGGTAACTTTACTATTATTTTTAACTATATTATTAATATTGTTTAATAATATTAAAAAAAAAATAATATTGAATTTATTTAGGATCTCAAAACTGATAAAGATGATGAGCACTGCAAAAAGATCAATGAAGTTCTCAATAATCCACCAACACCAGGTTCTCAAAGAAGTGGTGGTGCAAATCCAGAAGGTGATTTACAAAATCTCCTGAATAATATGTCACAGCAGCAATTGATTCAACTTTTCGGAGGCGTGGGACAAATTGGAGGATTAGGAAATTTATTGGGAACAATGAATCGACCTCATGGCACTGCTCGAACAACAACCACGACTTCCTCGACGCCAGTTGCAACAACTATCGTCACCAGGCCACCTGCATCTCAAACACCTGCACCTACTGCCACAGCTTCAGCTGGAGCTGCCACCACCGAAACATCCAGATCAACTGGTGATCTACTGAAGCTTATTTATAATTCTAAAATTATTATTTTTTTATTTTAACACTTTAATATTTATACTATTTTTCAATTCCTTTTGTTTTTCTTTTTATATGTATTTTTATATTTAAACCATATGCTTTTTTTATAGGAGGTTCTAAAACTTCAAGTAGAACGACAGCACCAACTTCTGGAACAGAAGATGATTCAAGAACTCCAATCAGAGTCAGTGATTTAGTACAATACCTTTCTGAAATACCAACGCCTTCCGAGGGTCGAACTGATCAGGTAATTTTTCACTTTTATAATATTAAACTTGAAATATTTTTTGAAAAAATTTGAATTATTTTCTTACTGCAAATAACAAACATATTCCTACAGTCTTAAACGATTCATAAGAAGAAACTTTCTTATTCAATTCTTTAAGTTTTAATTTCATTATAGAAAATTGTATTGAGTAATTGATTATTATTTGATTAAAAAATAATCGCATTTTCTTTTTCCAAATGGGAAAAGTATTTTTTTTTAAACAAATTAACTTTAGCGGATATTTATTTTGAACTTTTAAATAAAAAATAAGCAATATTTATATTATTATTTTAAAAATTAAGAATATATAATTTTCTTTAAATTTATCTTTTTTCATTTAATTGAACTTAAAATTCAATTATTTTCATAATTAAATATTAATCAAGTTCAATGATTTTTATTGGAAAATTAATTTATACTTTTAATTAATTAAAAAAATATTATTAAATTATTTTTAAAATGTAATTCAAAATTTTTATTCAACTTTTTTGAAGAAATATATAAAAATAGTTTCGATATTGCGATTTAGAAAAAAAAACCTAAAATGGTTTAAAACTGTTTTTTAAATAAATACCTCTGTTCTATTAGCGAAAACTGGAAAAAGTAGAGAAATTAAGTTATAATTTAGAGAAATAGATAAAAAAGAATTGAAAAGAAACGAGAAGTGTTTCAAATTTTATGTCAATCGAAAAATCGTAGATCTATTATAATAATTAACAAAAAATTTGAATTAAAAAACTTTTAATTCTGAAAATTATTGAATTTACAAAACATTTGAATTTGAAAATTATGAAATTACAAAATACAGTGCAACCTCGCAAACATTCATTTTAATTTCGTCTATAAGTTACATATATATAATATATCATTTCGGTTAAATACGGAATAATGTCAATCATAATTTTTAAAATTATTTTGTAAAATATTTAAACTGAGAAATTTGATAATTTCTTTAAGTGAAATTATTTTAATTTTATTGATGGGATAAAAAGTGAAAGCTTAAGCTCTTGAAATTTACGTTGTTTTTTGAATAATAATTTATTTTCCGACATTATTGAGAGGTAGAGCAGTGTGCGAGGTCGCACTGTACTTTAATTTTATAACAATTGAATAGTGAATTTTATATTATAAAATAATTGAAATTTATATTTTTAACTTTTAAAGAACAATATAAATCTAAAGCGTATGTTTAATTTATAATAATTCTTTAATTACTGTTCAAAATTTATAATTTTTTCAAAAGAATATTTGGAACAATGTTCTTTTTTCATTTCATTTGTAAAAAATTATTTGTTTCTTATCACGATGAAAGTTTAGGACTTTTCTAAAATATGAAAAAATGTTTTTTAAAAATTCAAAAGAATCTTTTGCATTTTTTGTTTTCTTATCATGTTTAATATGCATTTAAAAGAAGAAAAAAAGCATTAAAAAATTTTATATTGACTTATTATTGTTCGTTATTTGCAGATAGAAGTTTATACTTTGTAGTTACTTAAGATTTTAACTAACTCACAATTTCTATTTAAAATTCTGAGATTCTTATCCGAGTTTACTTTGATAAGATTATTCAGTTTTCATACTTTTCTATGCAAAAAGTCACAGACTTATCGGGAACCAAACAATTGTAAAGCGCAATCATTTGCATGATTTTCATAAAAATTCTTCTTTTTATCATATTTAATAGGTAAAATTCTACAATAAAAATGGAAAACAGTTTTTAATAAAAAAAAAAATATTAAAATTTTTTTTTCTAACAAATTTATTAAATAATTTGTTTAATTAATTTAAAAATCAATTTTATTTTAAAATGGATATATAATTTTTGTTAATGGAAATTATTATTTCGTCACATTTTATCGGCAAATCAAAGAATTACGTTATTCACAAGTTATATTTTTTTGTAGATAATTTATATGATACGGTAATTTCATTTTACGTTACTCGCAATAATAATCTTGTTTCTTATCCAGAAGTATAATTGGTTTATCACCTCGTTAACAAAGTTATCATTTTTGTTCTTTAACTTTGGCAGTATTAACCTAGCATTGATAGAATAGTCTTCCTTTTTCTAAAGCATTAAATTTTTTTTTTTTTCAATTCTATTACTATTATTTTCCAATGTTCGTAATTAAAAAGAGTACGTATTATCTATATATTTTATTATATCGAAAAAAAATATTTTAATCACCTGTTTGGTAATCTTTAAAATTTTTTTACTTTTAGATAAATTTCAATAAACTGAAAATACAGTGATTGCGCTTTACTTGTATGAGGAATTGTCATTTTGAAATTATACCATGTGATTGAAAGACTAAAGAAAAAAATTTTAAAAAAATTTTATTCTAATTAAATTCATATTTTGGGAATTATTTCCTTTTTTTTTTGTGGAAAATTTGATAACAAAATTTGACATTTGGTATTCTTTCAATGAAGAAATGGAAAAGTAATCAGAGGGAAGATTTCCCTCTTCCATTTATAGTTGTTGCCACTACTTGGAAACGGTGAGTGTTAAGGTGAAAAAAAAAGAAAGAGAAACAAAATAATTTTTCATAAAGACATTAGCGTTGGTATAGGCAAAGTGGCATGTTTTTGACACTGCTCAGTAGTGTTCTTCGTATGAACTTCTCCTGGCTCTCGGAGGCTTTGGCTTTGCTGAGCAGTTGGAGTAGTAACTCCTCCAGGTTACTTTGTTGTTCTCGTTCGGCTACAGCACAGCTTATTGTCCGGCAGAGGGGCGTAGCAAGCGAGTTGACCAGTTCCATCCCAGGGGCGATATCGTCGACCGAGAACCTCGAGTTAGAAATGAAAGAACACTTGCCACCCGGGGACAACCTCTGTACCACGCTATCGTCTCCTCAGTTCTCCCAGGCGCTATCAATGTTCTGGTCTGCTTTGCAGTCCGGCCAGGCTGGCCCAGTCATCCGTCAATTTGGCCTGGGAACGCAGGCAGTCAATGCGGCGACCAATGGAAATCTCGAGGAATTCGTGAGTGCCCTCGAGTTCGAGACCAAGGATGGCCAACAACAACAACAGGATCGTAGCGAGCAGGGAAAGGATGACAAGAGTAAGAAGCAACCTCCTCCATCATCGGGAGCTGGATCCACTGATAAGAAAGATGAGGATGACGAGGGAATGTGTTTCGATTAGGACTGGATTTGATTCGACACTTCTTTTTTTTATTTTAATTTTTTTTTTTTTTTTTTTTTTTGTAATGTCTGTGTGTCGTGCGAAGTAATCTGCTCTGGATATACTGGTAACTTGAATAATTATTCTTACTAATGCTTCATTACGACTTGTGTATCTCTTTGCAATATCGATTTAAAAAAAATCGTAGCGTGTAAGTTTCACATTATATAATAAAAATTGTTTTGTTGAAAGATGATATATAGAATCTTTTCATTTATTTTGATTTTTTCTATTTGCATCATTGTCTGAATTGAAAAAAAGACAGATATTGGAATTTTTTTTTCATTGTTTATATTTTTAATTGATAGCTTTTTCTTTACTAATAATATATTTTAGTATAATTTTGTATTTTTTATAGACTATTTTTTTAATCTAATTCAATAGAGAATAACATTTTATATAAATTTATAGAATTTTTTATTGAATGAAAAAATTATATTAATTTGCTCTCATGAATCAATTTTCTTGTTGTTAATAAAAATCAGTTTTTTCTATATGGTTTCATTTTCTATAAAAAAAATAGTTTTTTATTCTATAATTGAAAACTTTATTGTTTTATAAATAGAGAATTGAATCTTTATCAATAAAAACATTTTTTTCTTTTATTATGTTAAGGCAGGAAGAAAAAATTTTATTTTTCACAAATAAAATATTGATAAAAAAATTTTTCTAATTTTCTGTATTAACAAATGGGAAATAAGAAAATTCTGACAATTTTGCAGATAACGTTGACAGTCCAAGTTATTGACATTAATATCAAAAAGAATTACGTTTTTGACAATTTTTGCAGAAATTCCAGATTCCTGTACTGTGTTCAAGTGTTTTTCGTCGTCTTGTCCAACTATATAGCAACAAATTTGTAAATTGAAAATATTATCGTTCGATAAAATATTCAAGGATGCCTTCAAACTATCTTCTGGTATGTTGGGAGAATTAAATTTCATAAGCTGATACTTGAATTCGTTTTTAAATAAAATATTTATACAAATATTTTTTTTTTTAAACACTAGATTTGAATTTTGAAAATTCTTTCTTTAACATTTGATTGTTGTATATTTGGTTTGAGAATTGAATTCATTTTTGACACAGAAAATTTTTGGCAATACCTCGCGAATTATTTAATTTTTAATTTAATTTGAAATTTTCCTTTTGGACACTGCTTATTTTTAACTGTTCACAATAAGATGTTTTTTATTCAACTGTTTTAAAATAAGTAACCTACTCCAGCTAACAAAAATGAAAATAATTTAGTAAGACATTTTCTTTTTGTTTTTTACTAAATTAATGTCTATTTTTATTTTATGTTTAGTTGAATGGAATTATAAAAAATAGAAATCAAGAATGAAATCTGAGAATAGATTTGAATTAAAAATATATCATTATCAGTGAAAGATATGATTTATCGATGATAAATTTTTGAAAGCAGTTGCTTACTTTTTTCAAAATTAAAATTAATTAAAGAATAATATAACATTAAATCTTAGTTGTTAACGAAACTTTGTAAAATTTGAACTATACGTAGTATTTGTCATTTAATAATAGGAAATCGATCTTGAAAAATATGAAAATTAAATGTCACTGACTGTAAACAACACTTTTACGCAAACTCAGAAGTTTTGAATTTAAGGTACCGGTTAGCGGGAAATTCTCTTCGAATCAACTTGTTTTGTTTACGACGCACAAGATTTTCATTGGTCTAGCTAGAATAATCGATATCTTAGAGCATGTGCTCGTGTTTACCACTGTATCCGACGTTTTCACAACAAAGGACCCTAGCACGTGTTGTTCGCCGCTTTTCATCAGGGGTGAAACCCCTCAGGGATTTACAACCCCTAAAAAATATTTTTTTTTTCACCATTTTAAGTATAAATCTCCAATTATTTTCACTGTATTCTTGTCCAATTTTTAAAACAGTATAAAATATTGATATCAAGCCATTTATGAGTCAAAATTTAAATAAAGTACTCTTAAATTTAATTTTTCATTAAAGTGCGATTCCAAGTGAGATTTTGACTTTTTCGGAGTAGGTTAACCGATTGCAATGAAACTTTGGAATTTTGTTATATATAGTAAGACTAATCTTTAACGTAAATTTCAGCCTAAAATATTTGTTAGTTTACGAGATTTGCAATAATAACAAAAAATTTAAAACTGCTATATCTTCCGTTCTAATAAACGGATTGAGGTCTACTTTTTTTTAAAATGTCAAGGAAAATGAGAGGAATAAATCTCTTTCAGAACATTTTTTTATAATTTTACAACTAAAAAAATTATTAAATAATAATTGAATAACTTTCGCGCGACTAACTAAAATTCAATCACTTAAACGCTAAAATGATCTTACCTGTGTTTTCTTTAATGTTCCAAAGGATTTTTATTGTAAATGTAAGTTTAACTTAAGAAATTTTATTAATTTATTAGTATAAACAATTGAGATTTCTGCTAGTTGACGTGCAGACGACATTGCGCACGCAGCATTCTCACATAGCCAATTTAGTCCACGAATCACGTCAGTTGGCTATGTGAGAATGCTGCGTGCGCAATGTCGTCTGCACGTCAACTAGCAGAAATCTCAATTGTTTATACTAATAAATTAATAAAATTTCTTAAGTTAAACTTACATTTACAATAAAAATCCTTTGGAACATTAAAGAAAACACAGGTAAGATCATTTTAGCGTTTAAGTGATTGAATTTTAGTTAGTCGCGCGAAAGTTATTCAATTATTATTTAATAATTTTTTTAGTTGTAAAATTATAAAAAAATGTTCTGAAAGAGATTTATTCCTCTCATTTTCCTTGACATTTTAAAAAAAAGTAGACCTCAATCCGTTTATTAGAACGGAAGATATAGCAGTTTTAAATTTTTTGTTATTATTGCAAATCTCGTAAACTAACAAATATTTTAGGCTGAAATTTACGTTAAAGATTAGTCTTACTATATATAACAAAATTCCAAAGTTTCATTGCAATCGGTTAACCTACTCCGAAAAAGTCAAAATCTCACTTGGAATCGCACTAAAGTATGTAATTTATTAATTTAATGTTTAAATAACAAATTTCTTTTTTTACTTCAAATTTTAAATTATTTATTTAATTATTTAAATACATTTATTTTTTAATTATATTATTAATTTATAAATAAATAAATAATAACTGCCAATGAGTGAATATATAATTAACAATAGTTTGTTATTTAATTTTTAACTTTATTATGCCTATTTTTTTAAAAATAATTCATCATTTATAAATAAATAATTGACTAAGTACATCTAAAATTAACATTTTTATTCAATTTAAATAATTATTTCTTTTATTGTGTTTTAAAAACAAACATATTATGTACTAATTATATAAATTTTTTCAATTTTAATCTTTTATCATAATTCTTATCTTGTATTACATATTATATTTTTAAAAATATTTATCACTTATATCTAAAATCAAAAATTATCGGTAAAAGTGTATTATTAATTATTTTAATAAATTTTAGTAAATTATTTTAGAAAAAAACTAATATTTAATATAATTAATAAAGTATTATGTAATTACTTTATGTAAATATTAAATTAAATGTTTTATAATAATTAAATCTTAATAGATAGATTATTATAATAAATTAAAGAAAATATCATTAATATTGTAAATAAACAAATTAATAATAATAAATAACAATAAATTAATTTAATTTAAGCTGGATTATTGTAAAGCGCAACAGTTTCTTCTTTAAAATAATAATTTCGATGGCAGACAAATTAATAATCTTGTCATGATGAAATAAAGAAAATGAAAAAAAGAAGCAGAATCGTGTCGTGGGCGGCTGAATAACGGTGGTAGAGAAAGGGTGGGGCATTTTATGAAATTACGGCCCTGAAGTCGCGACGCATGCGCACTGGACTCAGAATCGAACAAGTAGTGGGGGGTGTACTGACCGCTGAATCCTTTGTAATTTGTAAAAAATCGCCGGAACATTTGCATTGTATTGTTACCATCCCTTAAGTTGGTGATTTGTGTGGAAAAGTTATTTCAAATTTTTCTCAATCATGTCATTGTATGATATACGTGATTGTTGGTGATAATTTGATTGTTGTGACAGCGTGAGTAGACCGCCTGTGGTTTAGCGCGCGGGGAAACAATAGTTTCAGTGCGCGTGTATATGTTTGTGTTAGTTGGTGGAGGCATACGTGTCAAAGGCGTCTCGAGGGTTCATATGTATATATACATCACATATATATATATATATATATATATAAAATTGTATAAAATGGCAACCTTGACACTTGGTGATCGTGTCTTTGGCGGCTCGTGTAAAGTATAATTCGTTTGGAGAATGAATATGTTCGCGTCATCCTGGTGAAAGCTGCCGCGACAAACATTTGCGAAAATATACATAATAATCCTTTGCTAAGGTTCAATATTGGATTTGCGACTTTGTGTGTCATCGACACGGATCCACGGATGTTTCGTATAGTGCACACACTTGTATGTAATTTTGTGCTTTGTTCATGTTAAGTTCACCGGTGCGTTTCAACCGATTCATGAACGTCATTTGCAAATCGCCACGCGACAGAAGTTACTTTACTTTTCTTTTTTTTTTATCAATTGCGTCTTTTCTTAGACTACTTTTGCAAACATAAGGTGGACATTTATTTTTTAAATTGCCATTTAAGCTTTTTTTTTATTACCTTTTGATAAAAATAGATACTTTATCAGTCACTAAACTTTTCCTCGCTGATTTTTTTTTTTTTTTATTAAACGAGTCTTGTTGAATTTCACAATTTGTTATCTTCATATCGTAGTTCGATTTATTTTTTTTTTTTTTTTTTTACTCAAGTTGTACAAAATAAATTTGTTCCCCTATTGTTGTCAGTTTAGTGCGACAATTTTAGAATAGTGTAAACTGTAATAATTAACTTAAAAGGTTTACCTATATGAGTTCAATTTTTTGAAAATGTTATTAAATTTTAAGGTTAGTTTTTAGAATAATTTTGCCAAAATTTTATAAACAATTGTCAAAGTTTAAAAAAGGATTTATTAAATTATTATCGGTTTTTTTTTAAATTATATATTTTGGTAAATCTTTTTTTTTATGAAGTACGTTGACATCGAGTGATTGTTAAAAAGTTTTATACAATTTATAATTTTTTCTTCAATTATTGAAATGTAATAAAATGCTAAAAATCACGTGACTGCGCGCGTCTGACTCAGAATGGTTGTTACCACTGACTCATTTATGGTACACGCTATACGAACCAGATAAGATTTCACATTTGGATTTAAAAATAATCTAGATTAAAAATAGTTCGGTTCGACAACTTTTAAAAGCTTTCAAAGAACTTGTTTGATGATTTAGAAACAATCAATTCTTTTCACAATTAATTGATTAATTAAATTTTATCATTTTCTCCCATTCGTGAATTTTTTTTCAATTATTGTGAAACAAGTGCAATTCTAGTTTAACATTTAAAAAAAAAAATTTTCTTTAGAATCGAAATATTTAAAAGGCATTTTTGTTGTTGTTTGTTTTTGTTGTTTTTGATAAAGCTTTGGCATCTTTTGTTACTTACCAGTCCAGTAAGAGAGCATGTAACGCGCAAGATCTTTGTTCATTCTTCACTGCGACGAATTGTCCTTTTCCTCTTTCTCTCCCCTTCTGATTTCTGGACGACAAAAGAAGCCAGACAAGCATAATGCGAGCTCTCGAGTACATATTCATGTACAAATATTTTTTTTTACTTTTAAAAATAAAAAGATAACTTTTCAGAATTTTTCTAATTTAAAAAAAGCCAATTTAACAGTTTTTTCATTTATCTGTTGACAATGTTTTGTAAAAAAAAAAAAAAAAAATCACTTCAATCAACATCTAATTAAAATATCATAGAAACGAACATACATTATAATTGACATTACATTATATTTCATGTAAACTATTTTCATTATTTCAGATTTACTTTTTTTCGCTATTTGTTTTGCAAAAATGTGCATTCAAGAACAAATTACAACATTGGCAGTTAAAAACCAATAGTGAAATCTGCGATATCAGATAAGAAAAAAAAATACCCAGCTTTTACATGTGTGGACGTAATCCATGATATTTTGTATGAAATAATCTTGAAACAGCAGAAAATATGTGATTTCGGATTTCTTATTAAAGAGGTAGAGAGGATTATTTTGCAGAAAATAAGAGACCGGAATATAAAGAGAGGTGAGTTCAACACTTTATACTTGAGGTCAAGCTTTCTTTTTGTATCGACACAAGCTCTACTACCTGTTGAGTGTTGTCATAATTTTATTGTAACTCAACAAAAATTTTTATTTTTCAAGAAATTTAAGTCAAATCAATAGAAACAAAATTAAAAACCTATTTCTTTTGCTTGTTTCAATAATTTAAAAAAAAATAGCACATATGACATTTTAAAAATGAGTATCTATTATAAAAAAAAAATACAAGTTTTGCATCATTTATAAAGAAAATGCTAATTTCTAATGTATTGATTAACTGCCGTTTCAAATAATTAAAATAATTTCAGACACAGATAGTTTATATACAATAAAGTAATCAAAAATCTCCTGTTGATGGCAGTTTCAAACGATAAGTAAGTTTAAAAAATATGTATAGGTAGTTTCAATAATTTATATTCAGGGTGGCCACTATTTTTAGAAATTTTGCCTCCCGGTTTTCTCCCGGTTTTAAAATACGCATTTTTTCTGTACACAAATCTATTATATTTATATAATATGCAAATGTAAAAAATAATGAACACCAAAAGCACTCTATGAAAATTTATAAAATTAAAGTTTTATGAAGTACATTGAAATAAAATATAACAAATTTTATTAAGTGTATAGTAGACATTTTAGTAAACATTTTTCAATTTAGGGAAAACATGTAAAAATGGGAAATATTGATACAAAAAATAATATACTTCTGAAAATATTTTTCATTCTTTAAGAAATGTATTTCAAATTTGAGTAAATATTTACGAACTTCAACATAATTTATAGTAATCATACAAAATCTTTACTGAGATTTAATATATTTTATATCATTTTTTTCCAGTTTGATACATTTTCCCTAAATTGAAAAGTATTTACGAAATTTTGTTATATATTTTCTTTCAGTGTAGAATTAAAAAATTTTGTATTGTGAGAAATAAAAGTAGCTAATTTTTGTTGATGGTATATGAGGCATTTCAAATGAGAATACGGGGTCATGTCTCGGATTTTTCTCAAAATTCGGTAAATTGTAGTGCTAGTGGTGCTAAATGCGTGTACAAATTTTGAATTTGAAATTTGTAATATTTTTCGAGATATTTACAATAACAAGTTTAAGCAATATTTTTTTACTTTACTTATAACTTGTTTCCTATTAAAAATAGAGAAAAATGTTGTAAATGTTTTTTACGCGGAAGATCTTAAACTTTTAGAAAAAAATTATTTAAAAAAAAAAACATTAATTTTTAAACAATTTGTTTAAAAAATAAAATTTGTTTATAACTTTTAACCATGTTCTCCCTCATTTAGAAACGCGAAAAACATCATGAATATTGTTTAAGTCATAATAAATTGATGGTTAAATTTTTGAGATGGCATTATTTTTTGTTTTCGAGATATTAATTAATTAACTAACAAAAGTTAATAAAAAATGAAATATTTTACGAACAAATAAAATTATAGTAATTTTAAAAACACCATTAGAATGCTTATCAAAATCCGCATCCAACGAGCCTTATATGAACTATTTCTAATAAACAGGTGTTAAATTAATAATTAATAATAAAAATTATTTAAATAATTAATAAGAATTGAAGAAGTGAAGATAAATCGTCAATTCTTTTTTTATTTTGAAGACCATCTAATTCTGTGTCAAAAAAAGAATATTAAGTATTACCAAGAATCAACAATTAATTATAAAATGTTATTTAGAAAAATACTGAAAAATACCATGCCGAGTAGGTAGGCAGCTTCCTCCAACTTGTGTCGTAGGGTGCTGAAACCTCAATTTTCAATAATCATCTTTTAATAATTTAGATTTGTTAAAAATGTTATTTACACTGGTTTTATTTAATACAGAATTAGATGTTCTTCTAAATAAAAAAAGAATTGACGATTTATATTCATTTCTTCAATTCTTATTAATTATTTAAATAATTTTTATTATTAATTATTAATTTAACACCCGTTTATTAGAAATAGTTCATATAGGGCTCGTTGGATACGGATTTTGATAAGCATTCTAATGGTGTTTTTAAAATTACTCTAATTTTATTTGTTCGTAAAATATTTCATTTTTTATTAACTTTTGTTAGTTAATTAATTAATATCTCGAAAACAAAAAATAATGCCATCTCAAAAATTTAACCATCAATTTATTATGACTTAAACAATATTCATGATTTTTTTCGCGTTTCTAAATGAGGGAGAACATGTTTAAAAGTTATAAACAAATTTTATTTTTTAAACAAATTGTTTAAAAATTAATGTTTTTTTTAAAATAATTTTTTTCTAAAAGTTTAAGATCTTCCGCGTAAAAAAACATTTACAACATTTTTCTCTATTTTTAATAGGAAAAAAGTTCTAAGTAAAGCAAAAAAATATTGTTGAAATTTGTTATTGTAAATATCTCGAAAAATATTAAAAATTTCAAATTCAAAATTTGTACACGTATTTAGCACCACTATCACTACAATTTAACGAATTTTGAGAAAAATCTGAGACATGACCCCGTATTCTGATATGAAATGCCTCATATGAGCAATTCCACGTGCGATTGAGGGGTCTATCCTCTGATTTCTTTTATACTACGTTTTTGGGTAAAGGTTATGGGTCTAATTGAGTAAATAAAATTTTGAAAAAAATATTTATTATTTTTCGAGATATTTGCATTAAAAAATTAGTGCAACTTTTTTTTCAATTACTCATAACTTTTTCACTTTTAGTCCTAGAAAAAAGTTTCCTAAACGTTTTTTGCTCAGAAAATATTGAAGTTTAAGAAAAAAAATTAATTTTGAAAAATTAAAATTTTTTAATTTATTTATTTATTTAAAAAATAAAATTTGTTTTTAATTTTTTAATTTATTATCGGACTCCGTTTACTTAGCGGGGGTTTCCTACCTTTTCGGCACGGTTTTTTTCAGTCTTTCTCTGAATAACATTTTATAATTAATTTTCGATTTTTAGTAATACTTATGTAATATTCTTTTTTTTGACACAGAATTAGATTAGACGTAGTATAGAAGGAATCTGAGGATAGACCCTTCAATCTCACGTGGAATTGCTCATATATTTTACATAATTAAGACGAAATTTTAGATGGTTAAAAGTTGAACAATTTTCCAATAATTGCGCGAATCACAAAACCCATAAAATCTCCCGGATTAATTTTTCAGTCCCGGTTTTCTCCCGATTCAAATTTCTCCCGTCTTTCTCCCGGTTGGCTGGCCACCCTGTATATTGTAGTTTCGAATTTACATATTTAAGTTAATGTTATAGTTTCTTTATTATAATTTTGAATGTTTATTTATTTATTATCTATTTAAAAATAAATTTTTCTTCTTTTTATTTAGAATTATAAATATTATTATTAATTTTTTAATGTTAATTAATTTTCAAAACATTGTTTTAAATGCTAATTATTATTATTATGTATTAATTACTATTACAAAATGATATTAATATTGTAATTTCATTCAAAGTGAATATTATTACTTTTCAATTAAAAATGCATGAATATTAAATAAAATAATTAATTTCACTTTAATTTTTATTAATCCAAAAATTTGATATGCATTGAATGTTTTATGATTTTAAACAAATCATTATTATTACATATTTATAATGAAACTTTTTTAATAAACTTTTTAAAGAATCCAAAATATTAATACATAAATAAACAAAATTTTAAAGTTTATAATTGTTAAATTATAACATTAATAATAATATTAAATAATATATATCATCCTGCTGATCATCCATTGAAGCAATTGTTTTAGAAGTTTTTAAAATTAGTTTAACATTTTTGATTTTCCGTTCAGTAGATACCCTAATAAATAAATAATATATATATTAATATATTAATATATATATATCACAAAATTTAAGGAAATAAAAACTCGAAGAAATTGAAGAAAAATTAAAAAAAAAAAAGTAAAATAAATATTTTAGAAAACTGTTAAATTTAAATTCTGCTAAATCAAATTGCAGTAAAAAAAAAAATTTTTTAACTTTAACTTCACTTAGTTTAGAAATAGGAAATCCTTTAGGTAACAAAATACTTGAAATGTATTATTTACAAGGTAACGAAATGAATACTCTTATTCTTTGAATATTATTAAGAGCTAAGAGAAAAATAAGTTTGCATAAAAACTAGATCAAAATTTCAATGATTAAATATTTATTTAACACATTTTTTTAGTAACAAAAAAAAAGAACGGTAAATAGTTGCTAATACATAACATTTTTGAGTTTTTTTTTTAACGTATATATAGTTCGAAACATTGTTTTAATGATTATTTAGAATAATCTAAACAAGTATAAAATTGTATACTATTGTTCAAGTCCATTCAATGGAAAATATTTAACTAATATATTGCTTAATCATTACATTTCAGTTGTTTATATTTTTTAATTTTATTCAATCAGTCGAATTATCAATATTGGTCAAGAAAAATTAAAAAAACAAAAAAAAATTGTTGCGACGCTCCTGGACAAAATCATTTGAATAAAGCTCTTTAATGGGATTACATATTTTTCATTTAATTTTAATTTGCTCTATATTTAGATGAGTATAAAGTTTTGTACGAGATTTTTTCAAGTGTATAAATGAAAAATACATTCATGCTCATTATATGTATGGAGATACAAGTTCTAAGCTTTCAGATTTGCTTTGGTTTATTTCATTATTCATCTAAAGATATATCAAGTTTCCAATATTGAAATAAACGATAATCTTTCTTTTTTTTTTTAGATACTATTTTCTCTATAACAAGAGAGTAATATAGGATTTTGATATTTCATTTTTTTCACTATTAAAATATTCGAATTTAAAAGAAAAAAATTCTATTAATCGACTGGTTTTATTGTTATAAATCTAGATAAAATAAAAGCGAGCATAATAGTTCCTGCCACAAAGAAACCAACAAAGATATACCAAGTTTCTTCGTCAAAAACATCAGTAAATGCTGGTACTTGATTATAAAGTGTATCTATTAATTTTAGATTATAATCTTTGTGTCGTGCGTACTGTGTCATTTTTAAATTCTTTTTCTTTTTTTCAAAGAAAAAAGAAAGTTTTGGGAGATTTTATTGATTGATAGGAAAGTAAATTCTAAATTGAAGACACGATTCTTTTATAGAACTATTTGTGAAGAAAACCTGAGATGGCCCTACGTTTTATATATTTAAAAGAAGCTCTTTCTACTTTCCCGCTATTAATCTCCAAAATTTGAAACAAGTTTGGAGCTTAATTTGTGTTTCTTTCGCTGGGATTAATCTTTCTAGTACTCGTTCATAAATTGACAATGTAGGACATATTCAAATTGTTTATATTCCTTAAATATGTGGATTAAAAAAGAGAAAAGAAATTCATGAAAGCGTTTTTCTTACTTTTTTTTTTTTGGTTTATATTTTCAAGAGCACAGTTTGGCTTAAAAAATAAAATATGCTCGTAAACTTATAAAATTGAAGGCAATCTTTGTTTTCATAAAATTTTATCATATAATTAGTAAACTTACTAATTCATCGTGCTTCTTTTTTTTTGCAATGAAATTTGATTATTTCTTTTTTAATTTCTTGCCTTTTGTTGCGACTTTATCTTCTTCCTTTGGAGGTGGCACAAGGGATGTTACATGCTTATTGTACAATTGAAGTAATTCTACTGTTGTCAAGTTACTGCTTTTCATCACCAATTTATCTCCAGATTCTGTAAAAAAAGAAAAAAAAATGATTCTTTTCGTTAAAAACATTGAATTCATTCAAAGTAGAAAATTGCCACAATTATATTATACAAAATTGATTTTATTTACCTAAATCAACTGTTATTGTTGGCTCTGATCGATCGCAAACAATGGATGTTTTAAACAAACATTTTGGATTTGTATTTTTATATTTTTGTGCACTTATGTAATACATAAACTTCCTGTAAACAGACAAGAAAAACATTCATTAGAATATGAAATATGATAAATAAATAATTATGAAAAATTGTAATATTTAATGTTTCAGAACAATGGCTCAAATGGAACAGCAAATTCCTATTCCTGTGCCGGATTTGAGCACTATTCGAATAACAACAGCAGTTTCTATGCTAGGTAAAGCGTATGGCTGTGGACAGTGTGCAGGTAAGCAACATTTTATAGATAATTTTATTTTTTCTGTAATACAAAATATTCTCGTAGTCCAAAATAGTGAAGAAAAAAAAAAATAACTTTCCCTTATTTTTGTCAGAAATAATTTTTTTCTTTAAACTCTAATGAAAATTTAAAAATAACTAATAGTAATAAATAAATTGAATAATTTTAAATTTAATTTTCACTCAAAATTTCTTTTATTAATTTTTTTTTTAAAGAAAAAATTGGGGTCATAAAGTAACTTACAATTATTGGATTATCGAACGAAAACTAATCACACACACACTTGACTTTGAAATAGAACAACAATTATTGATCAATATCTAAATATCGATTACATACCTTTTACAATTAACATTTAAAAAAAAGTAATTTATTTGACACAAGGTTTTTTAAAAAAACTTTTTCTTGTATTTTACACAAAAAATAGAACTTGTTTGTTAAAAATAATTTAACGACGTCGCTTTTGATCGTCTGCTAGTCTACTGGCAAAATGTAAATACGCATGTGCGACTTATCGACGTCACAGGAACATACAAACACACAGAATCAACATAAATCGTTACGTATTATTTTAAAGGATCAAGTCCTTACTACGCTTTTTCCAATTAAACACTCATTTCCCCTTCTATGGTCCTATGGAGCATATTAATGGATCATATTCCAAGACTGAAAGTAATGACACAAACAATGTATCTTTATCACCAAACTGTAATTATAACATTTTGCCAAAGGATTTTTATTTTTTTTTTTAATTATTAACGCTAATTTATAATGTTGTTGAAATGCGTAGATGCATGATTAAAATTCATTTTGCCTATTGATAACATTCATCTTGTAGTTTGTGCGCATTTTGTGAAAGAAAGTACATATATTATTGAAAACTAACCTCACTGAGTTGGATTTTTCATGAAATGGATCAAACTCGACTGTAATTTTCTTTGCTGGCTTAAAATTTATTACTTTTAATTGCCTTGCAATTGCACTTATTACACCTGCTGATCGCGAATTTCTTCCACTAAATGTAATAGACATTTTTCACGAAAAAAAAAAATTAACAGCGCTTTTATAGATTACCGATCAACCATTTGTATGATAAGTACAGTATTGCCAATCGCCATCAGTTGGTATAATGTTGCCAACATTATTTCCTGCAAATGCTATCTTTTAAAATAATTTTGAATTATTACACATTTTTATAGAATGTTTTTAATTTTAATTATTAGTAATTGAATTAATAATTATTATTAATATTAGTTTTTTTTTTGTTATTCTTTTAAATGATAATAAATAATGTATTGATTTTGAATTTACCCGCGAAAAAGTTATCTTCTGCTGGTCATTTTGTCCTATGATTGGTTATAAAGGAACCAATGAGTAGCATCTGAGCATCCGCCATTGTGGGAGGCAGACAACTGGTTTCGCTTCAGTGTGTTGTTGAGAAGTGTGTTGGGTGGTTATCGGGTCTTGTGTTAAATTTTTTACTTATTTATTAGTGATAATTGATAATTTTTCATCGGCAGCAGCAAATATGTATCCTGTGGGACAGCGTGAGTAGTGAATTTCTTGATTTTTCTCGCAAAATGGCGTAAATTATAGTGATAAAAAGGTTCCCTCTTTCGCTTGCTTAGGCTGATTCTAAAACCTTGTCGTCTGTGTACACTCTAAAGGGGTTCTTTGTTCACTTCACGTTTCAGGGGATATTTCTAAAAAAAAATGCCATATTATAGTGAAAAAAACGATTTCTTTCATTTGATAAAGCTCGTTGCTTGAAATCTTCAAGATTCTTTAATAGTAGCAAGCATTAGGAATGACCCCGAATGAACCCCCCCGCTCAACAGGCGCATGTGTCGTTACTTGTTTCATTAGATCCGTCACATTATTTTAGAGAAATAGTTATTAATTCTTAATAATGCTTATTTTTTGCTGATTAATCATAAGAATTTGATGAAAATAACATTAAAATTAAAGTATTATTAATATTTCATGCATGATTTAGCTACAAACAGTCGAAAAGAAAATCAATAAATAATACCACGTAGCATTGAATTTTTGACCTATTCTCGATTGTTTGATTTCCTTTCCCAATAATACACATTTGGAAAATGTGTACTGTTGCTCTTCTTTCTGTTTTCTGGAATCTGTTTATTGTTTTTTTTTTTTTTTTTTTTTTTTCCTATTATGACTACATTACAAAATGCTTAGTGCACAATAATTACACAAAATGCTAAACAAATTTTTTATAGTTTTTTTAAAAATAATTTTAATTTCTTCACTACCTATTACAAAAGTGGATTTATTATTAATATTTAATTAATTTTTTGTTATATTTTTATAATGATAAAAATGTAAAAATAAATATAAAATTATTCTAAAATGATTATATAATTTTTAACATTCTTTGATTTAAAAAGAAATATTTAATTATAATTTGGTTTTCTTATAAAATAATATTTAGAATTGAGTCACTTATTTTCTTATTTAAAACAGATAGGTGATCTTTTTTAAGACTTGAGAATAAAAAGAAATGATAATAATGAAAGCAGCTGTAACCAATATTATTAATTTTTACACACAGAGATTTTCGTCATTTTATCAAGATTATTGAAAATAAAAAATTGTCAAGAAATTTCTTTTTAATCGTGAAATAATAGAAAATCTTTAAATTTTCATTGAATTTTGTAAGATATTTTATTTAAATTTGAATTTAATTTATTTTTGTATTTTGAGGTTAATTTTGTCAAAGTTGTAAAATATAATATTGTCTGTGTGAAAAATGGTTTGATTTGAAATGAGAATCAACAAAAATGTTTAATTCATAAATCACAGTAACCTTGATTATCTTGACATTGTGAATTAATTATTAATTAATTTTTATATTATAGCTCCCCCGCCGGGGTCGACAAGCACTGCCGTGGGAGCAGCTGGGACAACTGGAAGTAGTGTTGCTGCTCCCAGTTCCTTGAACCTGGTTCCCGCCCAACAAACACACACGCCTCCTCAACCTCCAGATCTGCCGGGTATGTGATATAAAAACAAAAATTTTAATTAAAAATAGATAACATTAACATAAAACACGATACATATTTTAATTTATTTATTACATTACGCTATTTTCATTTACAGTGTTTTCATGTCCAAGAAGGCCAAACATAGGCCGCGAGGGCCGTGTAATCGGTCTAAGGGCCAATCACTTCCAAATCACAATGCCACGGGGTTATGTTCATCATTATGACATTAACATTCAACCCGACAAATGTCCGCGTAAAGTCAATCGAGAAATTATCGAGACTATGGTCCACGCTTATAGTAAAATATTTGGATCTCTTAAGCCTGTTTTCGATGGTAGAAGCAATTTATATACCCGGGACCCATTACCAATTGGTACAGATAGAGTAGAGTTAGAGGTAAGAATTAAATTCAAATTTTCATTATTTTTCAATTGATTTTCAATTATATTAAAACAATAATCTCTAAAATATTTTCAGTAAAAGTTTAGTTAGTTATATATTATTTTTTTGTGAATTAAATTTTTTTTATATATTTATAGGTGATACTGCCTGGTGAAGGAAAAGACAGAGTCTTTCGAGTTGTGATTAAATGGGTGGCTCAAGTTTCCCTGTTCGCTTTAGAGGAGGCACTAGAAGGTCGAACTAGACAAATTCCATTTGATGCGATTCTAGCATTGGATGTGGTCATGAGGCATTTACCATCCATGACCTACACTCCAGTTGGAAGATCATTCTTTAGTACACCAGATGGATACTATCATCCCTTGGGTGGCGGAAGGGAAGTTTGGTTTGGTTTTCATCAATCTGTGCGGCCTTCTCAATGGAAAATGATGTTAAATATTGATGGTAAATTTATTTAATTATTGAATATTTTGTTTCATTTTATGCACAGAAACGATTTTTAAATTTTAGATTACGTAAATTGTTTCTTACTTTGTTAGAAAAATTGTAATTTTAATTGAAATGGTTAAACTAATCTTTGTTTCGAATCTTTTTTTTTTTGTAAAGTATATAATTTGATTTAGTTTACTGAGAAAAGGGCGAAATTTAAGATCTATTTTTATTTCTTTCAGTATCTGCAACTGCGTTCTATAAAGCTCAACCAGTAATTGAATTTATGTGCGAAGTTTTGGATATTCGAGACATTAATGAACAAAGAAAACCATTGACAGATTCGCAACGTGTAAAATTTACCAAAGAAATAAAAGGACTTAAAATTGAAATTACACATTGTGGGACCATGAGACGAAAATATCGAGTCTGCAATGTGACGCGCAAACCTGCTCAGATGCAATCGTAAGTTTTTAATTTTCAAAGATTTCTTATGCCATTTTGTATTCTCTATTATTAACATTTATATTTCTTTTTTTAGATTTCCATTACAACTAGAAAATGGCCAAACAGTCGAGTGTACAGTTGCCAAGTACTTCTTAGATAAGTATAAAATGAAACTGCGATACCCTCATCTTCCGTGCCTTCAGGTTGGTCAGGAGCACAAACACACGTACTTACCACTAGAGGTTGGTTTTATTTTTGTTTTTAATTTCTCTTAATTAGAAAAATGAATGTTCAGTAATATAAATATTGGTTTAATTTAGGTCTGCAACATCGTAGCTGGACAAAGATGTATTAAAAAATTGACGGACATGCAAACATCAACAATGATCAAAGCAACTGCACGTTCGGCTCCTGATCGAGAACGTGAGATCAACAATCTTGTTCGACGTGCTGATTTTAATAATGACTCCTACGTACAAGAATTTGGTTTAACCATTTCCAATAATATGATGGAAGTTAGGGGCCGTGTTTTACCACCACCTAAACTACAATATGGAGGACGAGTTAGTTCCCTCACTGGACAGGTAAAGAATTATTTAGAGGTAATTTGAAATAGTGACATAAAATTGAATGAATATAAAATTATTTAAATTGTATTTTTTCTTAAACAAAGGCAAAACAACAAGCGTTGCCAAATCAAGGTGTATGGGATATGAGAGGTAAACAATTTTTCACTGGTGTTGAAATTCGAGTATGGGCAATTGCGTGTTTCGCACCTCAAAGAACAGTAAGAGAAGATGCATTACGTACGTTTACCACACAGCTTCAAAAAATTAGTAGCGATGCTGGAATGCCAATTATCGGACAACCTTGTTTCTGCAAATACGCCACTGGTCCTGATCAAGTTGAACCAATGTTCCGATATCTTAAATCAACATTCCAAGGCTTACAACTGGTTTGCGTTGTTCTACCTGGAAAAACTCCTGTCTATGGTAATTTTATTTTTATCACAAATAATTTTGATTAGATTAACAATTAAAGGAAATTATCTGTTTTATTAAAGAAATTTAAGAATATTTTTAGCTATTGTATGGTAATTTCATGATATAAAAATTTATTTTTCAGCCGAAGTTAAAAGGGTAGGCGATACCCTATTAGGAATGGCAACACAATGTGTTCAGGCAAAGAATGTTAATAAAACATCACCGCAAACATTGTCAAATCTCTGCCTTAAGATTAACGTGAAACTCGGTGGTATCAATAGTATTTTGGTACCTAGCATTAGACCGAAGGTCTTTAATGAACCAGTTATATTCCTTGGAGTTGATGTGACACATCCACCTGCAGGCGATAACAAAAAACCAAGCATTGCCGCTGTTGTTGGTAGCATGGACGCTCATCCATCTCGGTATGCCGCTACTGTTCGCGTTCAACAACACAGACAAGAAATCATTCAAGAACTCAGTTCCATGGTCAGGTATGTAAAAATTTCTAAAATATTTTATTATAATATTTATTACATATATACACTTTTAGTAGGTCTTTACATTAATTTTCAAACTCTTACATTGTACACATTTAGTAAAATAATTATTGTTAAATTATATAAACATATAAATTAATGAATGATTGTCGTTATTCCTTTTCTTTATTCTAATTCTTTTTTTGTAACTTGTGATTTAAATAGGGAGTTGCTGCTAATGTTCTACAAAAGTACCGGTGGTTATAAGCCTCTTAGGATAATTTTATATCGTGACGGTATATCTGAAGGTCAATTTTTGCACGTTCTCCAACATGAATTGACTGCGATTCGTGAAGCTTGCATTAAACTAGAAGCTGAATACAGACCTGGTATCACCTTTATCGCTGTTCAAAAGAGACATCACACGCGTTTGTTCTGCGCTGATAAAAGGGAACAAAGTGGTAAAAGTGGAAATATTCCAGCGGGAACTACTGTCGATGTGTGCATCACGCATCCTACTGAATTTGACTTTTACCTATGCAGTCATCAAGGTATTCAGGTAAGTTCAAAAGAGATTTATAAATTTTCTTCTTCTGATATCGTTATTAATTTACTTTGTTTTCGCCCTTTATTTTTTAAAGGAAGAGTTTTCACTATACTTACTTTTTAAATATGGTGCATTTTTTAAAATATTTTTGCCAATTTGGTTCATTTTTGAAAAGAACTAAAATTTAATTTAAGTTTGATTAGAAATTCACTTGATCTGTGAAATGTTCATAGATCATTTTGTTTTTATTTTAATTTTATAGCCTTGAATGCTGTAAAATTTACGTTTCCTTTGTTTTCGCGTTTAAAAATTGCTTTCATAGTTTTTTTTTTTCTTATGAAAGAAAAGTCAGTGTGGTGTTGAGAATTTTTTTTCGAAGAAATGGAAGAATTATTGATTAATTTGAAGTATATTTTATGAATGAAGAAATTTAAATGAACCCTAAATAAAACTGTGAGTTGATTTTCAAAATTTTGTTTCCTCTAATTTTTATAATTTTTTATTTTACATAATCATTAATTTTTTTTTTTTGTATTATTTCGTAGGGAACATCGAGACCTTCACATTATCACGTGCTTTGGGATGACAATAATTTTGAGAGTGATGAATTGCAATGTCTCACCTATCAACTTTGTCACACTTATGTCAGATGTACAAGATCGGTTAGCATACCAGCTCCAGCTTATTATGCTCATCTGGTTGCTTTTCGTGCTAGATATCATTTAGTTGAAAAGGAACATGATAGGTATGTACAATTGTGTATTGTTTTTTAGTATTTATTAATGTATTTTTTTATCAAGTCACTTTCTGGTACGTTAGAATGAAACCATCGTACTACTTCAAACCTTTAAAAACTAAATTTTTTCTCAAAAAATCACGATTTTGGATTTTTAAACAATTCTTCAGCAAAATTTATTAAGGTTTTTTTTTGTCTTAAAGCCAAAGTTTGAAATTTGGAAATTTTTTAAGAGAAGAACTCACTGGTCTTCAAAGGGTTAAAAATATTGAAATCCATGAATTCGCCTTGATTTTTTTTTATTAAACTTGAAATTTTAAAAAATTTTCATTTTTCAAGATTAAGTTTTTTTGAAATTATTTTAATTCGATTTGTTTTAAAAATTGATAATTTCAATTTATTGATTAAATATATTATTCACAGTGGAGAAGGATCTCATCAATCAGGCTGTAGTGAAGATAGAACGCCAGGTGCAATGGCACGAGCAATAACAGTTCACGCTGATACAAAGAGAGTTATGTACTTTGCGTAATTTATATGCATGTTGATCATCTGCGAAATCGCCATATCCACTGAAAGAAACGATTGGGGGGTGTTACTTTTTATCAAAACGAAAAAAAAAACAACAAATAGCTAATGATTGATAGCTAAAATATTAACTTAAAATGATCATATTATCTTCGAAATCATTTCTTTCAGTGTCTTTAAGAGTAAAGTAAACGGAGTAAAGATCGTAGGCTACTTAACAAAACAAAACAAAAAAAAAGAAAGAAAAATTGACGTTTGAAAGCTCGTGGTCGGCCAATTTTTTTTTTTTAAATATACATTCGTATAGATTGCTTACAAATATCATGTCATATCTCTGCTAGACAATGAAATCATGAAATGAATTTAATGGATTTTATAATTAATATCTTCCGGCAGATAAATTTTGATCTCTGTTTGTTTTTTGAGACAAATTGTATAGATTTTTTATAATGAAAAGGTGCTTTTCTTTTAGTTAATCATGTTTTAGATTAAGATTTTTCGCAATTTCACTAAATGTATTAGTGAAGTTTTTTTCTCTTTTATAAAGATTTGGCTTTTGAGCCGGAATTACGCTTATTTTTTGTTATTTTTTTTTGTTTTTTGCTTGAGGTATTTATTTTACCTCTCTTTTTTTGAAACCAGCATTTTTATCATATCGGGGGAAAAAAAAATTGAAAAATATATTTACACAATTCCTGCAATCATTAAACACTAAACTGCCATCATAATGTTTTACCATAATGTATATGTTAATTTAAAAACAAAAATGCAATTACGAGGCTTGAGCTTAATACTTAACATTAGGATTGGTTTAATAATAAATTGAAAGAGAGAGAGAGAGAGAGAAAAAAAAATTGGCCACCAATTGAGTTACTTTCGTCATAAAATGAAAACGCTTGATTATAACATACAAAGATACTGAGCTGATTTGCCAAGAGTTATATAAGAGAATGGCCAAAGTAAGTTTAGGATTTTATTAAAAAGAAATTAGGAATTGTGGCGAAATTTTAATTAAGAAATTTCTGTTCAATGTTAGATTCTTAATTATTGCCGTTAGAATTACGCTTTACATTCAAATATATACATATATATATATTTACGTCATGATTTGAAAAAAATAATTTTTAACAATTAAATTTTTTTTTTCTTTTTTTTTTTATTACGATTGTTCTCTCGTTACAATGTGTTCTATATATTGAAATTTATCAATCAAAATTTTTATGTCAGCCGGGAAAAATGACCAAAATTTTGTGTAATCACAACTTGGGATAGACAAAATATTTCCCATATATAAATGAAAACACAATTCATCAATCAGTTTTACTAAACTATTCTAAATCACAATATCCTAGTTAAATTAACATCGCGTGCAGTAAAAAAAAAAACAATTAGTTGTAGGACTCTCCCAATTTAAAAAAAAATCATACCAATCCTATCGAGAAATAAGGAATCGTTGCTTATATTATAATATAATATAAAGAGCAAATTAAACGGGATGATTAGAATAAGAAAACAAAATATCTATAACATTATATACGTATAATTATATACAAATCTCTCGAAGAGTCTGTACTCTGTATTTTGATCGATCATATTTTATTATTCTTACATTATGTTTCAAAAATCTCAATTGCCACAATAATCGTCATAATAACATAAAACTCTAAAGGCATTTAATTAATCTTACAGACTTTAAATATTTTATGAAATGATTAAAAATCATTCAATTAGGTATATTATTACCTATGATTCGCACACACACACACACACACACTCACAGTAGAACATTATTTTGTAATTTCATTTTAATAATTTTGAAATTCTTTTGACAAGAATTAATAATAATAATTTATAATTGATTGAGCAAAATTAATTAATAATTAAAAAGAGAGAATGAAGGAAAGAAAAGAAAAAAAATTATCGTCGAAAGTATGAAAATGACCTCGACTCTCATGTAATATTTATTCTAGATATAATTATGAGTAATGTAGAAAATGATCAATAACAGTTACATACCTGTATAAATTCAAATTCTTAGAATCAGCCTAGACGAAAAAGAAATTAGACAATTTTGCTAAAAAAAAAAAAAATATCTTTTTGGTAATTAAAAAAAACTCGAATGTGTAATTCATTGAATTGCAAATGAAGCAATTTGAATTAATACCAAAAGATAACTCAAAAGAAGATATATAATGGATTAAATACAATTAGAACATTGAAAGTTTTTATTAAATAATTGCGTTATTTAGGAATTAACGAGTATCAAAAAAATAAAAAAAAAAAAAAAGAAACTAAAGATTGAACACAGACAATTATTTGCTGTGCTAAAAAATGTTAATGTTCAATCATAACGAGACCATTTAAATCAATAATTACTCACACAAATTACTACACACCGATTTAAATAGTAATTATAAGTTTTACAGTGTGAGAAATTGTCAAAAACAAATAAAAAAAATATGCTGTAAGTTTTAAGTTAGAATAAAAGAAATGTTACATCAAATAATGATTTGATAAAAAAAAATTCCTAATGACAATTTCTCGCATTTTGAGAGCCTCGAATTGTAAATATATTACTGTGTTTTTAGCCTTAGATTTTTTTTTTCTTTTTTTTTTTTTGTCAAAGTAAATTTCTCGGAGTACAAAGTTCTTTCCTTTTGAGATCCTTCAAATTAATTTAATTTAATAATCAATTAATTAATATTAATTCTTTATATTATAATAGTAATAGAATTTATTTTTAAATTATTTTTTTGTAGATTTTCTTTTGTCGATAGGACTGCTTTTACAATGTGTTCTTTATCTAATGGCAATTACTGCAAGTATTCTCAAGAAAGCATAAAATATATAAAAAAAAAGAATAACAAAAAACAATTGTCGATTATTGAGGGAATAAAATAGTAGGTAATATAACATTTAAAAGAAAACTTGATAAACGGGTGTATGAAAGGATCCAAGCACTGCGGTTAAATTAATAATTTAAGGACATAGAATAATTTATATTTATATATATATATATATATATATTGTATGTATATATTTACAAAATACACCTTCACACCATTCATTCATAAATGGATACGCACTTAGGCTTATAATTGTCGATTACACATTATAATGCTGTATTCGCGATCGAAATGCTGCCTTCGCGAAGATGCCGATTATTATATATATATACATATGATACACTTATTAACCTTCGCTTGACAAGATGCCCACCCAGGGTGGGCCAGACAAATTAAAATTGCCATATCTTCTAAAGTTTTGCCTTAATTGAATCGCGATTTTAAGTCACTGAACAAAATCTTAAGAACTTTCAAAAACTGTAAAAGAAATTTTTAAAAAAAATTTCTTCTTGATTATTTATAACTTTTATCAATGTATGTACGGAGATAACCGGGATGATTCAGATATTTTTTTAATTCTATTTTACAAAAAGACTTGAAATCATGCAGACTTTTCACTGTGAGTGTTTTATGATGTCAAATAATATATATAAAAAATATTATATTGCATTTTTCATTTGTTTAAACAATTTATTGTTATTATTTATTAACTTTCTTTGTTCTGCACCTAGAAAGATGCAGTTTTTTTCTAATTTTGCAATTTATCAAGCCGAATATAATAAAAGATAGATTTGATGTAAAATTATTAATTCAACAATTGTTTAAACAATTTATTGTTGTTATTTACTAACTTTTTTTGTACGGCACCTGGAAAGTTGCCGTTTTTTTCTAATTTTGCAACTCATCAAGCCGAATATAATAAAAGATAGATTTGATGTAAAATTATTAATTCAACAAATTGTTTAAACAAATAAAGTTAATAAATAACAACAATAAATTGTTTAAACAATCGTTTGAATACTAAATTCATATAAAATCTTCATGTTTATTATGTTGAGCTTGTTAAGTTGCAAAATTAGAAAAAAATTGCAACTTTCTTGGAACATTATAAAGAAAGTTAATAAATAGCAACAATTATTTGTTTAAACAATTGGTTAAATAGTAAATTCATATAAAATCTTTGTGTTATTATGTTGTGCTTGTTAAGTTGCAAAATTAGAAAAAAATTGCAATTTTCTAGGAATATTATGAAGTTTGTTAATAAATAGCAACAATTATTTGTTTAAACAATTTATAATAATAGTTGTTACAAATTGAATTATATATTTTATTTTATTTATAACCTTTGAATTAATAACTACGAAGAAAAGGTAACAAATTTATAAAATTCTTCTACTGTCGTATGTATATTTGAAAAAGTTATAAATTATTAATAATAAATTGTTTAAACAAATAAAAAATCAACAAAACATTAATAAAATATATTATTTGGTAACATATAACAATTTTGGAAAAAAACTGAATGATTCTAAGTTTTTATTGCAATATACAAAGAAGAAAACATTTGGCCCACCCTGGGTGGGATCTTGTCAACCGTGTATATAAAAAGTATCCAGTCCGGCGAAGGTTAAAAACAATTAATTTTAACCGATATCTTCGTTAGACGGACAACATCTTGTACACAATATTGTACATATTTTTCTAGTAGTCTTTCGACATTATTATTATTATTATAATAATAGATATTTTCTAGAATATTTTTCCTCCATATCTTCTCAAGCAAATGCATGTATCACATAATATACATTATTCAATATAGTTCTAAAATTTGAAGAAAAAAAAAAAAGTTCTATATGTAACAAATTTTAGAACACGATTGTAATAATTGTCATCTCTTTGTCTCTCTCCCTTTCTCTGCTTTTTAAATGAGTTTCAACAATTTAGTAAGAAATTACTAATATTTGTTCCTTTTTTAATGAATATATATTTATATATGTATTATATAAATAGGCTATAATTGAAAAAATTTCTAAAAAAAAATATATATTTATTTTTTAAAAATTTCTCCAAACTTATTTTCTAAATTTATTCTATTTTTTTTAAGATTTGTAGTATGTATTTTCAAAATTTTCTGGATTTTCGATGATTTTTTAAAAATATTTTTTGGGAATTTGTTTAAATTTATGTTTCTTTAGTTATAGTTTTTGAATTTATAAAATTTCCATTTTCTAAATAAATTTCTAGCTGAAAAATGAGTTTTTTTTTTCGAATTACACTTGAATTCTTTAAAACAAGTGTTTTTCGTACTTGAACATTAGAATGAAACTCGATTATACATATATATTTATATATATATATAGAAAAGCAAAATTAGTGTAGAACAATTGATGATGCGTTTGTGCGAGTTTTTGATAGAAATAAAAGAATATCAAAATAAGACAGCAGTGACGAATAACGGGCGCGAATAAAGTAAAAAAAAAAAAAAAAAAACACAAATACTAGGAGAAATTGTCTATTTTTGAATTGTGTGTGTTTATTAAGTGTCTTGTATTTTAATCTCATTTTTTATTTACTTTTTTATATTCCTCTTTTCCGGGTAATTTCATATCGATTTTGAATATTTTTCAAATTTTTTTTTCAGATCAATATTTGTCTCATAGAACATAAAAGATTACATTTTTTCATTTCTGCTAAATTTTCTTTGTAAATACATATAGAAAGAAAGCCTTATTTTATCCCTTTGAGTTTAATATCTTAAAATGAAATAAATTATTTAGAACGGTAATTAGATTTAAATAATCGGTAAGAAATACGCTTTAATAAAAAAAAAAAAATGAAAAGAACCACCGAGACTTAAAAATAACTGTCCGTCATTTTGTGCAAGTAGAATATTATTAATGAAAAAAAAAATCTTGCAAATGGCTACTCATCTGTGATAAAAAAAAAAACTGTTACAAAATAATGCAATATTTTGCATCTTTAGACCTCACCATCTCTATACTGCCTGGACACATTGTCCTTTTCTTTTAATTATTATTATTATTATTAATCACTTTTTTGTTGTAAATAAGACATTATTTAAAAAAAAAATCGAAATTATAATAAATAAAATTTGCGTTTTGAACCGTTATACGTCACTGGATTGCAATGAAAGTTGAGTTATTTGTAAAAAAAAAATTGTGTAAGAGAAAAAGATTACGGATTAGCAAGCTTGCACACGGTGAAGAATAATAATGAAATACTTTATATATATTATATATATAGGGCGGTTAACATAATTATATCCATTAATGGCAATTCATTAAAGATCACATATAATTATTTTTAAGTATAAATATATAGAAATAATAATTTTCAGCTTTAAGAATGTCAGCGCCCACGGATATCGAAAAATATTTTTTCATTTAAAAAAAAAAAAAAAATGTTTAGTTTATAAGTCTTCATTTTTTCATTACGTGAAAATAATTCAAGGAGCTTACGAAAAGAAAAATTTATATTCAAAATTGTTTAAATTTTCTATTCTATCTTGAAATAGCTCCTTGTATTATTATTGTTAAGTCACAGATTTTTAGTTATTAATAATCACAAATTTCAAAATGTATTTTTTCACTTCTTTCGTTTTGCCCTTTTTTGTCTTTTTTAAAAAAAATAAAATTTTATAGGAATATTTTGCTTTTAAAAAATTTCGCCTCAGATTTATATTAAGTTTATGTCTGTATTACAATATTCTTTTTGATAACATTCTTGGAATATTATGGAAATTTTTTAGTATTTTTTTTTTAAATAACTCAATCTAGACAATAATAAAGATTTGCTTTAATTTCAATTTTTCATTATTTTTCTTTTGGTGTGATTTTGAAAATTAAAAAATTCAATTTATTGAATTCAAATAATTTTATATTTATGATTTGAATTGAATTGAATTATAATTTTGAAAACTAATTTCTCATTTATAAAGTGCCTGGGCGCTTTGTGAATAGGAAAAAATTTTTTGGAAATTCTAAAAAATATCAAATCCTTGAATCGCAATTGGTTGAATGATAATAATTAATTTAGTGAATTTAACGGTGCATGCATCGTACTCTATCACAAGAGAATAATGAAGAAAAATAATCGATTTCGGTAATTTAAATAATGAAAAAATTCTTGTATGTGCATGCTGAAAGTATAACTCATTATTTATGTCTGTTGAGAGTCGTAAAAAGAATGTTATTGACTAGTTTTAAGATAATATATGACATACCTTATTATATATATATTATAAAATATAATATTACATTTAAGAGTCTAAATGAACATCATCTAATATACATATATATTGTATAAGTAAATCGATGTTAAGAAGTTCTCTCAATTTCTCGAGTTTGTAGATATGATTGACTTTGTAATTCGCTAAAATCGTAATCGTATATCTAAATTTTAAGAAACTAACAAAAGTTCGATAAGCAGAAAAAAACAAATTTCGCAATTGACGCATTACGATTTTAGTTGAAAGTTCTGACGAAAAAAATGTGAAATGTAATTTATAATTCTTTCTTTTTTGTCTATTTACAGGTATACATATATAATAATAATAATTTGCTTGGCTTCTAGATTTATTTTTAGAAAATAATCATTTTTCTTTCGAATTAGAGAAATTTGACAACAAAATAATTAGAAATGGAGGCTTAGCAAAATTTTTTCTTATTTTCATTTTTCTCATTATTATAATAAAAAAGAAGTTAAGAAAATATTCTGCAATATATATTTTTTTTAATTCTCTCTGCATTCATTGCGATTTTTCATTGTCAAATGTCATAAATGTACTGCAATAAAACTTAAATTGTAGTATATTCAAAAGATATACGCTTATGGTGTTATTTTTCAAATACTCTATTTTTTCAAATAATAAAAAACGCTAATCTCATATCTAGCCAAATTCTGTCGGTAAGAGTCCACACACTAAAATATCAATGGCAATAAAATGTGAAAGTATAAACTTATATATTTTTTATTTGTATTATAAATTATATATATAGAGAGATATGAAGTATTAAAAAAAAAAATGCGATATAAAATTGTTTGTGGATTCTAGTTAAGTGACAATAAACAAAGAATTTTTATAACGTGGACTTTCTTCCGGACAGACTTTTTTCTAAAGAAAAATTCTTTCAAAATTTATAAAAATAATTTTCTTTTGTAAAAAAAAAAAATCGTTGCTTTTAATTCAAATCATTTAGAAAATAAACATTTTTTTTCCTATTTATTATTAAAATAGGAAAGAAACGTTTTTCTAATGTGATTTTTTTTTTTCAAATAGAAATTGCACTTTGACTATAAAATCCATTTTCTCGATTTTAGAATATTGGCTATTTATAATGAATTTCATATTAAATTGAGGCCTTTATTAATTTCTAGTTGAGGAAATTTTAATTTTAAAAATGACTTCAAGTTCAGGAATCAGAGAGAATGATTTATGTGTCGTCATTATTGTATATGACTTGTAAAATATAAATATGAGAAACTTTATGGAATTAAAAGTTCATTCCTATAAAATATTCTATAAAGTTTCTCCCCCCCTTTCCCCTTTGTGTAAAAAAAGAGAAAATAGAAATTTTCGAATTCGCTTAAAAAAAAAAAAAAAGTAAATGGTTGACGCTTTAGTGTCTCATTCATGTACCTAATTGACATTTTTAAAAGTAATTTTTAAATCGATATTAATAAGAAAAGTGAAATCTTAAATGCCCACTATTAATTAATTATTATTATAATAAATAATTAGTGAAAAGAAAAAAAGAAGCAGAATTATAAAATTATAAGATAAAAATAAAAAATTAAAAGTATGGCATAACTTTCTATAGTAATTAAGAATCACCATCTGTATTTAGATGTAAAACATTAATCACATAATTGAAAGATGAAGGTTTGTAAACGCGGTGGTTTAATAATTAATGATGTGTTAAACGAATCTTTGTATAGATAAACAAACGATAAGAATTGTGTAAAGACATAACTTATTGACGTTTTACATCGCTGTATATACGTGATATATTTACATAAAAAATTATTAATAATTAACCCTCTGCTTATGCTAAAAAAAAAAAAAATTCCCAATCTAACGTTTAATAAAACGTAATTCCTTTAGTCCCCATGAAGCGTGCGAAAAGACGATTATAGATGATATAAACGATCACATATTAGTATAGGCAGAGGGTTAATAAATTATATGTCGTTTCATTTGGGATATGAAAAATTATTTCTTGGGTACAATATGTTATGAAACGATTTTCTTCTTCTTTTTATGAAATAATAGTAATAATAATAATAATAATAATTTCTCGGAGTAGTAAGCCTCGTATTAAATTATAAGCCGTTGCTGCATGGAGTATAAAAAAAGGAGCTTTTGGATAGCATTTCATAATTCGGAATACGGGTTATAATTATTATCTGTTAATTAATTATTATAACTCTATTTATTGAGTTGTCTGTAAAATATTGGATTTATAGTTTATAAACAAAACAAAAAGAAAATTCATCTCATTGTAAAATTTAATGTATTTCTGCAATATTTTAAATCGATTTTTACCGTTATTATTATTATTTTTGAGAGATGATTATGAAAAAAAAAAAAAATAATAATTATGAACTGACAAAACAAAAAGAATGCTCTTCATAATTTAATTAATTTCTATAAATTAGATTATACGTAGTCATAAAAAATCGTGTGTTAGAATAATTAATGCCAGAATTCGAATAAATGCTTAATCCAGAAATTTTGTTACATTTTAATCTCGCGTTATTCCATCCTATTTATTGTATGCATATCTTTATAACATAAATTCTATTTTTTTTATTATTTTTAAATCTATAAACAAATTTATTTTAAGTATTATAATTTTGGTAAAAATATTCAATTGTTAAATTAATTTATTAAATTTGACAAAACAATTATATTTTTTGTGGTCATTATTGGTTTTTAAATTTTCAATAAGTTTCCGCCAAGAAAAGTGAACAGTTAGCGCATGCGTGTAATGTGAGTGAAGTGTTGAAAAAAAAAAAAAAAATTGGAGTCGCAACACGTGAAACGAAAAAGGATCATCAAAACATTCCGGGTAAGAATTTTTATAAACTTTTTCTTGTTTAATTTAATTCTAAGTATAAATTCAATTTAACTAGAATAAAATTAAAATTATTTGATAAGTGTTTCAAACAACACATGTGTTTTACATATCTTATACGTGTTTGTGAGTACCCTCCAAAATTTTCACAATTCCCTGAATTTTATTTTATTATAATTATACTGAAATATTCTAATGTTTATTAAAGTAATTAGTAATTATTCATTATTTTAAAATAAAATTATATGATAAGATTACGTATTACTTACAAATTTGTAAGAATTTTTAATTATTGTTACTCTCATTGAGGTTATGTCGTTTAAAAAAATTGAATATAAAACATATCAATTATTACTTACCATATTTCTTAAATTAATATTCTAATAATTGTAATGGTGTATATATAATTATAATTTTTTTTTATTATAATCAATATTGATCAAAATATATAGTATATAAAAAAAATTCTCTTTATAGATGGTAAACGACGAGCCAATCTCCGCATTTGCGGTTTATTCTATGAAGCGGAAAAATGAAGATTCCTCAAAACCAAAGAATATCAAAAAACTCAAAAATAAAAAAAAGAATTCTATTGACGTTGTGACTCTTTGTAAAGAAACAAAAAGCAATAACTCGTCAACAAAGAAAAAACTAAATGAACCTATAAAGCAAAATGGAAATGATTTTGAATTTACGAATTCAATTGAATTGGAAAAAGTAGTTAAAATAACTAAAAAAATAAAACCTGTAACTTTTCAGAAAAATAGAAATGCAAAGAAATCAAAAAAAAATTTCATTACAAAAAATGAAAAGAATAAAAAATTAGACAAAATTGAAAAGCTAAGGCAACTCAAGGGAAATAAAACAATAAATATATCAAACGTTCAAACAATTGCTCGACAAAAACATGTAAATAATTCTAATGAATACAAAATAAAGATCACAAAATCAAAGAAAAAGAATAATTTAGAACAACCAATGTCCGTTGATGAAGATATTAATGTTAATCCACTTAAAAAAAGTAAACTATGTTTTGAATGGTTAATTTCGCCAATTAGCGCTGACACATTCTTAGAGTAAGTTATTTTTCTTGTCAATTTGAAAAATGAGTTTAATGTATACATAAAATTTTTTTTTTTTTTTGATTGTGTATTAAAATTTAATTTAATTAATTCAAATTACAGACAATCTTGGGAGCAACAACCAGTTCATATAAAAAGAAAGGATTCTGATTATTATAAATTTTTACTTTCAACTCCTATGATGGACACTATTTTACGAGAACAACATGTTTTATTTACAAAAAATGTCGATGTAACTTCGTATACTAATGGAATGAGAGAAACGCATAATCCACCTGGCCGGGCATTACCAAGTATTGTTTGGGATTTTTTCGGAAATGATTGTTCAATCAGAATGCTCAATCCTCAAACTTTTGTTCCTCAACTTCATGATTTGAATGGTAAAAATTTATATTACTTTCATATTTATACTAATTTTTTTTTTATCTCGTTATCACAGTGGTCCTCAAGCATCGACAGGTTCGACTAAAATGGATCCAAAAATTGAATGAACAAGCTTTTAAAAGACTATTCGTAGATGTAAAAACTGGTTTTTTTAAAATCCTAGCTGATCGTTTTCTCGAAAAAACTCAAAATTAAGTTTTACGAAATGTATTTTTAACATTGTATTATATACTGTTCAATAATCAACAATTATATCTTTAATGTTCTTTGGTAAACCATTTTAGTGCACAGTACGTACTCACTAAGCATTAATATATTTGACTTATAGTAAAATAAATACAAAAGCTTGTAGAATAGCTCATTAGATTACTCTTTATAGACGCTAAAACGACTTTGTCTGAAATCAAAACCAATTTTTTTCGAAATATTTTTAAACTGCGTTTTACAATAATTTTTTATATTTTAAGATTACCATTATGCTTAACTTATCATTTAAGCTTTATTTATCTATTTATATTTAAGTTGAAATTCCATTCATTCATCCATTCATATCAATGTATTTGTGCATTAGTTTAGTAACGTTTTGTAACAACTGACTGATTAACTTATTGCTTGTGCTCAAGACCAATTGCTTTTTCTCTATTTTAAAATGAGTTCACATGAGGAGAACAGGAAGAAAATATGTGCACCTTGCGGTCAGAAAATTGCTTTTAGAAAGGTTAAACCAGAAAAGTTTCTTATAAACAAAAAGTTAACTAATTTATGTAATTAAAAAATTTATCAACAATAATTTTAATTTAAATTGGCCTTTTAAAGATACTTTTTTCGTAATCAAGAAAAGTAAGATAGCATATTCTACAAATGCTTAATAAAAATTTCTCATCATTTAAATTAAAACTATTGTTGATAAGTTTTTTAATTAAATTAGTGAACTTTTTGTTTATAAGAAACTTTTCTGGTTTAACCTTTCTAAAAGCAATTTTCTGACCGCAAGGTGCACATATTTTCTTCCGGTTCTCCTCATGTGAACTCATTTTAAAATAGAGAAAAAGCAATTGGTCTTGAGCACAAGCAATAAGTTAATCAGTCAGTTGTTACAAAACGTTACTAAACTAATGCACAAATACATTGATATGAATGGATGAATGAATGGAATTTCAACTTAAATATAAATAGATAAATAAAGCTTAAATGATAAGTTAAGCATAATGGTAATCTTAAAATATAAAAAATTATTGTAAAACGCAGTTTAAAAATATTTCGAAAAAAATTGGTTTTGATTTCAGACAAAGTCGTTTTAGCGTCTATAAAGAGTAATCTAATGAGCTATTCTACAAGCTTTTGTATTTATTTTACTATAAGTCAAATATATTAATGCTTAGTGAGTACGTACTGTGCACTAAAATGGTTTACCAAAGAACATTAAAGATATAATTGTTGATTATTGAACAGTATATAATACAATGTTAAAAATACATTTCGTAAAACTTAATTTTGAGTTTTTTCGAGAAAACGATCAGCTAGGATTTTAAAAAAACCAGTTTTTACATCTACGAATAGTCTTTTAAAAGCTTGTTCATTCAATTTTTGGATCCATTTTAGTCGAACCTGTCGATGCTTGAGGACCACTGTGTTATTTTCATTAGCTTCTTTGATAATTTTAAACTTTAAATTTACACCGTCCGACACGGTTTTTCACACACGAAAAAATCAATGATTTTCAGAAACTAGGACCAAAAAAAAGATACCCGTGTCTGGCCGTTTTGCTAGATCAGGTCATTTTTTGCTTTTAGGGGTAAAAACAACCCTTAAATGAAAGGTGATAGGAAATCTTGTACAAATTAATAATTTTTAATGAAACCTGGTATCTCGGGGTTTTCCGGGTCGCTGATTACGAATCTGATGTCAGATTTTCAAAATTCGAAATGGCGGATCCAATATGGCAGTCGAAATTTATAAAAATTCACCAATTCATTTGAAAGTTGTTACTTAGGGGTTTTTGGGGTCGCTGATAACGAATATGATGCCAGATTTTGAAAATTCAAAATGGCGGATCCAATATGGCTGTCGAAATTTATAAATATTAATTATTTTTTGTAAAACTTGATATCTAAGGGTTTTTGGGGTCGCTGAGTACGAATCTGAAGTCAGATTTTTAAAATTTTAAATGGCAGATTCAATACGGCGGTCGAAATTTATAAAAGTTTATCGAATTCACTTGAAACTTGTTACTTGAAGGTATTTGGGGTCGCTAATAACGAATTCGATGTCGGGTTTTCAAAATTCAAAATGGCGGATCGAATATGGTGGTCGAAATTTATAAATGTTATTAGTTTTTTATAAAACTTCGTATCTCTGGGTTTTGGGGGTCGCTGAGTACGAATCTGATTGTAGATTTTTAAAATTCAATATGGCAGACTCAATATGACGGTTGAAATTTATAAAAATTATTAATTTTTTATAAAACTTGGTATCTAAGGGCTTTCGGCGTCTCTAAGTACGAAAGTGATGTCAGATAAGAATAATAAAAACGCCAAATCTAATAAAGGTGAAGATCACAAATCTGAAAAATAATTTGGAAAATTTAAATGTTCGATCAATTTTTTGTTAAAATTTGCAAGCCAACATTTAAAAATTTTTATTTTAAGTGATTTTTAATCTGAAAATTTGTATATTTATTAACTAAGTTTCTATTAGAATTAATAAATTCAAAAGGTTATAATCAAAATTTATTAAACAAATATAATGCAATAAATTAAAATTAATAGAAACATATCATAACAACTCTTGTATTACGTTTGTGTAAATTTTAGACGCTTATTTTTACGATTTAAAGATTCGACCACCATATTGGATTCGCCATTTTGAATTTTGAAAACCCGACATCAAATTTGTAATCAGCAACCCCAAAAACCTTCAATTAACAAGTTTCAAGTGAATTCGACGGACTTTTATAAATTTCAAACGCCATATTGAATCTGCCATTTTGAATTTTAAAAATCTGTCTTCAGATTCGTACTCAGCGACCCCAAAAACACCTAGATACCAAGTTTTACAAAAAATAATTAATATTTATAAATTTCGACCGCCATATTGAATCCGTTATTTTGAATTTTGAAAACCTGACATCATATTCGTAATCAGCGACCCCAAAAACCTTCAAGTAACAGGTTTCAAGTGAATTCGATGAACTTTTATAAATTTCGACCGCCATATTGAATCCGTTATTTTGAATTTTGAAAACCTGACATCATATTCGTAATTAGCGACCCCAAAAACCCCTAAGTAACAACTTTCAAATGAATTGGCGAATTTTTATAAATTTCGACCGCCATATTGGATCCGCTATTTTGAATTTTGAAAATCTAACATCAGATTCGTAATCAGCGACCCGGAAAACCCCGAGATATCAGGTTTCATAAAAAATTATTAATTTATACATGATTTCCTATCACCTTTCATTTAAGGGTTGTTTTTACCCCTAAAAGCAAAAAATGACCTGATCTAGCAAAACGGCCAGACACGGATATCTTTTTCTTGGTCTTAGTTTCTGAAAATCATTGATTTTTTCGTGTGTGAAAAAAAAGTTGAATTTTGTCGGACGGTGTTATAATATAAATATCAAATTGAAATTGTAAAAAAAAAAGTTTTAAATTAATTTTGAACTATGTTGTATTTAGCAATTCTTCAAGAATTTTTTGGCTGTTTTGTTGGTGCCAATTCCTATCTGACACCACCAAATAGTCAGGGTTTTGCTCCCCATTATGATGACATTGAAGCATTTATTTTGCAAATTGAGGGCAAAAAACGATGGAGACTGTATAAACCACGCAATGATGAATTTCTCGCTCGTTTTTCGTCGAGAAATTTCGATCAATCTGAACTTGGTGAACTCATTATGGATACTGTTTTAAATGCTGGTGATTTACTTTATTTTCCACGTGGTACAATACATCAAGGAGAGACAATAGAAGACACACATAGTTTGCATATAACGCTTAGTGTTTATCAAAAAAATTGTTGGACAGATTTATTTGAAAAATTATTGCCGAAGGCACTTGCTCGTGCTTCAAAAACGGACTATCGCTATCGTCAAGGTTTACCCGTTGGATCGTCAAGATTTATGGGTTTCGTTAATTCGGAAGACAGAAGTACAGAACGAAGGGCATTTTTTGAGAAGGCAAAACTTCTTCTTGACGATCTTATAAATTATGCCGATGTTGATGAGGCAGTTGATGAGATTGCTAAAAATAATCTTCATGATTTTCTACCACCTATTTTGAGGGACGAGGAGCAACATAATTCCGTGCTTCGTGATGGATGGATTGTTAGAAACGAGGGAATTGTTGAGGAACGTGTTGACATTCGACCTGACACGAGAATTCGTCTTTTAAGATCTCACTGTATAAGGTACTATTCATAATTATTCGATTAGAAGAAGAAAATTCTTTATTTTATTAATCAATTATTATATTTTAAAATTATTTATATTTATTTTTTAATTTTAATATTTTACTATAATATTTATACTAAAATTACTGAATTAATACTTAAATTATTTTTTTTCAAAAAGATTATTAGAGGAGGAAGATGCTTTTAAGATTTACTACTCGACTGAAAATTCGAAGGAATATCATGAATACGAGCCACAATTTTTCGAGATTGAACGTTATCAAGTACCTGTGATTAAAGAAATAATTCTCCAATATCCGAATTACATTAAAGTGCAAGATTTGCCAACTTCCGAAATAGACATTGATGTCAAGGTTAGTAAAATTTACTACATAAATTTTGTTTTGTATTTCCTTTTATTAAAAAAAAAAAAAAAAATTATAATTTATGTTAAATATGATTTTGTATCATTTTCTTTTTCTCTCAGCTCGGAATTGTTCACGATCTTTGGGAAAAATGTTTAATTGTCACAGATGGACCTTTACCACGAGATGAATGATATTTTTGTAAGTAAAAAAAAAATTGTAAGCGTTTGATAATATAATTTCTTGATAAGTTTTATCTCATGTAAAAAATAAATATTCTTTTTGTATTTAAATATTCAAAATTCTGTCCTTTAAGGCCTTTTCACCTTGGTCCCGTTGTCGGCCAAGCATATACTCAATATATCCTAAATAACCATCGTTGTCCAAATCATCCTCTTCGAGAACTCTATCTATAAGCTCTAAACAAAACACAAAAAATTCGAAAATTTAATTTAATATTTTTTTTAGTATTTTAAATTTTATTGTTTTTTTATTTAAATTGTTCAATTTTCATGATTCCACAGATAATATGATTCCTTACCTATAATCCAAGGCAAATCATTCTCCTGCTCCTTGGGTTGGTAATCACTCAGCTCCTTGTTATCTCCTTCATTCCCATGTTCATGAAGAGTATGCTGAATGGCATGGAGTATTTCTAGACCATCGAGCTTTGTATTATTGTCAACGTCGTGGAGTCTAAATATAATGTAAGTTCATTGTCAATATCTTTTTTCTTTCTTTTTTAAATTTTTACATATATAAATATTCAGTCAAAATATTAAATACAATGAACACAGTTGGTATCCCTTTTTTCAAAAAAAAATTTAAAATTCCATTAAAAAAAAAAAACTGTTTAGGAAATTTCAAATTAAAATAATTATTTTTATGAACGAATTTTAAGGATATATGTATCTAAATTTCAAAATTAAAACTACCATTTTTTTTTTAAATTAATCATTTAAAAAAATGAATTATTGCAAATTCGAATCCTAAATTCTAACAAATATTCCATTGTGATTGTAAATGTTTATTGAAATTTAGTTTATTTGAATATTTATAAAAAGATTAAAATTTTTTTAAACCAAACGTTAATAAACGCAAAAAATTTGAAAATTTTTTTTACTATAGACAAACTTTATAATATAATTTAATAATTTATGTGGGAAAATTGTAATGTGATTGATGCAAATTCATTGAATAGTTTGCGGTAATTTACTGTGAAGTTAATGCGATTATTTATGGTAATTTATGGAAATTTATTTCATCATTTATGCAAGAATTATTATTAAAAGAATGATGGATTTTTTAGACAAATATTTTAACACCAAAACAAGGGAAATTTGTAACAATAAATAAAAAAAAAAATCTTTTTTAAAAAAAAGAAATTGTAACCAAAGTAAATATTCCATCGTCTGATAAAAATATAACTTTATTTATTTTAATATTTAAAATATTTAAATTTACATATATTTATATTTAAAAAAGTGAATTCTTATTATTTTCTTTAAATTTGATGTGATTAACTTACTTGAAATAGTAAAATTCCAATTCCTGATCAGATAGTTTTGATAAATCTAATTGATCCGCCAGCGGACCCATATCTTCTTTCAAGTGGCTAGAAAAATTTATTAAAATTTTTATTTATTAAACAAATTTAACAATTCGATTATGATTATTATAAAGATAACGTACGAGGTGTCGTGAAGTAGTTCAGCATCCTGAGTGAGTTTAATCTCCTTTTGAGGCGCGTAATGATGATGAGAAACGCTACTTTGTGGATGATGTGGACCTCGAAATCCAAATGCAATACCAGAGTGAAGACTGATCAGAAGCAACAGGAACATCTAATTTACATCAACAGAGCAACAGTTTTGGAGATATATTTTTGAAAAGGCAAAAAAAAAAAAGGTAGGTGGATTATTTTAATATTATAAATTTTTTTGTTTTGAAGAAAACAATAATAGTCACACGTAGAGAAAAAAAATCAATTTAATCAATTGTTTAATTAATTGAAATTGATTTTATTGACACAAAAATAATTAATTCAGTTAATTATTTAGTAAATAATTTATAATAATAATTATTTAAATTTAATTATTCAAATTATAATTAATTGTTATTATTCTTACTGATTATAATTGATATTTTTAAATTGATTTATAATAATCGATTTGAATTTTCAAATTCAGTTTTTGAAAATAACTTTTAATAAACAAAATAAATTTAAAAAAATTTTGGAATAAGAAAAAATATGTACAAAATTTTTTTAACGTTTCGACACCGGCTTCCAAAATGATTAATAAAATTCTGATACAAGGAAATCGATTCCAGTTTCAAAACGTTAAAAACATTTTCATATATTTCCCTGTGCCAAAATTTCGAAATTTATTAATAATTATTATTTATTGGAACAAATTCATCGATGAATATCAAATAAAAATCAAAATGCCATGAAATTGAAATTTATAAGTAGAAAGTTTTTGTTATATATGTTTGTAGATCCAGAGGGGTTTAGAATTTTCTTCCTGGAGAGTTAGCATTGATTCTCATTATCGGTCTCTTTTTGATATTGGTTATTATATGCAACGATGGAGAAATCGGAAGAATTTCAAATTCAGTAACTCAAAAAGGCCCCACACGATATTTTGTGAGCAGTGCACAATAACAATAGGACCTGCTGGGTCGTCGTGTTCGACGATTCTGTCCTGCGTTCTTCCTCTTGGGGGCAAAAACTCTTGCTCGACAGATGTACAGTAAGAGGGGGTCCCGGAGTAATTATTATGCGATTACCCACAAGCCCATTGATTTAGATTGGACTCTGGGGGGGTCCACACATCGCATCGAATTCAAGAATACATCTCGAATTTTGTTTCAAATTTCAAGTACTTTAGAAATCGTTATTCTCAAGTGTAAATACTTTGCTTTTTTGATTTAGAGCTTGTCAAATCAATTCAAATTGATATTTTCCGTTTTATTAGAATAGAAATTAAATGCAAGGGTTTACAAGAATTTTTTTCATATTTTTTTAAAATTAGGCAATTTTTTCACATTTATGGTTAAAATTTTTAGTCGATTATATATATAGTGAATGAAAAAGATTTTTGAAAATAACAAATTTTTTAAATATTGTTTTTAAAAATTTTTTTAATTTTAAAAATTAAAATTTCTTTCACGATGATGACTATTTTATTTAGTCTTTAAAATAGTCATTCATTAAATGTTAATGATACACTGTTTGGAATACAGGAGTGTAATAAAGTTGAAAACATACGTGAATAATAGACGTTTGCCTGGACAAGAGATGTTCATGTAACACTAGTGTAGGTGTCAGGAGAGATGTCAATTCCGCTCGCGAGTATATATGCGGTACTTAGGAATCAATTTTATGAGCTTACAGAGGGCTTGGAACGAGAATGCATATGTTGAGGGGTCCCCAAGGGATTTTTGGTGCAAGTGGACCCCCCGGGGGTACGCACCCCAATAGGAACAGAACGTCCGCCTCCGTCGGGTGTCGAAATCTATAAATAATTTATATCATTTGGTCCATTCAGCGATAGAGAGACCATATGTATACCTGTGTCGCCTTTCACCACTGACGAATCTACTTATACTCCAGGATCTTCCTTTCTTATATAAAATGCGAAACTGCACCACAGAGGGTTGTTAAGGTGTTTAATTTTTGTCTTTTTCTTCTTGAGATGATGTGTTGAATTAATTTTTGGAAAAATTTTCTGAAACAATTAGATAGAAAATTAATTATTCTTTTTTTTTATTCTCGAAAAATTGGCAAATTATTGCAATAAAAGTAGTTATTAATCTTTTTTTTTTTTATAGTTAATATATTCATTCATTTTATATAAAAAATTTCAGATCTTAAGGAAGAATCGGACGGATATAGTCAAAATAAAAGTTAGTCCAACTTCATATTTTGTTTGTTATGAATATCTAATCAGAGTTGCCATGGGTTAGGGAAATCAGGAAAAAGTCAAGGAATTTTTTTAAAAAGTACAAAAAAAATATCAAATTTCTAAAAATGCTACTAAAATTATAACTTTTGAAATTTTCAATTTAAACTTTTGCTTCTAAAAATTATTTTCTTAATTTTTTATAATTGAAAACGTCTTGAAATATTTTCATTAGGGTCAGGGAAAAAAAATTTTAATTCTGACTGAAAGTTTGGGAAAAACAGAATAAAATTTTTTTTAGCAACTCTGCTAATAAAGGGAAAACAATTTTTATTGAAGTAGTTTTTTAGTAAAAGTGTAAGTAATTTTATTTTTAACATTTGAAATAATTAAAATTTGCACCTAGATAAGAGTTAAAAATTTGTAATTGTAAAAAGTTATTGTCAAATTAGTTTTTTTTAAAAATATTATTTATTATTTTTATTATTTCAATGTACACTTCTTAGTAAATCTTTACATTGATTTTCCTAATTCCTAATCGTTTCCTAAACACAAACAATTGAAATTTTTATTTAAATGCAACTTTTACTAGTCTTCAATGTTAATTAAATTATTTACACTTGTACTACTTTAGTGTTTATTTTATTTATTTTTTATTAAAATATATAAAATTATGAAGTTGGATTAATTTTTGTTCTGGTTATTTACTCGATTCATCTTTAATGAATTTTTTGATTCTCTTTAAATCATAATATTTTTAGCTAACTTGAATCAGTGAAAAAATAAAAATGAATCGTAAATAATAATAATAAAAAAAAGTACTTTTGTCCTTTTTTTAAGAAATTGAAATAAAAATATTTTTAAATTTTGAATATTAAAAAACTACTGGGCCAATTTTTTTCAATTCTGATATTTTGTTATGATTTTTTTTTGTAACTAATCTGAATCAGTTAAAATAGTATAATTTTAATTATTGACTATACTTATTTTTTGCTATGAATTAGTTAAATTTTACTAATAAATTAGTTCATATCAAAAAACTTTTTTTTGATAATTTATTGGTAAATTTTAATTTTAACTAATTCATAACAAAATATTAGTTAGTAATTCAAATTACGTAAAAATTTTCAATTTATTCAGATTTATAAAAAAGTTAAAACAGATTTAAAGAATTTTTCAAATGAAAATTAAATTTTGCAAAATTTTAGTTATTCCTCGCTAAAATTTTTAATGGAAATTTAAAAATTCATCTCACAATTATAAATATTTCTATATATAATTTTTTTCTAAAAAGGATTATTTTCCTCTTAGTTTTTAGTGTCTTAGTTAGAGATATTGTATTATGGAGAATTTCTAATTTCAATTTTTTACATTTTAGATATATGTTTCCAATGAAGATAAAATTAATAATTTAATAATACTCATATAGAGATAGATACATAAGTTTTAGAATTTATAACAACCCCTCAATGAATGTCGAGAAATTTGATACCACATCTGAACATTTCAAATAACTCGCGCCAGAACGCAGACGTTGTGACTATCGGCGTTCATTAATCTCGGTGAATAAGGGATGCTGGGTGAGGAGGAATGCTTTTACAGAATTCTCTCTCTCTCTCTCTCTCACTCATTCGTCCTTTATATATACTCAGGTTATGTTTACAGGGGAACTTGTTACATCTTTCAATAAGGTTTTAATAAAAAAAAATTTTTTTTAAAAGTAGAATTTTTTTAAGAGAATTAAAAATAATCGAAAATTTATTAACACTTAATTTTTTTTTTTTTTTTGACATTCTTATTAATTAAAAAAAAAACTCACCCTGTATGTATTGATGGGGCAAAAAATGGGTTTTAGATCCTCCTTCTGTGTTTCCCGGGACTGTGGGTATGGTATTTCGACGTTTATCGACGTTTTTCCCTGAGCTTGCGTATTTTGAGAGTTGCTCCAAAAGCACAAAATATAACATGTTCTTCACATTCAATTCTGTATCATTTTCTATTTTCTCTCCATGTGGCGCCACTTGGCTTTCTAAAAATCTAGGGGATGAAATAGATGATCTACCCTGTTTTTTTTTATTTTTATAATTGAAAACGACTTTTTTTTCGTACTTTCACAGGGTATATATATACCCAGATAACACACGTACTAGTACGGTAGTAGTATAATACTAGTACGACGTACTAGACGTACTAGTACTGTACCAGCCATGTACCTTCGCACGGTACCAGGTACTGTACTAGTACGGCGTACCGGTATGCAATATCGGTAGAATACGAGTACTATACGAGTACGACGTACTGAAAACTTTTGTGACTTAGTATAACGTACTGTTATTGTACTGGTACAATACTAGTATGATGTACAATATAAAATATTATATACCCTCCCCTTTCTCTTCCCACAATAGTATTTTCATTATTTTCATTTATTATTCAAAAGAAAATCTGTGGGAGAACTGAAATAATAATAATTCATTTTTATTGAATCATTTTTTTTATTTACATCATATATGTAACTTGTATTCTCACTTATCTTAAAATATCTGGTATTTTATATTATTTTAATTACTTAACTTTATCAAATATTAATTGATTATTTCTTTACATTTAAACATTATTTCAAAAGAATTTTAAACTTGATGTTATAAATTGCTTTGAAATTTGCTTTGAAAAACATATTATCACATCCTAACCTATAAATATGTTATATGTATAAGAAAAACTATAACGAAATAACACACAATTGAATTTAAAAATATATCAATATGATCAAGACCGAATATATAATATATAAGTACAGAAGCACAAGTTACAAACGTTAAAACTCTTTTGCTGCATCATAAACGACTTTTTTCACCAACATTTAATGCACCGTTTTCAGTGACGCGTTCATATTTGACAATTGTCAAGAAAGTGAGGTTGGGTTGGCATTACCAGCAAAGATTCCCAGTACGACGTACCAGTATTATACTTGTATCGTACAAGTATGTTGTGCTTCTTATTTCAGAAGTACGACGTACTGGTATTGTACTAGTACTATACTTTTATCGAGTAATCATATTTTACAATTCTAACAGTACGACATACTTTTATTGTACTAGTACCGTACTGGTACGACATATATAATTATTTTGTACTTGTATAAAACTAGTATAATACTAGTACGCCGTACTCGTAAATAACGATTAGTACGCTTGGTTATCTGGGTATATATATACATCTAGATACTATAACCGGGTAATAGACTGGAAAATCGGGAAATTGCCGCGAGAATTAAAATCAACCTATAGATATAGAAATTAAAAAATTTTCATTAAACCTGGAATGTCTCGGAATAATATTTATTAAAATTGATTTAAATTTAATCTGAAATTTTTGTCAGGGAAATAGAAATATTCCTCTCAGTAATTTAGTGATATTAGTTTTTTTCTTTATTTTAAGGGGAGAGACCGCTAAAATTTCAACCTTTCGAAATTAAGGCTGTTTTTTGTTTAATTTAATATACTATGGGAAATTGAATAAAAATTAAATCATTAATAATTTTTTAATAATAATACTCGAAATTTTCAAAAACTGAAAATTTACATTTTTCTGTCGCACAATTTTTATTATTTTTCATTACTGATTTTTTAATAAACTTTTTTCATGATTCTAAACAATCAATTGTATGGATTTTGCGGGAAAATACAAAGTGTTCAAAATAGAAAATTTTTGAAAAATAAAAAAAAAAATTGTAAAATTGTTAAAAATTACTTTTTTTTATTTTTCATAATGAAATATGATTTCAGGTTCTAATAATATATATATAAAAAAAAATTGTTACTCCTAAACAAAACTAAATATGTTTGGTTTGAATTTGATCAATTATTCCTTAAAAATTCAATTTCTTCCACAATTTTTATTATTTTTTATGGGTAATTTTTTTGTAGGCTTTTTTCATGGTTCTGAACAATCAATCGTATGGATTTTTAAAAATGTTAATATTATCAAAAAATAACATTTCTAAAAATAGTCAAAAAAAAATTTTTTTTTTTAAATTTTGATAATTCACAATACTTTTAGATCCCAAATAATAACAAAAAAAAAATTGACATCTCTTAACAACATTAATTTTGTCGAGTTAAAATTTCACCGGTCCCTCCCCTTATGGAGAATTGGTAAAATTATAAAAAAATTTTATATGTACCAATTAACCTGAATTTTGTAACTAAAAAGAATAAAATAAATTTGATTTTTATTACAAACTTTAGGTTTTTTTTTTATTGTTACACGTAAAATTTTTGTACAATTTTGCAGATTTTTTATTTTCAATAATAAAAAAAATTTAATATATATATATGTAATTCTATTTCCTGAAAATATTTCCACTTTAGCACTATTTGAGTGTAGTATTAAAAAAATTAATGCATAATTTTTCATTTTTATAGCCTGGTGTAAATTATAAAATCAAACATATATTTTAAAAAAATGTAGACAGACAGTCAGAAAAGTATATAGATAGACATTATATAGAGAGAAGCATTTTAAATTTATTTCAATTACTAAAATACATTTTTTTTTTGTATTGATTGTAAAAATAAAAAATTATTGGAAAATTTAAATTTTGATGCTCCAGAAATAAAAAATAGAAAACAAAAAAATAAATAAAAACTGAAAAATAGTTTGAAATTTAATTTTTAAAAATTTATATGATAACTATATTTCTCTGAATTGTCTTCTGCGAATAAACAAATAGAAATTGTTATTTGATTGACTATTTAAAGAAAAATTAATTTTTTAATTAATTTTAATATACCTTCATATTGCAAACAAAAATTATTTAAAAAAACGGTTTTAAGAAAAAGCAAATAATAATGTCATTCAAATTTAATTTCAATAATTCTATTTTTATTTAATTTATCGCACATTTTTTCAAGTCTTTTCCCTTCAATATATATATATATATATAGATAATACTCGCGCAATTTAAAGAAAATATCGTTTTGATTCTACTCTCACATTTATGCAAATTAACATGAAATTAAATTTCCTTTGAAAATTTTGGAAACCAATGTTTTGATCGAAGATAATTTCATTACAAAGGGTTGCATATCCCATTATATGAAATGCCACTTATATAACGATTTATATACAATTTTTTTTATACAATCTACGTTAAAAAAAAAAAAAAAATTAATGACTAGTCGGAAAAAATATTTAATTTCCATACAGATTACTTATTTTTCATGAAAAAAAAAAAAAAAAATGAAAAAAAAGAAATTCCTTTCTAAAAAAAAAAAAACCCCCCGACATTATTCCTGTATATATGGAAAATGTGAAAAAATTCCTCTAAACTAATTTGAATATCCAGATCTGAGTTAATCCGTCACATTCCCCGAAGATACAATGACCGACAAAAAAGCCACGGAGAAAAGGATCTCAATGCATAGGGATGTCCTCGTTGAAAATTTCGAGGATGATCCCCCGTTGTAGGCGGGCCCGAACTTTTGAGCGTTAACAGGGTGAGAGAGAGAGAGGGAGAGAAAGAGAGGGAGAGCAAGGGAGAGAGAGAGAGAGAGAGAGTGGATGGGTCTCTCAGGTTGCCACGGTAACCAGTGTAGCCTAAAGCTATGCTTTTATTGATTCCAAGCCGCAAACAATGTACAGGAGTGGATGTTTCGTTCTGTTCTATCTCTCATCCGTCTGGATAGTGGGAAATTAACGCATTTCGTAAAATTGGTACCTGTAGCGGAGAACACGTGCTTTTCAAAACTGATATGCCTATTTCTCTGAAGGGGAATCTCATTTCTCCAACTTGTCTCACTTTCAATCAATTATTAATCCCTGAAAATTGTATCATAGGTATTATATTATTTTGCAAAAAGGGATCATTTTTTAAGGGAGTACAGGAGTCTTATTTTATAATGTATAACATTTTTAAGATAGCTTTTGTTGATTTCATCTGGATATTTTTTTTTACTGATTATCAGAGCTTAAATTAAGACAAAAACAAGCTCTAAGCTGAAGTTAAGAAAGCCCTTTTTTAAGTTAAGGATAAAAAAGTCTGACTTTTATGTATATCTTACAGTTTTATAAATTGTTAATAGATACAAGTTTTAGTTAAAATGAAGATTAGTCTAGCTGTCTAAATTTGAACAACTCTGATATTTCACCGATAAAATAGCTATGGAATTTATCAGCTTACTTCAGTAACGATTACACTGAAATTCAGTCATATTTCACTGGAAATCAGTCAAACTATTACTGATTTAAACAGTCAAATCTGCATTATCATTAATCGGTAAAACAGAGTAGACTATTTTAATCAGTGAATAATTCTACTGATTTTTATGACCCATGAATAAGTTCTAAAAATCAATTGTTAGAATTTTTATTTAATAGAATTTCATTAGATATAATATTTTTATTGAGCCGAATTTTATTTGTTGGAATTATTATTTTGCAGAATTTTCATTAAACCGATTTTCTACATGGATAGAAGAAGTTTACTGTGGCAACGAACTATTTGCTGCCATAGCAAATTACGTTAGCTAATATAGGGACAGCGAACAAATTTGCTGTAGTGTCAAAAAAGTTTGCTGTGACAGAAAATTTTTAAAAATTAAGACTGATATTGTTTATCACAGCAAACATTTTCGTTGTCATAGGAAAAAATTTAGCTGGTGGTTACTAATTTTGATAGATCTGATATAGCAAACATCAGTTAGCATCTGTAAGCAAATCCTTTTATTCCTTGTATATTGAAGAATTTTTAAATATAACCATCACAGAATTCTTATTTATTCGAATTTTCTCTTAACCCATTTTGAATTAATTTTTATTATAGGTATAATTTCATTGCATAGAATTTTCTTTTAGATGAATTTTCATTTGTTCGAATTATTATTTGATAGAATTTCCATATAGCCGATTTTTCATATACTACAGAATTTATATACTTAACCAAAAAATCATTTAACAGAAGTTTGATAGAATTTTCATTTG